TTATCCAGCATTTCATTGCTAAGAATTTCCAATAAAAATTTCCCGGGAATCCACTTGCCATCGTCGTAATTTCATAAATCTTTACAGTTAGTTAGTAATGACGAGATTACCAAGGCTGATGCCATTGTTTTCCGTCTTTTTTATTAGCATGCACCATCCATTCGAATTTTTATTCATCACCGTTCGTTTATGGTATCTGAGTTTGCATATTGCAATTCTTTTTTGTTTGCGTTTCTACAAGAATTTAATCAAGATCGACAGCGCGTCGATTGAACCGTGCAAAACAAGGTGGATCTTTATGTTTATTGAAACCGTGCATCGTTTCCTCGGTATTAAAATATTCGATAAGGATACACTCGAATCATCTACGTATTCTTCTTCTAAAGAAAACTTTTCATTATAATGATTTATTTTCATTAAAATGATTAATTAAATTACTCAAATAATGATTCTTAATTCACCGCGACAGCAAATACAGTAGTGCTATATTTAACTTTGAAATTATCTTATCTTGACGACGTATGTCTTTACATGCTAAATGAAGAACTTTCTCCTTAATGAATTCAAAGAATTCAGAAAGATAAACATGAATATTGCGATCATTTTCCCTGGTTACTGATTTTCCAATTTGAAATAGAACGTGGGAAACAGGGAAGTGGCATTCTGCTTTCCAATAGAGTATCAGTCATCCGAGACATTCCAGTTCTCATTTTATCATCCAATTCGAGGAAACAATCGCCAGAAATCATTTGAACCTCTCACTGTTTACGATGATTTTAATGTTACACGGAATAGAAGAATCTTCGATCTGTAATTATAATAACATAATTAATTGGTCACGTAGAGTGACCATTGCAACGTAAGTGTTAATTATCTTCGCACGTAGCAGAGATAATGGGGTACATCAGTGATTAAATCGATTGCACTTGAGATATCATGATAGATATTCATATTACTTATTTTTTAATGAATGTTTATACAGTCAGTTGAGGTCTGAAATGAACAATGCACGTGGAATAATTAATAATATTTATTGTAGTAATATTTTGAATAATACAACTGTGTTGTGATTAGGTAGAAGCTGAAGTGATATGGAGGCTTATCTTTTAACATGTGACAAACGTTTGGAATACGAGGTGATTAAATGACTAACTGAAGGAAAAATGATAGTATAAGGAAACAGGCTACTTAAAGTTTGAAAAGAGTTCTTGAAAGGTTGATCATGTCTTGACTAATCAAAGACAGTGGAGTAATTCGAATACTTCTGGAAAATTGTGGCGATGAATATCTCTTCGAACTGGACAAGCATTCCCTTAATCAGCGGCTTCATTTATCGAGCTTATGTTTCTGTATCATTGTAAAAGAGGACATTCTGCGAGCTCGCCCAAGTGGATGCTGAAAGAAACGTAGAATCGTGTCGCACAATTAGCAATGAATCACACGTCGTGCATCACAACGATCGTAGGAGCTGTTGCGACTGAAGAAAAATTTATTTCTTCAATCGTGCAATCTTTTAGGGGGGAAAAAAAACGAATATAAAATAAAAATTAAGCAATTATTTAAATTTCCTAACCATACTTTTGTTTCGATTTCAGCGAGGAGAGTAAGGTCGATCCTAAGATGACCGATCAACCAGGAGGCAAAGGACCCCCCAGTGCCATTATGCTAGCTTTTTCAGCTCTCACACACTTTCTTTTAGTAGCCCCAGTGATATATATCCTGGTTTTGGCCTTCGGACATTACAGCTTCTTCGCTTGGCATCCAATCTGCATGAGCGTCGGGGTAAGTAGACAACTTGGTCAACGCTAATTGCACAATGAAAGAAATAATGAAAGTACGTGGATCAGGAATTTAGGTCTTTGTTTGTTATACCGTTTCATAGAATTATTCTTTGAAAATAAAGATTAGTTTTCTAACTGAGAGAAGATTAAAATTCTCTTGTGCAAAATTCATGAATGTCTTTCAGAGAGGACAGGTTTCATAACGGCTGGATGCAATAAATTCTTCTTTTACACGTCGAACACCATACTGTTACGTAAATTCGCGTTTTCACAATTTACATTTCGATACAATGAAAACTTTGAAAGAATAATAAGTAAACTAATCGAAATGATCCCCTCAGATGTTTAGAGAATACTTATGACTAATCATGAACTTGAAGAACGCTTAAGTCACACTTGATGAATATTTCTACGAATCCAGTTATAAAAACTTACTACTAGATATGATTCATGCAGCTTCCATTCAAGCATTCCAAACGTCAGATCAATTTCCTAATTTTCATCATCCTTTTTTCTGGTAGATGAAAATTAAATTTGAAATAGTAACACGATCCCAGTCTATTAAGAAGGAAGCTGGCTCTTCAATTTTCCATGATTTTCCTACGTGGAAAACATAAAATCTTGGATATGATTCATAAGGTCTTTGAGTTCCTCGAGTGTTCGATCATCCTTATGTTTAGAAAAATACTAACTTCTAATTATCTGAATCGACTGGACTAAATTTATCATCTGATGTAAGGCAATTGAGGCTGAACCGCGGGAAAGATTGACGCATTAACCGAATGACCAAATTTAAAGATTCTTAGGAGGTGTACATCTACTTTAAAATTATCATAAACACACACTGATCGTCTCACCACTAAAACGTCCTCTTGCATAGTGTCATTTACCTTCAATTCATTGTCGCGTTAGAGGCTAAATCGTAGGCGTTATTCTCTTCATGTACGTAAAGAGAGAAGAAATGTAAGTACCGTTAACCTAGATAGCCAAATTGGTTGCGACATTCATTCAGCAGATGGAAGATTCACGATCGTGTTCAATGCCTTCTGTATTCATAAAAATAGAAATGAAAAATTACTAATCATATACTTCGTTGTTCCAGGTTGGTCTTCTGATAACCGAGGCGGTGTTCAGCATTTCCGGTGATGCGTACGTCAGTTACAAGTTGTCCCGAATGAACAGGGTGACTATGCACTGGATCCTCCACACAGTAGGGCTGGCACTAGTGTTGATTGGATTAATTATCATCGTGGTGAACAAGATCAACAACAATAAGCATCATTTTGCTACGCCCCACTCGGTACTCGGTTTGGTCACCATCATCATCTCCTTCCTGGTCGCTGCTTTCGGGATCGTCACCAATAACTCCAAGTGGCTTTATCCTCGTTTCAGACCTGTCCTTCTGAAAGTGTTACACGCTTTCGGTGGTATCGTAGTAACGATACTTTTATTAGCTACCTTGATCACAGGGACGTACACTTTGTGGTGGCCCGGAAGCGACACCGGAAGGAGCCTGGTGTTCTCCTCCTTCTTTATCGCTGGTTTCTTCATATTGTTGAAACCAATTCTGGGGGCTGTGTCCAGAAGTAAGGTGATCTTAGCACCACCACCTACCACCACGTAATTTGTAAACGAGATGCAGTAGGGTTGGACTGCGACCAAGTTGACGAGATTGAAAAGTATGCAACATGTGGTGTTTGATACAGGTGTGAATTTGGATCATTGTTGAAAGTGTAAAAATGTTGTTGTGTTGTACTGTATTGCATGATACGGGGTGGTATTGTAGTGGTGTGGTATGTAGAGTAATACTATGGTAATAGTATTTCCGTAGTATTATTGTACTATACTATATTAATGGTAATATAGCGTACCGCATTGTACAGTATAGTATAATACGATATAAAGCTCTAGCAATGCCAAAAGTAATACATAGCATTTTTGACATGCTTACTTTGCATCAAAATATTTTCAGTGGAAAATCGAGAAAGTGCATAAAAAGTTTCTTTTTTTTATACAAAAAGGTTTAGTAGTCTATTTAGAATTCAAGCATTCCGTCCACCTTTTGAATTTTTGTATGATACTTAAACTACTCGTTTCTTCTCAACTTTGCCGAAAAACAGTGTTTGATATATTTTTACACAGTTTATTGCTGATCACGAAGCTTTATCGAGATGTAAATACAAGGAGGTTTAATTGTAATTTACTCAGTGTGAGTTAAGTAATCGAGGAGGAATTAATATTATTGCCTATAATTAAAATCAAGGGTCAGTTTTATAATCAATAATCATCAGAAATTCATCTTTTATATATTCTACCATCACTATGTTCATTTGAACTATCAGCATATCACAGAAACTCGATGCAATTGTTGCAAGGAAACATTTCTAAAATCATCGACAGCATATCTTTAGATTAAAATAATTTTTTTATTTAATAGGAGAAACTTTGACCAAAAAATAAAGTATAATTTAATATTAATTTTAATCTGTTTGAACGTGTAGACGATTATCAAATAAATGGAAAGAACAGAGAATTAGTTATCGTCAACCATATATATCAACACTTTATTAATTACACACGCATCATATACATATACATAGAATTTACATAATGTATATATCTTTCGCAATGCAATGTACACTTCCATCCATAAGTATCCGGACACTCTCTAAAACAAAATATTCTTTTTAAAATTGAACCAAAATGGACGCAATAGATTACAATGAATCACAATAAGAACGGAACTAGTCACGTTCTTATTGTTAAGCCTCGTACTCATTTGAACATTTTTGCCCGAACGAATGCTCTAGTGAGTACGAAGCTTTAGATGAAAAGTCGCGATTTTTGGAAATTTTAATTACTTGTAACTTCTAAGTGCATTGACCGATCTCGATGAAATTTTCAGCATACACATAACACACTTAAATTTACAAATGTCATATTTTAAATTTTCATTATAGGCTCACACAAAAAAGTTGAAAAACTGCCCTTCACTATTTTTTCTCACGACAATAAAACGACAAAAGCACATATCTTAGCAAATTAATTTATATAGCTTTTCGAAAAACCTCGTCATTTGGTCCAATTTTAAAAAGAGTATTCTGTTTTAGAGAGTGTCCAGATACTTATGGAGGGGAGTGTACATATATATTAATACAATTTCTTGTATCTCGATATAATTTCATCGTCTCTTAAATATCGTATTTTATATTCTTCTTATTTTTTTTGCCTTTTTCATTTAGTTTCTTTTGAAATCTTCCATTTCTATAGATTATTTCTTAATTCTCGCAATTTTCAATACACGATAAACATCTCGAATCAAACAGTGATCACGCGTAAAACATTTTTCCTCTTCGTCTCTAACATTATGCAACAACGTGTATACATAATTTTCTTATTTACGCACATATATACGTATTCTGGCTATGTACGTGTACAAGTGTTCGTTTGATACACGTACATGCAATAGAATTTTATTTTCTCATTTCCGTTACCTTTCCTTTTTAGACTTTTAACTTCTCTATCGTTCAAAAGTCTTAGAATATTTAGAAAAATTTATGTAAACCGGAGAAAAATTGTGAATTAGTATTTTTTTATAGTTTCCATGATACTATATTCTTATCGAAAATATTCCAAGACCTTTGAACGGTAGTGTACAATCATTCATTGAATAATATATTCTTCTTTATTGTGTTTTGTGATTGTATACGGTTCGACGCTGAAAGTGTCTCTTATTTCAATAGAAATAAAAAGTGGCAAACTTTTAAGATAAATTATTTCAAACAATAGCCGAATGTCATATCTTGAAATTTCTAAAAATTTAATTTAAAAATGATTAATTTTAAAAAAGTTTCATATTACACAAAAGATAGATTTTTGAGGCAACAATTTTTTTTTTTTTTTCAATTATCGAAGAAAATCAATAGAGACACAATCAAAACGCATCAAAAACAAATGATCAATATTCTTTCTTTGCTTAAACTACATAGTTTCTCACAGGCTACGCTTTGCGGTATGATTTAAATATTTCTTGTTCAACGATTTCCCATGGAATCGTGCTCGTCGACGTACAAAAATCTGCCTTAACGAGAAGGAACTCTAATCCTATCGTTTCCACGAAACATAACGCACCTTCTATCACCTACATTTCACTCTCGAACGCTTTTCTCTTTCTCAATTAGCTCTAGGACACGTTACTTTGTACTGTTCGCTCTACTGGTTGCTCTTGGTCACGTAAAATCCGTAACATTGCACGGTAATTAAGGAAAAATTAAGGAAAATTTTCCTTAATATGATAGCATAAAATTTTGTTTCAGATGAAATTAAAAATAAGCAATTAAAACATTTCTAATATTAAGTAAGTATAGTGCTCAAAATAAATTTTAATCAATTATTTTTCTTTTTATATTAACATAATGTTGCCGTGTTGTTACCGATAATCCCACGTAACCGAATCTTAACCCTACCTAGGACAGTCGACCGCGTGGCCAAGCCAGTTTGAACCGGCAGCTAACTCTATTATTATTTCTTACTTTGTAACATAATTGTTATTAATAAGTATTATTGTTGTTGTTGTTGTTGTTGTTAATGACGTGCTAACTTTGTTTGTTTTAAATTCCTTTTAAACCTGCATTAGATTCACCTATCTAGCCTAAGGGACATTAAAGTTTGTCGAACGCTTATCTATCAGTCACCCCTTCCCTCACGAATCCCAAGTACTTCTTTATTTCGCATTTCTCTCTTTCTCTCTTTCTCAAGATAAATGATTTCATTTCTCTGCCGACAAGAAAGAACCTTCTTTTTTTTTTTCATCATCTTTATCGGTCGTTATTCAGGGTTTTCTTAAACGAAGAAAATTTGTTTGTTCTTGATTATGTCTCAGATATGGCTAGTTAGAAAGTGTTCTCGCTCTTCTATCGGTACATTTAATTCTTTCTCTAATTTTCAAATATCAGTACGTGTCGTTAGTCTAATGTCTCCGTTGATACTGATGGATTCGAAACAACGTTTTGGTAAATGATGGGAGTATATTATTTGAAAATTTACGTCGAAGACCATGCAGTAGAAAATTACCCCATTAATGAAATTTAATAAATGCAACTCGGTACTTTGATTACAGTCTCGTTTGAAATTAAATTCGAATCGATGAAACTCATTGATCGTTTGATTAACAATTGAATTAATCGAAACGGGGTATCGGTATATTAAGCGTGAATCGATTCTCGCTAAACTTTCATTGTGTTCAATACGAGGTGTGCCCCGATTGTTCGCGAATTCCGATCTTGGGATTCGAATATCGTCCTAGTTGAATGTTTCGCCTATAATCTGAAGCTCTGAGTATTAACAACAACTAGATTCTAAATTGTTAATTAGGTCAACGAGGATCCGTATGGAACGCTTACGGCGAGGATCCTCCTCCACTTGTTCGTCCCTTTGAGCAAAGGATCGATGGCAAAGGACGATTCGGTTAACTCTTAACATCCACCGCGATTACTTGTAAATTTACCACAAAAAGTAATTTCACAATACAGGGTAAAAAGAATTTTACAAAATTTTCACTGATGCTTTCAAAACTCGGTGATTATCATCAAAGAAAAATCAGATTGTTAAATCATTATTCTAGTCGAGCAAGTGGGTCGTTAAGAGGATAAAAAGTGGAGTTAGGCCCTTATTATTCTAAAAAATATTCTTACACTCTGATCACGCACTCTATTTCTCACTTATTCACCCACGAAACGTAACGATTCACGCAACAAGCTCTCGCACGGATATGAGTTAACATATTTTCTGTTATTGTTTTATAATTTGAACGCAGCGGGTTTTTTTTTCCTTCAATAATGTTAATTGTTTGCACGTTTATCGCGACACTCCGCCCTGAATTTCTTAATATCAAACGATGATCGTGTCATTTTTTTTATATCCTCGTTTTGTACACGTAATAAATAAACTATGCGACGCATGTACCACCAGTGTACCAAGCGTCTATAAATATTACATAATATACTTGTATGTGTATATGTATACTATAATGTATATTCATTACATCTTGTAACTTGTGTATACGTGTATGTACGACAAATGTTAATACATATGATACAGGTGGCAACACTTTACAAACGGGGTCACATAAAAAATAAAGAATCACGATCTCTCACGTTTATTGACTGTACGTACGCGTTTAATTGTCTGGTGTGCTCGACATCGCCGGCTTAATGTGTATTTTAATAATTCCTATTTTCGGTCTGAATCGAACCGATACGCTTATCCTCTCGCAACCCTTCAACCGTCTTACGATCGACGCGAAAATAACCCTTTCACACGAACTGCAGTCTTCGTCACTTTGAAGGGTATTCGATCTTTTTCACTCGTAGATAGAATAATCTAGCCTATGTTTCCCTGAAAGTGTTAGTAGCTTGAAAATATAATCAGAAATCCAATATATTATATCAACATTTAACGATAAATAATCTTCATCTAATTACTCAACGATATATTCATCTGACTCTCAACAGTTAATTTTAATAACTAATTCTAATTTCTTTAAGTACTGGAGATCAACCTAAATATGTAATTTATGAAATAATATTATAAGGTACTAAATACTCATTATTGAAATACTCATTATTTTGGAGAATTAAGGAGGACATCGAGTAAAATCACCCACTCCGTTTGTTTCTAATTCGTTCTTTCAAAGTCCAATAAATTCGGTGAATTTTACTGAAAATCATCGCTTTGACAACGCAATTCCTTCGGCAAGGATAACACATATCACGGTATGAAACATTTCGCATGTCAACATCGAGAAATATATTCAACGTTCACGAGATTACTAAGTTACATTACAAAAATTTGACGATTCGTTTGGGTTCGAACCATCTGAACTGTCCGATAACGATAAATCTTTGCGACAAAAATTTGTCGAGCTTTAGCAAAGGAATTCGACTGTTGGCTTTGGGCGATATTAGATACAATCTGCCAGAATAATCTCCGTACACTTCAATAGATACGATGTAAATTAAATTCATTTAAATTCGTTCACCTCATTGCTTGAATAATTTAAATTAGTGTAAACTACTTTCATTATTACCTACTATACCTACAATAGACACCCCTATACGAATGGCCGGTTAATTGCAATGTTCCATTTAGAGATTGCAAATTAAGTTAAATTTTCATCTCGTTCCCTCCGATTCGATTTAATAATTTAAATTAGCATAGACTATTTTCGTTATTACTATACCTATAGAATACATCCTTACACGAATGGCCGGTTGAATGTACCTGTAAAAATTCTAAAAATTAAAGTGTACGGAAATATAACGGTTTTTTGACCGACTTTAAAGATGAAATTCTGGCGAATTCCTCGATACTATCCTAGATCGATCGCTATGCAAGAGTAAACATTACCTTAGATAAATCTTACACAGAAGCAATTAATCGTTTCGGTGATGGCCACCCATTTTTTCACTCTAAATCGTAAAATATTTGTGTGTCGCCTACGCATGGCAATCAATCCGTGACTTTCTTCAATTGTTTCCTTACGTACGTTTCATTTCTTTTTTATGTACAATTGAAAGCAGTGGAGTAGCGTAATTACTAACGATTACATCTCGTAGCACGTTATTTAGAGCGTCTCGCAAAATTTGTTCAGGCATCGTTTCGTCCTTTAACGATCGTCATTGTCTCTCGATCTCAGCCCTCTTTAACGCTTAAACGATTTTCACTTACTGGTAATTAAATGAACTGTTCAATATTGTCCGTTTTGGTGTTAGAAATCAGAAGACATCGAAGAAGATTAAAAATTCTAACTGACTTAGAACTGGAATGATTTGAAAAAATTTAATCAGAATTTATGTTTAAATCGAAGATAAAAGATGCTTGAAGGCTCGTTTAAAAATAAATTGAAATTAATTTATTTGAATAAGAAAATAGATCTTTCAAGTGATTTCAACGGAATGAACAATAATCTTTGCTCGAATGGAAAAAATATAAGGCGCTAGTATTGTTGAGATTTGAATATATCAGAAAATACTCTGGCTATTCTTCTTTAAAAAAATAAATTCGTAGAAATCTCTCTTCTATTGCGGGAACATTCAAAGACATCCTTTTGTTCACCTATCTCTTGGTTACGAAGCTATCCGCGATACTCGACTACCTGTTATTGGCGCGTTGTATTTTTGGCGATAGATCTCTGGGCAGACTCGTCGTTACAGATAAAATGAACATCGTGTCAGACTTGCTGAGATGTGATTAGATCGGTTTTACTTGAATTCTTGAGGATCGATGGTCCAGGAAGCTTCTGAGCGGTGCCGGATGTGGTCGACGGTTGCACCATCATTGGTTGACCGTTTACCAAAACTATGGTGTCCCTTACGGAATCGTATCCTCCTGGTGGTCCTGGAACATTAAAATTATTTCATGATATTCTATTAAACAAATACATATAGAGTTGCGCGCTGATTGGTCAATTTTTCAATTTTCAACAACGAAATGTGGCTAAACCACTGATCCCATCGAAAAGTGCTACAGAATTAAATACACCGCTGTCCAGTGGTGTAGAGGTCTTCGGGGTATTTGTTAACACCGTGTACATGAGAAAATAATAATGACGCCTTCCATATGACCCTAATGAACCCTTAATGAAATAAAACTGATTATTCCGTCCCATTTGTCCGGGCATGTTAATCAAATGACCATCGTAGCGTGCATTATATTTAGATTAATAATCCAGCGGTCGGGTTAAATCCTATTACAACCGAGGATGATGAGCTTGAAATTGCAGCTTCGTAAAGGGGTTACTTATACCGGCCATAACGTGTTTAATATAGAAGTTGGTTTGAAAGCGCGATGGCGTTTACTTGCACGCGACTGGAGCTTAATTAAGTTCCTGGTTACCTGGTGACGGTGTGTGAGTGAGAGTTCTCGACGGGGTCAAGGAATTCCTAGCCGCGGGACCCCAGTCGGAAGTAGGCTGCAAAAGCATCTTTGCACGCCACCATACGCTCTTGTTCTTGCTTTTCTTCGTTTTCCCTTTTCCTGATCTTTGAGAAGAGGGTCTGCCGTCCAGGTCGTCGTCGTCATCGTCGTCGTCGTCGTATGCTGATCGACGACGAGGATCTCTTAGTTGGTTCTGTAAGTAATGCTTTTCATAATAGTTCTCTGACAATTTATATATTATTCTTAAGAAATAATAATTACTTACGATGGCCACGAAAACGATGACCAGAATGGGTATCATACCGACGACCCATCCAACGATGTCCGCCCACCTTGGATACACGTATCCTCCGTACTTCAGGGGTTCGTATTCGACCCAATTGAAGAAGAGAATGAAGAACAACGTAGCAGGAGTAATAACTTTCCACATCCAAGTCCAGAAAAACCTCCAAAGACGGCTACGTGGTCCAATCATCTGCTGGACATCGTCGAGAAATCGATCCGCACCATAGATCCAAGCGACCAGGATACACTCAGCTATAGCGATCAACAGCACCGACCAATTGGCTGCGTATTTGTCCATCAATTGCAGCCAATACATTCCAGCCTGATCGATGAAATAATAAACCACATAATCATAGAAATATTTTAATTTTATTTTCTCTAAACTTACATTGGTAGTGAAAATGATTCCACCGGCGTAACCGAAAACAGCCGCGGCGAATACAACCCAGAATTTGTAGTTCCTCAATGCCGGAAAAGCGTCAAGAATCGCAGTGGTGACAGTTTCCATCAATGCAAATTGCGAATCCAGGCCCAGGCTAAGAAGCATCACGAAGAAAAGCAGCGACCAGACTGGCGCCACTGGTAAACGAGCTACTACCTGTATTTTTTAATAAAGAATTTTAAACTTATCCATTATCGATCCTTTCGTAGATTCACTCACTTCAGGATAGACGATAAATGCTAATCCAGCCCCCTGATCGACGACCGAGGCGACCGGGACATCGAGCTCGTGGGCCAGGAATCCGATCACAGAGAAAATTACGAAACCGGCGAAGAAAGACGTGCCGATGTTACTGACCGCGACGATCAGCGAATCCTTGTAACAATTGTTGTTGAATTTGTTGTAGGAGCTGAGAGTGATGAGGCCACCCCAAGCTGGGCTCAGGGCGAAGAAGATTTGCACCGCTGCGTCGCCCCATACTTTCGCGGACATCAATCTCCTCCAATCGGGCGTAAGATAAAAGAGAATACCCTCGCTGGCACCGGGTAGCAAAATGCCCCGAACGAAAAGAACAATCTAACCGATGAAAAGGTTAAATTATATTTAAATAAATATAATTTACGTTAAGAGCTAACGATTAATATGTCCAACTTACCAAAACGAAGTACGGGAATAGAGCAGTGAAGTACACAACCTTTCCTGAGCTTTGAACACCTTTGCTCAGACAGAGGAAGACGATGATCCAAGCTAACAGGAGATTCACCGCCATCGAGGGTCGAATAGACCCAGTCTCCTCGATTCCACTACTCATTCCCAATACGTGATTGCTGAATGAAATAGAAATACTTATAGTAATAGATGTAATTACTTTAGAATCTAGATGGTATGATTGATTTTTTTTACTTGAAATATTCTTCAGCCGGTGGTCTTCTAATGGCGCTGGTGATATTTTCTATGGTCAAACCCATTGATGCCATCTGGGTAGAATTCAAGCATTTCATTTTGAAGTAGCTCATGTTTTGAGACGCACACGCCTCGGCAGCTTCTGGCATGAAGCAATCCTCGGTGCTCCATGGTGATTCGCATTTGCTCCATGGTAAGTTACCAGCTCCTATGGTGTTCAGAATATTTCTTTGATAGCGCCAGAGGCATCTAATCAATCATTTAATATCGCGGATATTCTCCTCGCATGTCTGCTTTTAAATTCAAATACGAACAACTTTCTTATGGAATATTGGCCGAGTTGATCGGTCGATCTGAAAACATCGCGTATTATTTCTTCCACGCTAATGCTCTTCTTAACCCGATTTCTTTATTGCCCGTGATCGAACGTAAAGCTGCAGTTACGTAACAGCAGGATATTACTCGCGTGCAAGCTATAACCCGACGAATCTAAATCCATTCTGTCGATGCACAAAAATTGTGCTCGATAAAAAAGAATCGAACGATTGGTCGTTCGAACCAAGTGGGCCATCGAGCTTATTGTCGCGACGATTCGTGATAATCACTTTTAATCTGGCAATTATGTTATCCGCGGGAATAAAATTTGAAATTTTAAGAAACGACTGTTGAAATCGTTGAAGCTTACCAGCCACTGAATCAAAGATGTAATAAAGCGTCCAGGCGATGATCAAGTTGTAATAAAGCATCACCACCGAGCTGACTAACACCATTCCATAACCCAGGCCACGCAAGAGGGGGCAGAAACGTTTGTAAGCTGCCACTGGGCCAAGGCTCGCGTACTGCCCTGGGGAGAATATCGCGAAAATGAAAGAAAAAAGAAGAAACGGATCAATAAGCCATCGTGGCAAATTCCCGATGCACTTGTAATTTACAGAGGTGCATCGAATCGCGACGGAGGTCGATCTCGTGAATGGTTCACCGATCACCTAAAAGTAATTCATCGAATTAAATTGAGTATAGAGTCTTCCTAGAAGCTCGTAGATAAAGAAGTTTCCCGTTACCAGCAAGGATGTGGCAAGTAATATTAAAGTACATCTTATTTTCATGGAAACTTATATTACTTTTTATTGGAAAACGAAATAGAAGTCTTTCGTAGCAAATTATGGTGGATCTGATAAATTCTCAAAGTTTCATCTCTGAAAAATAAATAATATCACCTATGAAATAAAGAGAATTATTTATAAAAGAAAATGAAAATTAACAGAATTCAGGATTAAATTGAAATTGTTTCTATTGATAGAGTGTTGAAGCGCGAGCGGAGAAGGTCATTGAGGCGTACTCCAGGTGAGGCAAAACCATCCAGAAATAACATTACGTAAGCTGGTGTAAAGAGGAACGATCGTTCATTGATCGGTCTATTTCGGTGAATTAACGAGCGTGCATAAACCTGACCTTGCCGGTAGTGTGACGATAAGAATACGGTTTGCATTCTTACGTCGTCTATTTCCGTACGATTCAAAGATGTCAGCTTTTGTTCCTCTCTCTCGTAATAATTGAATTCCGGTATTTCTATTCTTGGATTGCATCGTTCCTGGACATCGATAATGAGAAACGATGACACGGACGCAATTGGAAAAAGGATAAAATAGTCGGGCTAAATTGTCGGCCATCAAATATCGAGAAAGTTTCTAGTATTTCGACGAGGCAACCGTTGTTTTTACACCCTCCGGAAAGTTTTCGCACGAGTTCGACCGATATCGGGTTAATCGATAGTCGTTTCGTGGCACAGCTTTGTACTCTGACTGCAAAGCTTCTTTGTAAGAAGCATGAAAGGGAAACGGCTTGAAATAAAACCGTACCATCCCTTATGCGAATCTTTATGATACTATAATCGTCTAAACACCAGCTTGGAAAATCTCAAAGAACGATATTTTTTTTTAATAACAAACCTTCGTATCTAGGAAATGAAAAAAGTCCTGAATCTTTTATGTAAAATATCAAAAGATAGATAAAGATTTACATGCTTACCTAAAGATAGTTCCATGAACATCAAGGGTAGCCCGGCGATGATGAGCATTATCGTAAACGGTATTAGAAAAGCACCACCTCCGTTCGAGTAGCACAGATACGGGAATCGCCAAACGTTTCCTAGGCCAACGCTGTAGCCCAGAAGAGACAACAGGAAGTCGAATTTTCCCGTCCATGTGCCACGTTCCGGATGTTCGTCCTCGCCAGCTTGCAACGGTGCTTGGCTGTTCGCCACCGAGTACTTGTCTTCGTTCTGCTAAGGAAGTGAAAAATATTTCTATTAATATATATCATTCAATAATCACCAAGGTGTCCTGATTTTCCTTGATAAGAGCAGTTTCCCAATACCGATTCGATAAGGAGCTCCTCGAACTGAACTGCAGAGTTTGCAAAGTTTTCTGTGGGAACGGTGAATGGTAAAGGGCCATTGGGAAATCACTGCTAACAAATTGCTTCGACAATACGATTTGTCATGCACCCTCTAATATTCACGCGATTATTAATCGCTCGTGACCGACACAGGCAACAGCTGCGGATACGCGAGTCACGCGTGTCAAGTGCAACGTGAAACCGGATGATTTACGCTTTATATGCATCGTGATACGTGTGTAATGCGTGAAAGCGCGAAATCATTAGGAAATCAATATTTAATCTTTTCGCCGTGAAAGAGCTATAGAAAGAAAATTACTTTTGCCAAAATTATAACAATTTGCTGACAGTCTTTTTCAATATTTTTAATCAACCTCGAGCAATCGTGAAAATGTTCAGTCTGTTTTCCAGAAAAATATTCGTGTAGCAGGGAAACTGTAATAAAGGAAATTGTTAATGGAACGTAATAAATGAGAAATTGATGACGCAAATATTAAAATTCGCGCGATATTGGAAACGATATTTGCCCGTATTTGTGTAAAATTCCTTTCGCGTCTATATCTGATTTCCTTTTCTAGTCCACTGATCGATCGAGCTAAATCCGTTTGACAATCGAAGAAACATCGAAAGCGACTGCTTCTATGAATATCTAATACGCCAATCAGCGGTGATTAGGCTGTTAATTATTCGAGAGATCGTATCTCTTGAACGTTCTGTCTTTCCTATGTCTCTGCGTACATTATTCAACGAATTAGTGAGATTCCCTGTCTTTATCTAGTATTTCAATCTTTCGGCTTTAGTCAACGGGGTAAGAAATTCAGATTCATTTCGCTCTTTGTTAATTAATCTCCTCTATCCACGGACCATTGTCTGACCGCCTAAGAATTAATTTCCGAAGAAGATTCAGAATGCTTTTCCACGGACCATTCAGAGGACGTTTGTTTGTCCGTTTGCTTGAATTGTCGTACTCATTAAGGTCGGGTTTAAAAGTTTCTCGCGGCGATTCGTTAAGCGTTCGCCTTGATACTTGAAAACCTTTGCTTTTCGCGAATCGATTAAGGCCCGAGGAGGTAAGCCAAGGAAATTTCATTTTCGAGATGGATTCTGGCTTCGAGGCACGCTTATCATCGATTTCCCTTCAAGTTTCGAGCTCTTAAGAATATCATCTCGATATTCAAGAGAATTCAACGGAATCTTGCTGACAAAGGCCTGGAGCCACATCAAATTTCCATTAATCAACAACGGATGAATAATTATTAATATCGTAGAGACTATAGAATCGTTCTATTGAAACTATTGATACGTTACGATCCAAGTAAGAGCTGCTGCCAAGAAAATTCCGTCAACCGGGAAGAAAATAGAGAAAGCAGGAAATTGAATAATGAAACGGTACACCGACTGTATAGCGACATCGTCTGAACTCGTACGAATCCTTTTGAAACGTTGATTACAAAAGGAAGGAGAAAGCGACGTCAAAGTTGGCGAGATGAAAATACGATCAAACAACGTAACATCAGCCTCAGAATTAACGAGAATCAAACGTTCTACAGCTTCGTACGGAAATCAATGGTACGATTGTTTCGATAAGAAAGAAAGAAAACGCGAGGAAAGTGAAAATAAAAGTTGCAGCTCAAAGGGCAATTCAACGGTTAACTCACGACCGTCTGTAAAACGATGCAATTTTGAAATGGAACACAATAAACGTCAAGCGAACAATGGTTTTCGCGAGTTGAGATTGTATAAGTGTTGCATGGAACGAGGGACTGGTCCAAAGTGGTTGGTATCCTTCAGAACCACCAAACAGTTTCGTGCTCTCGCGAATGTGCGCGGCCACAATTTCCATAATTCGAGTTTCAATCGAAAAAAGTCTCGACAATTGCATTCTTCATCCGAGTCTTTCCACGTTTTTCTTCTTTCTGTCAAGATCGCAAATGCTGTTTCACTTTTCACTCTTTGAAATCCAACGAAGAGGAGAATCTACGTACGTGTAATTTCTAATTAATTGATTTATAAACGCCCAGACGTGTGACAATCTAATAAAACTCGAATTTCAATTGATTAATTTGTACATGCTGGAACGTGCGATAATCTAATGAAATTTTAATTAGTCAATTATATTCAAACGTTCGGTAATATATTATTTTAATTTCAATCAATTGATTTATGAATGTTTGGCAATCTAATATTATTTGAATATCAATTGATCTGTTTATAAACGCTCGAGTACTAATAATCTAATGATATTGTAATTTCAATCGTTTCACTGAGATTTTGCCAAAATTCTGTTGAAGACTCTCGATGAAGGAGCTAACACAGAATAATAATGTAATGGGATTATAATTTCGTTATCGAACGACCCGTAAGCGTTTAAAACAATCGCTTAAAGTGATTATGCAACTTCACTTACGTCCCAGCATTCCAGATAGGAACGAATCCTTGGCGAGGACTCCTCCATCCTCCAAACTGGCACCGAACGCGTCTACGAAGTCAGTCGAGTCTTCTCCTCTTCATGCTCTGCGAATATCCGACAACTGCTGCTGGCGTCTTTGTTCCAAATCCATTAGCATCCATCGTTAATGCAAATTTTCGTTCGTACTGTAAATTTCGCTAATTTCCATTTCATTGATTCTTCTAAACGACTTCCTGTCTTTGACATTCATTCTTCAAAGCTTCATTCGTCTGTCTCCTAAAAAAAAAAGAGAAACAAACATTTCAGAAATAGTATGAGATTTTAAATGGCAAGTAATAGAGTCAGTGAAGAGCCATCTCCGCTATTCAAGGGTTAGACAATAAAACAATTTACACATGGCCATTTCCACTGTAGCAATGAATGTGTTAATAAAATTGACGAGTTATGTAAATAAATTTTATTGCATTCCGACCTATTTTTCGAAGGTCCTTTCCGAGCTTCATTGAAATTTTATTGCGTTCCCTACTATAAGCAATAATACGTAATGACAATTTGTAACCATTTGGAAAATGTATGTTACAATTTCATTTCCTGTCCTTAACTCTTGGTGAATTATTTATCGAAGTAGTTATCGCCAAACGCAATAAAGATTACAACTCTTTCGACACGTAGAAAATGGTCACGCCGCTAAACAATAACTACCCACGTCCTAATTGCTGTTATCAAGTTCACACCAGATACATGGCCATGCAATAACGTAGTTACTCCTTCCAATGCTTGTCGCTTTGTAGCTGACAGTCCAGGTCACGCCGTATTTCTACCCCACCCACTATTTCCGTCATTCCCTTTTCCCGCCGTTAATTGCGGGACTCGACCGACTCGATACCTTCAGTTTCGCAGAAATATTAAATATGAGATAAACATCGCTTATCCCTCGATAAATACACAATCTGGATAACCATTCATTGAAACGGATTAAAATGAAGGGTATGTGAATGTGCATTAAATGTGTATTTAGTACCATTTAATTATATTGGTATCGTTCAAGAAAAATGAGTAATATCGATGCTTATGTAAAAGAGATTGAATAGAAACGTTCAGTGAAAAATTTAAACCACCCCCTCGAATAACAATTGCAAGATTATCATACCTATTCGTTTCAAGAACAATACATTTAATCTGAACCCCATAATAGCAGTATTCCCAATTCATGTTTAAGTCCCATTTAATTTAATAACCTTCCGTTATTTACAGTGTCACCCCACAAAAGTACAACTCTCAATCGAAAACAATGTATCCTTCGAAGCGATTTGGAACATTCCACTCGCGAGTCTGGATGGAAAAATCTGTTCTACGTAGAAGATTCCCAGAAAGGGTGGAACGATGGCGCGGATTATTTTAACGAGATCGATGTCGAACAAAGTGGTGGTCGTCGGGGTGGAAAAGAACATCGCGGTTCAGATTAATCGAAGGTCTGGATAAAGATCTCGCCACGAGAGAAGCTGACACGTTCAACTGGAAAAAAGATTGTATAAATCGAACGTTAACGAGTAAATCGATCACGATTAGAATCTATCGATGAACAGAAAGGGAGCGGAGAGGGTTAACGTTAACCGTCAGCTGTTGACCTTGTCCGCGACAGACTTTCATCTTTAACCTTTCCGTAACAAAGCGAGCACCCTCTTTGCGTGAAATTTTGTCCCTCGTTAATTTGCAACGATCGAACAAATCGATTCACATCCCCTTTTTACCTTTTTTTTTTTTTCGTTGAAATTGTACGCGGAGAGAATTCGTATTCATTTGAACGAGTATTATTTCCATGGTACTAATGAAGAAAAAAAGAGCGCTAATATTTCATATGTTTCCGATATTTACGCCCTCTTACTGAGCCACTTCGCGTGTACAACAAAATTTACAACGTACGATGTTACTATAGTCACGTTTAAGTGTCACCCCCTAATAACCAGGATGGCAGTTCACTGTTCGCTATACCATGAATCCTACACCTCCTTACATAAAGCTGAACACGATAGCGCATTCCTCTTTCGTGAAATCTGTGTCAGTGTAACCCGATTCAAGCGGCACGCAAGACTTTCAATAATCGTCACGCGAAACCAGGTAACGATATCAACCGACATTTAAACCCCGAATCCAAACAAATTCGTATGAAATGGGGCAAAAGAAATGAAATAGTACATGACCAACTCGTAAAAACGCGATATACATATAATCCTGTAATATAGCGAACTTCTTCCTCCTTATAAATCACCCCCATATAGGGGTAGATACTCCGAAGCTTTTGAATTAGATGCTTTTCAACAGTATTTACTCCTATTATAAGGGGTGATTTTTGAAGATGAAGTATTGTTAAGAACACAAAGTTGTTTTGAACTTTGAAGCTCCCTGCTTCGTTGGATTTTAACCTTTCTCGTTCACTTTCTTCGTCACGCGATGCTACATAAGCCTATTACCCCTTAGAAAGACTAAAGATAGACTCGTCGATCCCACCGATTAGAAGGTATTAGAAATTTTTTAATTTTTTAAATTATTATACAATCAGCGTACAACCAATCAAACCCACGTTCCTCTCTCGTTGATCATACTTTCAACTATGCACTATACCCTTATGATCACAAAATATGTAGTAATCTTCGAAGTTCGGTTACTACGTAAATACCGGACGAATGTATGGTTCGCCGGGTTTGAAAGTGATCCCGGATGCGAATGATCCCGAAAATGGACACGCACCTGATTATCCCCGATGACGCAACGTTCTCCGTGGACGTCCGCCGGAATTCCGCTTGGCCGTTGCTCGATCAGCTGTGGCTAGTAAGCCACTGGTTGTCGCGCTGCCATTGGAGAACTTGGTGAACCGTGCGCCAAGGTCAGAGACACGAACTGCCACTGGCTTTCAAGGTCACAGCTACGAAACGACCGGTTTTACGTAGGTTGTTTGTCCGGCACTCGAGCACTGCTATAATGATTTCTTAATTTGGCTACTCGTCTCGTGCACCAGTCACCGGTGATGTTAAACAGTGACTGCGAGAAAAGCGAGGTGACACTGAAAGAAGTGGAGGAGATCAGAGACAGAGCAGACGAGACGGAACGGAACGGGACGAGACGAAACGTGACGAGACGAGACGAGACGAGACGAGACGAAACGAGACGAGACGAGATGAGACGAGGTGAGACGGACGGACGGACAGACAGTGGAAACGGTCCGTGCCCGGGCAGCCAGCCAGCCAGCCAGCCTGCCTGCTTATGGGAGAGCTTTTCTACTTGCAGCACCCCCAGTCGACCCTGTCGAGCCTCGAACTCGACGGATCGATCGATATTACTGCTCCTGCGAGCTGCGTCCTACCCTAAACCTTGCACTCTCTCTCCTCTACCACTTCACCATCTACTCTCTTCACCTCTGACGGCCACCTTTACCCTGTGTACCTATCGTTCCGAGGGAAACTCTTTAACTTTCGGAAACGCTACTCGGTCTTGCGATTCAACGTCTTTGTTCTTTTTCTTTCACTTTCTTCATTTTTTCCCTTCTTTCTCTTCAACGCGTTAACGCGTTCCCTGCGAACACTATGGATTCGACGTTGTATTCTTCGGGGTATTTCTACGACGCACTTTCGCGCTACGCTCGATTAACACTATTAGTATTATTATTAACACTTTAACTTTTCCTAACATTATTTCTAATTAGCGTATTATGTAATAATGCTGATTTGAAAATTGCCATTTTTACGACGAACATTATTATCCGGAGAATATCCGCATCTCTTGGTCTACAGGAAACACGATAGTTGGTAATCGACACCATAAATTTAGCATAGTTGAATAATTAAAAGGAGTAATTGCTCGTTCAGCTTTGATACCAGTAAATAGCACCCTTCTAACTACTTAGACCCTCTTCAGTACTCTTTTGTGTTTCCGATTATCTTCCCATTTTTCTCGAGCACCTTTTGTGCTCTTTTTTTATGTCTCGCGGATATCGAGTTTATTTTCGTACAATCTCGTTATCTTTAATACAAAGGATACATAATGCCGTAGAAAACGAAGTCGGTTAATAAAACAGAAAGTCTTTGAAAGGCTCCTTTGAAGAAAAAAAAAAATGATTTCCTCAATATGAAAAAAAAAACTCCCACATCTTTATGTAAATATAGAAATCAGAAAAAATTGAAACTCTCTTTGAGAATCGGAAAACCATTGCTTCGTTTCTTTACGTCAACCTTCGCACACAAACACCTATCTCAGATCTTTCTTTCTCGTCGGAGCCCCGATTCGTGACGTTTTCTTTTCATATTTTATGTCCACGTTTACCTATCTACCTGTTCATCGATCATGCTCTTCCTCGCTTTCTGTTTCTTTCCCGTAATGCAAGTATGACCATCGCCGAGACGGAGAAACGGAATCCTTCGTTCCCTGTTCATCGAAAGTAAGAACGACAGGAAACGATGTCAAGATTAATACAAATCGAACTGTATCGCCATATGACGTTCGAATTTTTCAGGAAAATCAATAGAAAAGCTGGTCGTTGCAAGATTTATCAGCACGAACGTGTTAATTTCACGCGGTGACAGTGACTGAGCACATTTAATGGAATTTGAAATACGAAAATTACAATCACGGGGATTATTATCCTTGCAGAAGCTTCTGAGAAACTTCTAAAGTAAATGATGAAACTTGTAGCGTTTTAATTTGAAACACAGCCAATCAAAAAGGTATTGGCACACCGAGTAAGCAGCCTGTTGAATACGAAACAGATTACGAGACTCCCGAAAGTCTGGCACGATTCGATGACATAATAGTATCATCAAATAGCACTTACGAAATATCAATTTAAAATTTAAAGTTCGATGAAAATGACTGAGTAAAAATTTGAGAGAGTAGCCGGGTCTTCGTTGAAAATTTTGATAGTTGCTTTCGAATGATCGATTACGCTGTCTGTATGGAAAATTATTCAAGCACTGTCGAATTACCGAAAGCAATTTACATGGCCTAGATAATACTGGCTGTTACTTGCTCGACTTGAATGGAAACAGTCACGCAAGTTGTTAAATTGTGGGACAACAAGAGTCCACGTTCTTGCTGCTGCATTGTATCAGAATGCTATTGTTTCGAGTCGATGTCACCCGACGTGATATGTCAGAACGTTGCAAAGTTCTCTTCCACGCGATATCTAAGGTTGAAAGATAACGGTTGCAGTATTCCGAGAAACATATTTAATGGATAAACTTCGATTCCGGGAAATCGAGATGATAAATTTTGCGTGCTGTGAATTAATTACTGGTAATTATTTAACATTCGTAAGTTCTTATGTTCATATTCAAAGTGATTTCGCTACAACGAACGTGTTAAGAAGCACAAACGTCCACGAACAATACTGTTTCCCGGGTCAAATTATAAATTTCAGGTCATCGAAGTCAAAGTAAAGTTTTATGCACTTTTCTTTGACCATCTGTGTTCTTTTCCGATTTCCTCGCGCACCGTTGCTCACCTATGAAAACCATTGTACCTACATGCCTACGCGTTTCGCCTGATATAAAGAAAAACTTCAAAAATAACCCGTATAGGTAAATTACACAAGAACGAGGTGCTCGTAATATTGCGTGTAATTAAAATTATAAGAAAATATTGCAATTACGTGTCTTTGGTAAACAGGAAATGACAGTTTGAACAAGTCAAAACGATCGTGAAACAACACTCGTACGAAAGGTGATAACGTTGCTGCCATATCTATGGGGCTAGATTCATGGGACACGAGGCTCAGATTCAGCAACGACCTATAGAAACACCCACGACCTGTACAACGCAATTTCAACCCTCTGAAACTTGTGGGAAGTAATAAGGACAGCCTAAAGCTCGTGGGATACGATTATGGCCCATTTGAAGTTATCGAGGCCAATGAGGACAGTCGGAAAGATTTATAGGGGACTATGTTTCAAATATCGTAACGCATTATTGCGCACAACATTGAGAGAAAGCATTGCTAATGTTGTTTCAATGTAATAACAACACTCGGTAGGGGAATACGCTCGATCGATTTTCTATAACTCCTATTTTATAACCACGAACAAAGCAGGCATAAGGAATTTGTCATTGTTTCTCATTAGCATAATAGGATATCTTTAATGAAACAGTGGAGTATTGGAAATTTTGTTTGAAGAACAGTAAATGTCAATTAATGTCTAAATGGCAAACGACGACGAAAAACATAGAAATCCAATGATCTTGCGTTGATAGAGGATTTATTATAGGAAGTCAATCTTTCTAATCAAATATTTAACGTGTAATATCCTAGTGGAGAAGCTTTTAATTCGTGATGCAATGAACATTAGCTGCGAATATTATAAATTGCAAATGACGTCAAAGATCCCGTCATCGAAATCTCGGTAGGTGGACAGTATATTCTTGCTGTGCCACGCACGATAAAAGCAGCACCGTGGAAAATCCTTTCTGATGCATGGCCCGGGAATTTTATTATAGTCCGCAACTGCAGCAGTTGATTTCGCCCACGGAAAGGCGTGACAATGATTTCTCGATAATCACCTGAAAATTAATGATGATTATTAAACGCCCCTCTGAGGTAGTCCGGTTTCTTTCTCAAGAAATTCACAGTAGTAACTGAAGCTTTTCCATCGTGAAAGAAATATGTACAATTTTCGTAAAAGCTCCTGGAACAGATCATAAAAATTCTCGGGAAAGATTCAACGGGATACACCTTCAACTTTTTCCTCCTACAACGCCCTTAATCCCGCCACGACCTTCAGGAGTTCTCGCATCTAGTTCCCCTTAAAGTTGTCCGCTCGAGAAGAAGCTCACCTGCGGGCGAGGAGGTGATTCGATAACGAATCTCGGTCCACCGAATATATCGACCGACGCGAAGTTTCGTGGCCATAGAAAGGGAACAGATTCGAGAAGGTCAAAGCAGCCCTTTTCGTGTTGACAAGAGGGCTGCTTCTTTCTCCCTTTGCGTGATCCCTTTTAAAGTGGAAAGAGAACGTATCCACTCGAGCGTAACCTTATTGATCGTGACGATTCTTTTCAACCAATTTACGTTTCTATTAACATTAATTTCGATTCGAAACGAATTCAACGCAATTTGAAATTTTTCTGAAATTAAAAAATTTCATAATAGCTGATCTTCTATAATGGTAACAATATTCTAATTAATGACCTTCGCAACAATCAAGATGGTTAATTTGAACGGTAAAGGTGTTAAATCGAATTTCAATCTAAATTTAAATCAAGCAGCATGTTAGAAATCATAGAAATCAATTGATGGACAAATTTCGGCCTGGACAATGGATTGATCGATCGACAATGGTACAAGATAAACACGGGCTGGCCTTCGTGGTCTTGAGACGCGTAAACACATTCACCTTTCACGGCCGAATAGCCCGATTACCTCTGTTTCCATCGAGAACTGGTGAGGAATTACGGGCCACGTTTAATTAACGAGTCCGACGCGTTAATTATCGCGGCGACTGGTCGAGGACACCGGCTGCCAGCTGGGATAACGACGCCATCTTCCTCGACCAGCGGGGTTGAAACAAAACAGAGGAAGCTTGATCCAAGGAAAATTAAAGCGACGCTTTCATTCGCGAAGGGCAAATTTTATTCTACCTTTAACATTTTAATTGCCACAGTAAATTCAATAATTTTATTTAAAACAAAAATAAGTACTTAATTATTTTTCTTGAATTAAAACTTATCTCTTTCGATAAAAACTCAATTAAATTAACAGCTTCTACAGAAAAAGAATTAATATAATAATCCAGGCCAATAATTTGCTAGCAATATTCATAAAAATATCGAATATAGCTGTTGAAACGCGTAATAAAATGCCAATAATAAAAATATATGAATTCATTGTTTGCGACGCACAAAATTGAATGTTCCAATTTCGATGCTATGGTATTCAGTGTTCGTTCAATTGATCACCATTTCTCACCCCTTGCTCACCCTTTCATGGTCGTCCATGAAACGAAAGGGTCACCTATTATGCAACAGACCTCAAAGATCCGAGAGCCAGATTCGCAGACAGTTGTCTATTGAACAGATAAAAGCAAAAGAAAATTTCCAAAGAAGAAGATGCCGAATGATAGGAAGATGCAAGAAAAAGAGAGATTAAAAGATCGAACGGAAATTGTGCTGACCGATAGCAATGAAATTCAAAGATAAAACCCTATCGATTCGAGGAGCTGTAGCCTTTGAAATTGTAAAAACGATAAAACGATGATAAAAAAAAAATTCTCAAGTTCCTTGGTCCACTGAGCTTTAGTTCTAAAGATGACCTCTCCAACTGGTCATTTGTTTTCACGAATGACTAATTCACTTGAGAGTGACGTTAAATTACGACGAATTATTGAATCTGACCATTGTGATCCGAGAGTAGAGAGAGGTGAAGTTTAATATAAAGGAAAGTCGATATGAGCAGCGAGACGTAACGAGGAACAACGATACGACCAGTCGTGCATTCACCACGAGATCATTACTGTCGGAATTAGAGCCTCTTAGAAACAATAGCGTGCAACATACACTTTGCAATGGAAGATAAAGAATGGAGAGGGAATAAAAAAAGAGAAATTAAGAATTTTGAACGTTTTCTCTTTAGAATCTTAGAATGTAAATAATCTATCCTAGTTTTGATATATTTTATCTCAGTTCACGTACGTGAAATGTTCTTTGCAAAAGAATTAAGCCAAACAAATTGGCTTGCTTCCAAATAATTTGGATATTTCCTTTGAAAAACAGACAAACGTACGACACACGCTAAGGCTGCGAGTAAATTGTACAAAGAATTAAAGGAGAACTCACATCCGGGAATACAAAAAAACGTTCGAAAGGGATAGAGAAGCAAAGAACATGTAACAGAAACAAACAACGGGGAGTGATGAGAAAAAATGCGAAGCGTCGAATAAAAGATGAGAATAAAAATAGGATGAGGGAAAAAAGCGTACATCCGTTGTACAGGGAAAGGAAAAGAAGGGTGAAAGAGGTAGATAGTCGTAGAAGGGGTAGAGAGTGGCAAACGAATGGCAAAGTTGGCCTTGATCGAAACTCGGCCGCATCCAAGCGGAAGCTTCATCCCCTATCAAGCAACCTCTGGTCCCTATAAATCCGTGTACCTTTCTGCTTCCCGCTCTCAATCGCTCTCGTCATCTCACTTCCGTCTTTACCACTGTTAAAAAACAGAAAGAAAAACAGCTAACCCTTGTTTGCTGCACCCTGATCAGAATTAACAGTTGTCTCTCAAGTGAGGTGTTGGAATATTTGATCATTAAGAATGTGAAAATATTTAACCCGTGACCACTTGACACCCTTTCGATACGCTTTCCATAGTGTAAAATACTAATTTAATACCGATTCAAGCTGAGAAATCGATCGATCACTTTTTCTCCTCACGTCCCACTGTCGTCTTTCGACAATTGAATAGATACTCGCGAGAATTTAATGATTTCCTCTTTCGTGATTTTAGTGGAGCGCGTCCGCTGGCCTGTTATTGTGCTCAACTTTCGAATGGCCGCGATTTCGTGGGTATTTTTAAAGTCCATTTCGAACGGTGAAATAGAGGACGGTGAGATCAAGGAGAATGAAAAATCAAACGGATTTACATAACATCGTAAAATTAAACGGAGTTTAAATTTCTAACCGAAAGGATTTTCTAGTAATTGATTCCTTAAAATTTGTTCCACCAAGAATGAGAAAAACGATCGGTGACTATTAAAAAATTGAAGAGCAAGTTAAGGCGGCTAATGTTCCAAACCTTTGACATATTTCGAATCAAGACTAGATATAAGCGTGTATCATCGAAAAATCTCGAGTAGTTGGCTTAGCACCAAATTACTGATGACATCTCGCTTGTACGAGCACCGATTTCTGTCTAATCAGCGGCTCTTGATCATCTAGCTAAATGGTCCGAGCTATCTACTCACGGAAGCGATCTCGAAAACTTTAAATCACACTATCAACTTGAAAACTTGGTAACTCTCGGTTGTTCGCTCGCTTGAACACGCAACAAACCGTTAAGCGTAAACGAACTCGTTCTAGATCGGTTTACCCGGAATTTCGGGAACATTTTTCATTTATTTAGAACATCCAATCGATGGATGTTGACAAGAACATATGAGGCTCGATCCCATCATTAATCATCAGATTCGTTTCTCTCGAAAATAAATCAAACTGCACCAAGTAATTTCGTGAAAATTTACACTCATTTAACATTGCAATTAACGAGAACGCGTTTGGATAAAATGTAACTCTCATATGCAGCAAGGTGTGACCGAAGGAGCGGTTTTATTCGCGCATCGAATGGCACCGCTCGCCACCGATAATTTCACCCCTTTTTACAGCGAACTAATGGTTTCCTGTTCGCGTCAGTCTCTCGTTTCGCCCCAAAAGCCTCAATTTCCCTTTTACATTCATCCCGAACCGATCGAAATTATCGAATGACTTCGCTATTCGACTCTCGTTCGCTCATTGTAACAAAATCGGCCAAGGTATCGTAGCCGACAGTCCACCTGCGATAACGTGGCCTGGAATTAAGCATAGAATCAATATTCTCTTTAAGAACTATAAGATTTTCAGCATATAGACCACTTAGATAGTTGAATAATTGAACTGCATTTAAATAACTAGAAATTTAATTATACATGTTGTTCAATAAAGAGCTAATACAGTTAAGTATTAAACGAATGAGACAAGTAAATAGGTTTTATATATTTGAATATGGAGAACAGTTCAAAAACTGGATTTTCTCGTGTTGCATAGCTTCAGGGGTTTCTAATTTTCTGGTCGATCTTTTCGTTTCTTTATAATGTTTACAATAAATTCTCCGTTTATCGTTGAAAGGTATGTTGAAATAATGATCAAGGATTATGTTGAAAAATATACAATATAAAATCTGCATATTAATAAGTTTTTAAATAGATATGGATTAGTAAGTATAATATAAGATCGATCTATGTACCAGGAGAATGATGAATGTATGTATGTACAGAGTCATTGTTACATAAAAAAGATGTACTTATATGTGACGATTACGATACACTGACGTATATCGTAAATCCAAGAATCATCGAACAAACATTGATAAGAAGGTGTATATCGTAATAATAAAATGTGTTCTTTTAAAATCAATCCATTCGGAGAAAATCATTTTGCTTGGTGCATGATCTAGGTCACTTTCGTCGAGTTATCGAAAAATCGAAAAACATCGTGGTGTTCGATTAATCGAGGATCTCGATATTTGCAGCTGGTCGTCTCTGTTCAGAACAGTAGACAGTAACCAAGAAGTGATCACAAAACGAATTCTTTTTTTTGTTTTTTCTTCGGTGTTCTGACATTGACTTGAAAAATTCGTGTATCAACGGGATCGAGGAACATTTTGCATCGTGCATTCACAGAACATTGTTAACCTAACCTCGACCAAATATTCATTTCCGAGTTACGAACAAATATACCTCAAACCACAAACGTACTACGTACTCTTTCTTTCTCTTTTTCACCTTCCTCTTTTTCTCTTCTTCCTCTTTTTCTCTCCTTCTCTCAGTTTCTAATATTTTTCTATTTATCCGCTCTGTTTTTCCTTTTCCTGTTTTACTTGAGAGTATATATGGTAGTGCGTAGTAGGTATTAAAATAGTAGTACAATTGTTGATAAAAGAGAGCTGCTAACTAAATTTAGTGATAGTGCGCAAAGTGTTCGAGGAATTTATGCTAAAATAGAAGATACGGTCGTGGCGAAATTTTCTGTTGCGACCGACGACGAAGAAAGCAAAATTTCGAAGATTCACGGTCTATGAGCGCCAAGGGCCAAGGGGACCCTGGGGAAGATCACGCTTCCAGGTAGCTACGCATTGATAGTCTATAGCAATTATCGTCTAGAACTTTCTCGAGCCAGTTGTGCATTTCTTTCTTTTATCGCTAGTTTTTGAAGACCGAGGATCGCTTTGCGCCTTTCACGGAACGTAATATCTTTACGAATCTACGAGCCTGGGCTATTTTTAACACGCTTTGTTTTGGTGCAACGAAACCATTTGCTTTCCAACCTCAAGAAGCTGATCTTTTTCATAACTGTCATTTCCACTTGAATTGGCAACGTCGCGAATCATTGTTAAGATGTCACGACCATGTGTTCTTAATTGAATGAATTGCGATTATTGGAATACACATCCATTTAATCGAGTTAAACTTTGTTTCTCATTGTTTACAACAATATTTATGTTTGAATTAATAACAATTAATTTGAAATCTGAGTGTCTGCACAAAGAATATTGTTTTTAAGTTTAATATAAAAAGAATAGAAACCTTTGCATGCCAAGTATCACAAATTTACAAATCTATACCACACAATAAAAACATCTGCATGTATTTCATAGGTTATATACTATCACCTGCTCGCAATATCTAACAATAGTTCATTGCAAACGTTAAAATACACAAATGATAGCAATTCTTGCAATGTTTAATTATATTATACATATAAAAGAAGTGTTTCGATATTATGAAAAATGATGTGCAATTATTCTACATAAATATTCTGCACGGTGTTCTGAAAGTAACTATTTGTTAATAATATTTTTTAATTATAGTTTAAAATACCTGTATATTCTAAGCATGTCTTTATTGTTATACTTTATTTTTGCATTACTAGGGTAGGAGCAGAAAGCCCTTGCAGCGACATGAAGCGTGCAGTTGCCAAAAAGTTGATTGAACGATATTTTTATCAGTTAACCGATGGATGTGGTAATCCTGATTGTGACAATCAAAACTGTGCATCAAGTGGTAAGGTACGTGTCTAGAAACTATAAAAAAATGATGTTTAGTCTTGATATAATTGAAATATTTGTTTTTAACCAAATGCTTTTCTAAATAGGTTACAAACCTTACTCCAAACCAAGCTGCTGCACAGGCTATTCAGTTATTTTCACAAGAAGCAAGACTTTGCGATGGTACTCAACCGAGTAAAGTTGCTCGAACCACTTTAGAGCCAGGACCTGCATCCTTAGCTATGAGTTTACCAGTTAAAAATGTGAATCCAACATGTTCGGATGAAGGTATTGCACCACATTCCAACATAAGTTTATCCTTTCTAGTTGATGATGCAGTAACACTACTAAAACTTGTTCCAAAACTGACATTAAATAAACAATATACATCAGATCCTTGTGTATCCTATATTTTATTCCTGTCCCTTCCTGTTTATTTGTAATCCAATATGAATATAAATAAGGATGTATATAAAAAAAAATGAAATTAATATATTATTAGCAGGGAAACAGGATCCATATCTCACAGAAGCAAAATTATTGGAAATAATAGAAAGATGTAAATCAGAAGGGTCATATTCGTTATTAATCCGCACATTGGGAGAAGTATTTTCATGTGCTAAGGCACTGAGCCTTAGTTTTCAAAAAACTGTAAAAAATGACTCTCCATTGGCTGCCCTTCTTGATAGAGCCTCGGATACTTTATTAAGGCCACCTGGAGACATGGACAAAGAAGCAATTCGATCTATTCAAGGAGAAGACAAAGAAGAAGATAGCAGTGAACCATCGCCTACAGTTCCTAATAACGATGATACCAGCGTCGATTTACCAGCTGTGCGACGAGCTTTTGCCGCTCTTTGGTCATTACCGGGTAAAAGTTCCTTGTAGTGACGAACAACAATAATATTGTACTTTTTTAAAAACATAATTATTTAATCCTTTGGATCTTTTATATATTTAGGAGAAGCATTTAAATCCGCTTTGGTCAATGCACTAGTCACTTTGGCAGACAATATTGAATTAGATCTGAGGGTATTTCGCATAATGCCGTGGGATAACATGGACAGCTTGTTGAACGTGTTTTTAATAGTGTTTGAAATTCCTATGCTCGGGAATAGCGAATATTTGGAACTTGCCTTTCATATGCTTTGCAAGGCGCTAAGCTGTTTTCCTATTGTAGCACAAGCTAAACTGGCTCGTGTATGGGCTAAACATTGTAAATCTCGACTTCCAAGTATTTTGCAAGCTCTACAGGAATTAATAACGGTTAAGGTACATGTGTTTAATTTATGAAAATGTAATGGTATAGTGCACAAGTTTTTATCTTTATAGGTAATAGGAGGATCATTCACTCGGGATTACTGTGTACAAGATGCGGATACTATTACAGCACCTACGAAAGTTATGAAAATTCTCTACTATGCAAGTATGTTATCTGGTGAATTGGATGAACCTGACTTAAATATGGATGAAGATGTTGAATCTACTAGTAATGATAAATCTGTAAGATCATCGTCATCGCAAATTCCTCAAGATCCGTTAGCTAAAGAATTAGGAATAACCGTGTTGGATGCGAGGAAACCATTTATACCTTTTACCGATTTTTACAATGAACCACTTAGCGATGCGATAGAAATGGATAAGGATTTTGCATACTACAAAAGCGAAGAACCTATGAAATTTAGCTTTATGAATTACGCTTTTATTCTCACGCCTGCTACAAAGACACTAGGCTTATATTATGATAATCGTATCAGAATGTATAGTGAACGTCGAATGAGCTTTTTACAAACTATCGTTGGACATCCTACTAACCCTTATTTAAGATTAAAGGTACGTAAATGTTTTGATTGGTATTACGATTTCATTAACAATTCTACGTTCAAATAGGTGAGGAGAGATCGTTTGATAGATGATGCATTAGTCGAATTACAAATGATCGCGGTGGAACATCCGCTAGATCTTAAAAAGCAATTAGTCGTTGAATTTGAAGGTGAACAAGGAGTAGATGAGGGTGGAGTTTCCAAAGAATTCTTTCAATTAATCGTAGAAGAAATTTTCAATCCTGATTATGGCATGTTCATAACTCAGGTAATTCGATTGTCAATCAGTCAAATTCATTGGAGAACAAATAATTTCAATGCTTGCATCGAAACTTTTTACAGGAAGATACGCAAATGACGTGGTTCAATCCAACATCGTTTGAAAGTGACGCACATTTCACATTAATAGGCGTTGTACTTGGCCTAGCAATATATAATAACGTAATACTCGATGTACATTTTTCAATGGTAGTTTATCGAAAATTGCTCGGTAGGAAAGGATGCTTCGCCGATCTAGAGGATTGGAGTCCAACGTTATACCGAACACTGAAAGAACTAATGGATTATACCGGAGATGATATGTCAGAAACATTCATGCAAACCTTCAAAGTGGCTTACAAGTAAATTTATAAATATAAATATGTTAAACAAATAATAGATAAACAGTAATCATTAAATTATATCATTTTGCAGGGACGTATTTGGTTCGATAACGTTTCACGACCTGAAGGAAAATGGAGATGAAATATTTGTGACACAAGAGAACAAAAAGGAATTCGTAGATCACTATGCAGACTTCTTACTTAATAAATCAGTAGAAAGGCAGTTCAAAGCGTTCAGATGTGGTTTCCAAATGGTTACGGATGAAAGTCCACTCGCGTTACTTTTCAGACCTGAAGAAATCGAACAAGTATGCTCTAATTATTTATCCGGATGATATAGTACACGATGAAGTTTATTTCTAAACGATGTTCTGTCGATACAGTTGGTTTGCGGCAGTAAGGTTTTCGACTTTGCGGAATTGGAAGCAGCTACAGAATACGAAGGTGGTTATACCGTTGACAGCGAGGCGGTACGTAATTTCTGGCGCGTCGCTCATTCGTTACCACCGGAAAGTCAACGAAGACTTCTCCAATTTACGACCGGAAGTGATAGAGTACCGGTTGGTGGTTTGTCAAGGCTTAAGATGGTTATTGCCAGACATGGTCCCGACTCTGATAGGTATGATCTTACAAATGATTTAATTACTTGCAACTTTTATCATTACTCTTGTTTTGTACATTTCAGGCTACCAATAGCGCATACGTGCTACAACGTACTACTGTTACCGGACTACAGTACAATAGAGAAATTACAAGATCGTTTATTGAAAGCAATTAATTATTCAAAGGGTTTCGGCATGCTATAAATGTGCATAAAAGCTTCGATATCTTTCCCAGTCTTTCAGAGTACATCGAGCCCTGTTTACGGTGTTCGAAATGCCCTCCTCTCGCCCCGCTACGTGGACGTATATTTATTTAAAATTGTGCAAACGCGTGTGAACGCGCGCTGAGAATTCCCCTTTCTGCTTTTGTAAGACGATCCATTGAGAAAGAAAAACCGAAATCACCCTTTGATACACCGAAAATACCTCGCAATCGATCGTTGTCCTCCAGTGTGTTTTCCCTCCAATGCAAACGGCAACTGGAATCGCTGTTGTAAAAAAAAAAAAAAAAAAAAAAATAATACAAAATTTCTTTGCAATAACATATTTCGAAACTTTCTTGCATCTGTGTGTTATTTCAAGCGTGACAAAGCACATTAACACAGCTCAATAAAGTTTCACTAGGTTTGGATAATTCACTCTTTCCTGCAACTTTCGTCATATCAATTCTCTTCAGATTTGTTTCAGACTTGCTTGAATTTAGTTCATCCAAAGAGAACAGCGTTACGCAGTGCACACAGCTTGAAAAATAATAGTGAGATGCGCGACTGTGATGAGTGCGAAAGTGAGCCGATAAACGATCGGCCAGAAGTTTGTAGAAATACGTATTTGTAGGCTTAGTGAATCCTATAGTTGATATTTTACGCTGCAAGCAAGCCGAGAAATAGCCCCTTTGGACGTTCGTCGTCGCCAACGCTGTACACAAAACATTTTATACGGCAAAAGAAAAGCACAGAAGAATTATGATAGCTGTTTTTTTTAAATCTTTTCTTTTTCGCGTTTGTATGTAATTTTCGTTCTCGATTCCTACTTGTATCACACTTTTATCTTGACGAATGCGAGTAAATAGTTGATCTATACATATATGTATACATATTATATATATATATATACATAGAGGAGAACGAGTTTGTATAAATAAATTTGTAAACGGAGAAAGTATCTGAAGAAAACTGCTCCACGTTGTCGGCTGTCCGATTCTTGGTCACGTGACAATAAAACTTCTATCGAATAATTCGTGCGTCGTTTATTTTCACAACGATTTAGCGATTTAAGAGATCTTATCAAATGAGTCCACATTGTATACATATGGTTTGATTGTCAAGTGACACGTGAATGCGCGGCGGATTTCATGCGTTTTCATCTTGTATGTAAACGTCTCGTTTCGAGGATGGATCGAAATGAAAATTAACTGATTATTACCGTCATCGCGTACGACAAATAATTTTAATAAAATTGTAACCGTGTGTGTCCAGGAAAAATTGTTGCTGATTATGTGTACCGACTGTGGTTCAGCTGCGACTAGCCGTGTGTCCTGTTTTACGAATATGAACGACATACAAAATCAGAACAATTTCGATTTTGTACCAAAGTCTTATAACGAGAAATGGCATCTGGATAATAAATGTCTTTCTCATAATCAAGTAAACATACTATAGAGAATAATCGAAACGATTTAACAGTTTACCTACTATTAGGAGAGATATGCAATAGTTTCCATCAGTTTTAAAGAGATTTTCTTTGTTATTTTATAAGTAATATTGTTTGTACACTACTTATGTGTAGACAACTGGAACTTTTGCATACTCTTAATGAAATTAATCAATAAGCCTTTGATCGTTAATTATTCAGCTGTAAGTCAATTGAAATACTATAATTTAAGTGTATTATGATTAAAATGGATTACTTTACAATTCTTGTAAAGTGTATTATAATTTTTTATTATTGTCAAGCTCTAAATCTTTCATTTTTCTTTATTCTATCAGTTTTTAGAAGGAGATACATGCAAATTTGGAAAGAGCAGCGGGAAATCTCTTACATCCTGCGACTTTTGTAAATGTTTAGATGACAAATTGAAAATAACAGGTGAAAACTCTTTGAATCAGAACTCTTCCGGTTTGTGTAAGCATTTGGCTGAAATATACAATGAAACAACTGATGAAAACATTTCGAATCAAAAATCTGGCGATTGGAATCGCGAAGAGGAGATAATCGAACACCATTCAGAACCTGTAATTGAGAAACCATCGATTCATAATTGGAAATGGAAAAATCCGTACAGTTTTTCAAATTTCAATCGACGAAGTCGAAACAGATTTATCCAAGAGAAAAAATTCTCCACGACTTCGACACGCGATGGCTGTAATAAGGTGGACAGGAAAGGAACAAATTTCTTACACAACTTCCGGGAGTATTTAGTCAATTATCAAGAATCTTGCGGTGTACCACGAACAGAATATTCTTTCTCTGCTTTAATTCAAATAATGGGCCAAGCAACTGGCCGATCTCTTCTGGCTCTGTTGTATGTGATGCTGAACATACTGCCTCTTGCCGAGGTTGTATCATTAATTGATCATTCATAATTAATTAATTAAATGAAAAGTAAAACAAAAATTTCGTATTTCTAGATATTGTTGTACGTGCTACGATTCGTATTGGACAAAGTCATCAACATAGGTAGCAGCAGGGACTTCCGGCAGACGATACTTCGATGTTTCGTATTCACAACAGAGCTGCTAAGTATTTATATTTGTCTAATATTCATATTCGGTTTCATTGTATTACCGATTCTCCAAACGGTAATTGGCATAGTTGCAAAAATTATGCTTTATAATTAATTGTACCGTATGGGCAGGTCATAAATAACAACAATGTTTACCGTAATAATTAGTGCGATTTTATTTAAAAAAAAAAAAAAAAAAAAAAAAACGTGTCGACAGCGTATATCTGCAAGCACATATTTTTTTATCTCGTTTTCGTAACAGATAATACAAAATTTCTTTGCTATGAAATTTATTACAGGTAATGATATCGTTTGAGAATGTAATTTTAAAGCTACCAAGTCTTATTACCACGTTGATTGTCATTCCAATTTAGTCGAATAACTAAAAAGAAATATTCTGAACATCACTGACTTACACTGATAATCGAAAATAGCGAATTAATAAAATGATCGTGTGCCATACCAGACGTAGCTATATCTATCGTGTACCAATCAACGTGTTAATTTTTCATTTCTTTCACTGTCGAGCCCAAGATTTTCCAGCAATGAAAGCAAATGTTTCTTCATAGAAAACGCCTGAAGCATAGAAAGATGATTACTATTGATTTCTATCAGAATCTTAAAGTCTAAATTATTCCATGTAAATCGGTGGAAAAAACGATAAGACCTTGCTACATTGTTACCATTTTATACAACGATCGCAAGAACAATCGTTAATTTCTACGAAGTGTGAATAAAACTTCAATTCCTATTCATTCCGACGATTTCGACGGACACACGTGTACTGTTCCTGTACACGTTCGATCCGTGATTAATCAGTTTTTGTACGAGTATCTGAACAATTGATCCGACAGTCTCATTGATTCGAAGCGTGCTGCTCAAAGTTTGAAGGGAACAAGGGGGTGTGCAAGAGTTCGTTCTCCTTCCACTCGATTCGAGTGCATACTCGTCGAGAAACCATATTTGTTTGCAAATAATTGTAAGCTAATTTCAAAATAGTGCAATTAAAAATTTGAAAATTTCCTGATCTACTATGTGTACTAGTTCAAGGTTCTTGATGCATAGAATGGGAATAATGGTTTCTGTGAAACGAATCTCGCGTGTTTGCACTGGAAACGATCGTGAAAGGAGGGACGGTGATCGATCTGAAAAGTGTGAAATGCGAATAGGCCAAGAAGATAAGAGTTAATAGATCGTCGTTGTTAGAACAACGAAGAGGAGAACGAGATGATAAGACGTGCGGACATAGTTCGCGGTTCCCCATCCACATTCGAGGTCGGTTTTCAATGCTTCCAACACTGAAATGTTGTTCTTGTTCAAACAAAACGATTCGCGAAGATCGTCGTCCCAACCATTGTCCCAACAATCGAACTGATCGTCCTCTTCGTCCCGATCGAAGTTCTTGAATTCACTATAAGTAGTACAACGGTCCTCTTGATACTGTCTGTGCTTCCTTTGCCAATTTTCCATCCATCTGGAATATACGTGTTCGTTCTGAATGCGATCGTGAGACATTTACATTTTCTTTTACTAAAATTCGTGGATGGATGAACTTACCCGATGTCGCAGTCACAATTGAAGTAGCTACCCGCCACGGTGAGTTTGGTCAGAAATCGTTTCCCTGGGACACCTGGTTTATATCCGTTCAATGGATTATAAAGGGTTCGAATATCGCTGTTATGGACATGGATCGTCACGTTTCTAACCCAATCCGCATTATCAAATATTAGCCTCGACACCATGTTCACGCTCGTGTTGTACAGCCCGAAATGCAAGTGGGGATTCCTTATACCCTGAAGAAACATCGACATTCGAAAGTATAATATAATATTCGAAGAAGGTACCGGGAATCCATTTGGTTAAATTGACTGAAATTCGAATTATTTATTCATTAGGAATACATACTTTCAGTATTTCTGGATTGAGATACTTCAAGGCTTGTCCAGTCAACGTTATATTGAACAATTTATTCGGAAATTTTCCTCTCATTTCTTTCCCCAGATTCGTCTCATTTTGTATCTAGAATCAAAGTCAGAAATATTGAAACCTTCTTCAATCATTCAGATTATTTAATATACATACGTCGATGAGTAAATGCCTCAGGCCATGATTGTACTCCAGAAGATTAGGAAAATTGAAATTCTTAATTCCAGTGTAAGCGGTTATATACAGTCTGCGAAGTTTCGTAGCTTTACAAAAAGCTCCACTCTGCGAATAAAAGAGATAAATTCTATTCTCTCCATGAAACTATAAAACGTCTTATCTTACCTCGAACGTTGACAAAGACAATCGCCTTATGTCCAATTCCTCGAGACTGTCCGCGATTCCCAAGAAGCTAGTGTTACTAACCGCCGTGATAGGATTATCTGCTATATTGAAGGTTTTCAGTTCCGGCAGGGTGTGCGTGATCAATGGCACCACCGTCAGATCGTTGGCACTTAGATCTAGATAATGAAGGGAGGTTAAGTTCGATGCCATTTCAGCTGGTATCGATGCCAACTCATTGTGCGCCAAATACAACGTTTGTAATCGTCGCAGTGGTAATTCTGGCACCTACAGACAAATTAATTTTAATACAACATATTCGGAATCCGATAATAAATATGTAACAAAAATTCGTACACTCAAAAGGGAAATATTGCTTAAGTCGAGATAAAGAAGCGAATCTTCCAAGCCATGAAACGTTCTTCCACGTGTTTCCAGCAATAACTGTTTGTTATGACTTAAATCAAGATGAGTTAGGTATTGCAAATCAGAGAATACACCATCGTCGAGCCTGACTAATCGATTGTACGACAGATCCAACCATGTTAAAGTCTAAAACAAATATGAATATTCCCTTTGTTTCGAGAACCATTCAAAAAGGTAAATTCATTTAGATAAATATTGAAAAACCAACTCTTAGTCTGAATATCGCGTCCGTGGTATGAATTCCCGACAACGAGTTCCAGGACATATCCAAGATGGATAAACTGGCAGCTGCAGAGATGGACATAGTCTTCATTGGCAGTCTCATAAATTGATTATGAGACAGATCGAGGCTTTCGATGTTCGCGTCTCCAAACATGTTATCCGATAGTGTTCTAAGTTTATTATGAGATAGATCGACGATCCTGAGTTTCTTCAGGGGTCTCAGTGCCTCTGCTGGAATGTCCATGATGTTGTTCCAGGACAGAAAGAGAACTTGAAGGTTCTTCGTATTTCGAAAGCAGTCGAAATCGACTTCTATCAAATCGTTGTGACTCAAATCGAGCCACTGAAGATGCGGCATGTTTCCGAATACACCTTGGGTCACGTTGCTCAGCTGATTGTGGGATATGTAGAGGTGTGTTAACGAGTACTCGACTGGCTTAAAGTAGTACCTCATTATGTCGCTGATGTTGTTGTAGCTGAGATCTAAGACTTTGATGTTCGATTGTATCGCGCCACCTACTGCAATCAATAGATTTTGTAATTAATAATAAATGTTCAAAGCTTCGTTAAGTCATCTCAGCTCTGGCTAATTCTTTGTCAAATACTACGAGTAAAATAAAATGGTCTTGTCAAGGGGGACTTAAGAGGATTCTGTGTGACCAGTTGCATAAGATTTGCCGTAGAAAAATTAGAAGCGGCGTTGCTTTCGATTTGTAACAACGGGTTTCATCGACTTTCGTTTAACAGGCTTACGGAAATCTGTTTAAGAGCTTTGCTCAAAATGAATTCCATCGTGAACTTACTGGTGGTCGGTGGCGTGAACGTGGTGCTGTTGATCCACAATTTCGGAATCTCATTGTGGCTGGCGTTTACCTTGAACGAAGATAACGTACCCACTTGATCGAAGGAGGCGAAATCGAATTCGTTCATGTCATTGTACGAGAGATCGAGGAACTCTAAATCCGGCAGATTCTTAAAAAAGAATTAAATAATTTTAATAATTCGCTACGTACTATAATGTCAGAGAGACAGAACTGGTAATTACCTGGAAAGCCTCGTCGGTGATGTCTTTAATTTTATTACCACGTAGATTAACGTATTGCAGTAATTTCATGTTCATAAACGCCCGTCTCTCAATTTTATCTATCGCATTATCTTCTAAATTGATCATTGTTATTTTCGGTAGATCGACGAATGTGTGGGTTTGAATGGTTTTGATTTTATTGAACGAGAAATTCACGTCCTCCAGGTACGAGTGTATATCACCCTAAACGTAAAGTTCATTGATACAGCTATTTATTATCATAATCGCGAATCAAGTGTACAATTTCTACCTGAAACGTTCCCTTTCTAATGTCATCGATCTCGTTGTCCTGCAACTCGATCCGTTTGATCCTCTTCAGAAAATGAAACGACGTATCCGGCAGAGATTTAATTTTGTTATTGCTGAAGTCGAGATGTTGTAGATTCGGTAGGAACTTGAACGGCGCGTGTGGTATCTCAGAAATGGAAGATGATAGACCGTGAGCTATTCTCAACGTTAAAAGCGAATGACCGACCTAAAGGATTAGGCTGGATTAGACACAGATACTTTTTATCTACCGATTAGCTTAACACGAATGAAATTTTATGGTTTTCCATGTTTCTGAATAGGTAAAGTTATTTGTTACGCAAGGGATTATTTATCGAAGCCCATTCTGTTGAAATTATCTGCGATTATCAACGTCCCTGATTCATTAGTGCATTTCCAATTTAATTTAATTAAATATTAGAACAAATTGAGGGTTGTATAAAGGATAGTTATAATTAAGAACTACTTTGGAGCTTTAAAGTAAATATCTTCAGAATATAACTTTGTTGAGGTATAAGCAGTGGCGGCTCGCGTATAGGCACTGTGGAACTGCAGCACACCCCCTATTTCCACTTGATATTATCGATAACATTTAATATAATGAGTCCTTTTTAGAGCAAAGCTCTCCTTGGCGCGTTCGGCAGTAAGATCGGCTCGAAGGAACGTTACGTTCCTTCCTCAAACTACCATCCCTCGGGCCCCTCTCCTCTACTTCTCTCACATTCAAATGTTTTCAAAATAATAATTAATATTGTAGCGGATCTCCAGCGTTTCGCGTCGATTGTGCGTACGAGAACGTTCGCGACAAAAGATGACTTCGTCGTATTTATCTACAGTAATAAAAATCATTTCTCTAATATTGACCGTTTTATTTTCATTTTCAATTGTACCATGAAATTACTAAAAATAATTCTAATTAAACTGTGAATTTACGCATTATGACTTGAGCTTCGCTCTTGTCGGCCGTCCCGCGACGGCCACGTTTTCATTTTCTTTAATTCTTTATACGTATACCGCAGTTCACCAGAATCCACAACTGCGAAAAAACCAGTTTTCGTTCTTCGCGCTTCTTCAGTGCGCATCTTCGCCCTGATTGGCGATACTTCCAAACGAAATAGAAAGCGATTAGCAGAGAGCTCGCTGCGTTCCCCCACCATCTTCCAACCTGCGCGTCGCAGGTATGGACTCTGGTGAACTGCGGTATATGTATGTATATACTTGTACAATATACAGGGCGATCCTCTCGCTACAGACCACAAAGGAAAACTAGCTACAATGGACCCCTGGACCCCTTAAAGAGGTCCGTATTGTCACGTGCCAGCGAGAACCTACCCGGGCCGAGACGACTCTGTGTCTTCATGGTGCGGTCAAGGGGTTCATTGTCGCCAGTTCCTTTGTGTCCGATAACGAGAGGATCACCCTGTATAATCCTTAAAAGTTTATAAAAAAGATACAAAAATGTTTGTATGGAACTGTGCGCTTCACAGTTCCAGCGGCGTGGTGTTTGACTGTGTGTGCGCTGGTTTTTCTTTAAAACAAAGGCTAAAAATTTTCTGGAGCAGCACCTCCGCTAATTTTAGCTACGAGCCGCCACTGGGAATAAGAAAAAGGAGATAAAGGTTTCAATATCTAAAAGGTATTACCTCGGAGAAAGCTTCATTCTCTATCGACGAGATCGAATTCTCCGAGAAATCCAGGTACTTGATCCCGCGAACGTGCATGAAAGCGTGACCTTTGATGGTGTTCAGGTTGCTTTGAACGATACGAAGCTCCTTGATGTCCATCCCGTATTCCATGAAATCTTCCGTGGACAAGGTCGACTGTGGCATCCGTGAAATTGAAAGAAATCGCATGTTACGCATCTGTCTTAGATCCTGAAGAGACACCACGCTGTTTTCTCTGCCACTTAGGTCCAGGTTGTACAGAGAGTATTGGAAACCATTGAACACTTCGGCTGACAACATAGAGCGAACATTAGGTATATAATTCAAGGAATTCCTGATGAGCGTGTCAATTTATGGAGCCGTGTTGGAATTTATAACACGCTCTTCTCGTCTTACCCGGCGAAAACGTTTGGATCTTGTTCTCACGGAAGATTAAGGTACGCAGAAAATCGTATTCTTGGAATACTGGACTTGGAAGGGTGGTAATATTGTTCCCCGAAAGATCTAACAATTCAAGGGACGATTCCAGGCCAGCGAAATCAGGGGAACTCACTTCCATTAGATGGCAATCGCAGAAGTAGAGCTCACGTATCCTCGAATCCCTGAACGCACCCTCCTGTGAAATATACCAAAGCAGTTTGAAGAGGTAATGAAAGTCATTGATGATCAATTGTAATACGATCAATGGTCTACCTCGATCATAGTCAAAGGATTGCCATCGAGATAAGTTCTGTTAATCTTATAAAAATGTTGAAAATCCCCAGGCATCAATGACTCGATCTGATTAAAATCCAATCTCAGTATATCCAACGACATTTGTAATCCTCTGATTTCGGGTTCTTGCTGATGGTTCAACATCTTCGATATCCTGTTGTAGCTGAGATCAAGCACCTTCATGCGTTTCAAAGAGGACAATTGCGCGTACGGAACGTGAGTCAGTTGATTTCCATTCAGGTATAGGTGCACCAGGTGTGCCATGCCGTCTCTAAACACCGAAGGATCGATCTCCTTCAGGTTGTTCTCTCGGAGATCGAGCATGTCTAGGTAAGTGAGACCGGCGAACGCATCGGCCGGAAGTTTGTCGATCGCGTTTCGACCCAATCGTAACTTTTGCAAAGAATTCTCCAATCCCCGCCAATTTTCTGGCACTATTTTCGATATCTTGTTACCTGTCAAAGAAGCAGCGATTGGAACAAAATGAATCGTTGACAGGTTTCTGTGAAACACGAGGTATCGGAAATGATATTAAATAAGAGGAACATAAGACACCTGTCAGGTCGAGAAGTTGCAGTTTCTGTAAATGCCTGAACGACCTGCTGGGAACCCTTTCCAACCGATTGTAGGGTAATTCGAGCTCCCATAACGATCTCTCAAGCCCTAGGAAAGCTTCGTCCGGGATGTCGGCCAGGGGATTATGCTTGATCCGTAGACTGTACAGACCTGGGAGATAGGAGAATGGCATGCATGTGAATAGAAAACTGCCACGCATCGTTCCTACATAACGTAATCGATGATGCAAGCGGTCACTGCCCTTTAATCTCCATTTCCTCATTCTCGTTGGCCTAACGTTTTGCTAAAAGTGTCGGGTGTGTCTTGTTTTTCTTAATTTAATCATAGTTTTTACTTGTAACTTAATAAGAATATTATTCTATATTGTTTAGGTCTTGCATAGATACATTTTTCAGAACATTCTGTGTAAAAACATATTAGAGTTCAAGATTTTCTTAAGTAAGAAAGAAAATTACTATGAAAGTTAGGCGGCACCTTTACTTGGGAAAAGCTTGTAAAGATCTACCAAAGATTTTAGTAGATCTAGTATTGTTATAAGAATTCATTTAATACCTGTGTTCATAAGAAACTGCGGCTGCAAGAACATCAGTCCATTGTTCTCCAACTGTAGCATGAACACCTTGGAGGAATTGATAGGCTGAGGGATCCGTGGCATCGGCACATTGTAACAGGTGACTATGCCAAGATCGGGAATGGCTTTCGAACAGGTACAAAGAGGGTTGAAGAAACACGGTGGATACTGCACGGGCAACTCGTGCATTCGAGCTAGAGACGCCCATAGCATCAGCAAGAGGGTCAAAATCATCAGAGTATAACCCACCTTCACCATCGTCATCAAATTCTGTAATTACGATTTTTAACATATACCACTTCGAATAGTCGCAATGAATCAGCGATTTTTGGAATTTTTGTACAAGTCTTATTACCAGATCATCTTGTAATAAAAGAATTCTTTGGTAATTTATAAACACTGTATTACTGGTTGTGCAAAGGTTGATTATTTGAATCCAAAAGAGAGATCACAATATTAGAATCCATCACTTCAATCCATTTTTATTCAATAATTATTTCTTCATCTACACATCTGATCCTTAATCGTGGATGATTTTATCACAGCTACGTAAATGAAATATAGTATACTAAACGTTTCACTGTCCTTTGCACATCCACAATTAAACTGCGATCGACGAAACGTTTACCATGTTTCCTTGGAGCAAAATAGCACTACGAGAGATCTTCTATGGGGAGCTCGCGATCATGGATCGCGGCTCGATCGCGATGATCGCACTGAGGGTTCTGGAAACTATGTGGTTGTTACCAGCACCTATAATATGGCTTCGGCAGTGCCAGAGACAGTTTCGGTGCTTCTCTTTACCCGATTATAAGGACGATATTCCATTAGGCGACGAATGAAAATAGTTGGGTAAAACGTCATTGAACGTTGAATTTTAGTTAATTTATCTGGTCATAAGCATGCACGATAATACGTGTAAGTAAAAGTAAATATAAGTTGATAAATAACAAAATCGTTTAATTTTTAGTACAAAAAAGATATGTCATTTTCCACGTGTTGGTACCAGCCCGGAATGGTTCAAACGGAGCTGATCATGCAGTGAACATGGCTTTGCGTAAAGATGCTGACAAATATCAGTTGAATGTTTACGACTTAATACTCATGAGTATTTTTGATTCCTAATTCCATCTAATGTTCTATTCCATGAAAGTACTTAAGTCACGATTCAACCATTCTTTGAATCACAGAGGAACCATTGGGCTTCCCCAGTCACCAAGGGCTTCATTACAGAGCCTTCATCAGGCAATAGTTTTAATGCATTCAAATTGTAAAACTAAAAATTTTTAGGAATTAATGGTTGGGACACCAGTGACTACAGATACGAAAAGATTGGACATGTCGACGTTTTCGAGGGGTCAGGACTTTAGAATGTCTCAAACACTTCCAGATGAAGTCAGGTCTACATACAGAGATTGCAGTCGGTATAATAATCATGCTTGTTTTACAACTCCCTCTTTTGCTATACCTCGTACTGACAACTAAAACGACACAATTTTGGACCCATATGATTCTATTTTATTAGAAATCAGTCAAAACCGAAAAATTACAAGACCGAAAAATTATTCAAATAACTATTTGAAAAACTTGTATCCACTTCATGCGCCTTGGTAAATAAATCATTTTAGAAAAACATGAGTTATTATTTAATTTTGTCAATTTCCTTTCTGAGTCATTTGTTTAATATACTTAATTTCGTTTCGCAGTGATTTATTTAATGTACCTGAATCCCTTTCCGAGCTATATAAATAATTTACTTAACTCCTTTTTTCAGTTATCCATCTATATAACATTAAACATCTGCTTATATTCCTTCATCCCTTATATTCCTCTACTCCTTACACCAGGCCTGTCCAAGTAGGGGAAATTACTCCTGGAACACATGTTTTTGGTCCCCTTCCAACGCTGCTCCTTCAAGTAAGATGGGACGGTTCCGACTACCAAAGACGGTAGTCGGAACCGTCCCACCTTACTTGAAGGAGCAGCGTTGGAAGGGGACCCAAAACATGTGTTCCAGGAGTGGATTCTCCTACTTGGACAGGCCTGCCTTACACCACTATATCCCTTACATTCCATGAACTTCATCCCTTACATCCATGCATCACTTATATTCCTACATCTCTTATGTATGTACTGTCCGCCGATGACCAGATGTCAATTGCATCACGCAATTGTTGACGGGTTATATCTTGAATGTGGTAAGAGATAGGAAAAACTGTTCATGTCAATGGTATGATAATGTTTATTTTTCTATGACTTCATTTTCTTCGTGAATGCAACGATGCATTAAAAAAATTCAGATGCACTTTTTGTTTAAATAGAATTGCATTTCTTTCTTTACTCGTATCAACTCCTTGGAAAATTCTGGATAAAAAAGGGCTGTAGTTCCGAATACGACCGGTCCCCGATCAAGATGAAATTTGGAGGGTTGGTTGGGGGAGGGAGGAAGGGACCCCAAATATAAAGTGGTATCTTAAGCTTCCTATTAGTTTCCGAGATATTAATTAAAAACTTTCATACAATACATGGAATTTTTCCTATACAGACGTAACTAACACAACCGTCTTCGCTGTAGTAAGCTGACATCGTCAAGTGTCGAACAGCCATTGACACAGCGGGGATTCTAACCTGACTATCTATACTATAGATTCTATAGGGTGTCCTATTCAAAACTTTGGAGATACGACGACTGTCGTAGCGTTGCCGGCCACCTTCCGGCGGCCGGAAATTTATCTAGTTTAACCTAACCTACGTATAAATCAAACGTGTTTAATTCCTTGAGAATTAGTAATAAAATATGAAACATAACGTAATGTAACTAAAAAAATAGATTTTACATGGAAGACCCTATAGAAACGGAAGCTGATATAGCTATGGTGTGAACGGCTGTTCGACACGATGATGACGGTAGCTACAGCGAAGACGGTAGTATTAGTTACGTCTGTATAGGAAAAATTCTATGTATTGTACGAAAGTTTTTAATTAATATCTCGGAAACTAATAGGAAGCCGAAGATACCACTTTATATTTGGGGTCGTCTACCTGCTCCCAACCAACCCTCCAAATTTCATCTTGATCGGCGACCGGTCGTATTCGGAACTACAGCCTGTAAGATAAAGAACTAATCGAAGTCAAAAGATGACAGTTTTTAATAGTTCGGCATTGAGAGACACAATATGATTCTGTACAAAGCGATGCTACCCATCGAACAGGCCAAACAAGACTGACTTTTCCAGCCCAGGAAAGACGGCTTGTCTTGACCAGTTCTAAAATCCTTCCGTGCCCCTTAGGGGTTTATCTCATAAGAATCGGCCAACATCTGGTCGGCCGTGCAATTAGGCGCTAGGTTGTTAGCGCTCCAGCTCCGTCACTGAATTTTCTAACAAGCCTTTCCTTTTTAAAATTTTTAAATTTGTTTGTATTATTATTATTTCTTGATATCATTACGTGATATATCAGCACGTTATTATTGAATTAAATAGATAAAAATGAATTCGATACTCATTAGCTATAACATAAATGAATTGGATAAGTCATCAAATCCGTTGGTTCTAATTGTAAGAAGTGTAAAGCGATACGACTCTCCAATATAAACATTCGCTTGAAATCTCGTGCGTGTTGGCTGGGATCCGTCCTTAGTTCGAAACGCAGCCTCGATGAATAAAGCATCCTGAGTTTGACTTCGTTATTTCGGTAAAAATAATTCATACGATATTATCGATGTATAAAATATGTTACAATATACTAAGAATATGAATTTATCCAAAAAATTTGTGCATTTTTGGACGGTAAATTTCAGAAAAATCTGAGCGTTAAGGGGTTAAAGCGAAGGCTAATGTTACCACAATAATTTTATATTTATTAATAACAGAATACTGTATAAATATCAAATTGCTGTTTTTAATCATTCTATTTATATTATTTTTAGATTTATTTTTAACTTTATATTTTGCATGCGCATATACTATACAAAATTACCGCGACTACCATATGGAATTTTAACATTTAAATAGTTTTATAACTCTTACAGTAAAATAATTATACATAACATACCCAGTAAAAATTCTAATTAAACCACCCTTATATAGGGAGTCTCACTTAAACGGATACAGAGATCTTATTCCGTAACTATTAATGATACAAAAAATTGTTGATATGGAAATTGCATGGAAAAAGGGGGTCTATGTTTTGGCCGAAGTGAAAAATCTTTTGCATTATTAGTTTAAGAGATATGATGGTCAATTTTTATTTTTTAAACGGAACCATATATTTTTTTTCAGATCATGTAATAGTGCTTCTCAAGACGAATTCATTAAGCTATAATGTATACACTCGATTTTAATCAATTTTCAAGATATAACGTTTACAAATTTCCCGATTTTCAGTGGATACGACTCAGTTTGAGTGACAAGTTATAAAAGTGACCCTATTGTAGCGGTAAGTGCCACAGCGGGGGTCTACGCTAGGAACGGCAGACCCAAAGAATAAGAAACCGCAATAATAGGGCCGCTTATACGACTTGCCACTCAAACTGAGTTGTATCCACTGAAAATCGGGAAATTTGTAAACGTTATATCTTGAAAACTGATTAAAATCGTGTGTATACATTATAGCTTAATGAATTCGTCTTGAGAAGCACTATTACATGATCTGAAAAAAAATATATAGTTCCACTTAAAAAAATAGTTCCACATAAAAATATATAGTTCCACTGTATCCATTTAAGTGAGACACCCTGTATTAAAATTGATTTTTCACATATTAAAATGGAAATTAAAATGATAATATCCAAGAAAAACTGTATAGAGATTTAAGAATATGATAGGAAATAATGGAAGAGAATAAATTTTTAATTGAATAAATAGTTTATTTAATTCTCTAATGCTATTATGTGCATCTTCCTCTTTTATAATACAATTACAGTATAAATAATTACACGCTATTGACAAAAATATCGCGATCATACATCAATTTTCTTTATTGTGCAAATATATGCAGATAAGTGTTTGACTAGTTTGCGCAGTTAATCAGTACTAACAAGAAACATGGAAGATTTAATACATCTAATATTTCAACGAAAAAATATAGTAACTTTCCTTAATATTACGTTTATATCGCTCAAATTAAAGCAACACTAGAAAGATAACAATATGTTGCTTCCATTTAGTTACTACATGCATACAGACAATGTACAACTTCCTACGAAATTTATAGAATTTATTGCTAACTTTTCTAAACAATGTTTAGTAAGCTTTAAACTGTAGCATACTGTTATTTCATGCTAAGAGTTAACACGAATACGAATTTTATATTATTTTATGCACTTATCAGAAAACAAACGATTAAACAAAATAAATTTATAAACAATGATAACGAGAATCTATATTTCTTTATACATAAAATCGTTACTACTGTATATATAAATTTACCACTCATGTACATATTATTTGAAAAGATAGAAAAATAGATTATCTTCAATTACGAATATTAATATTGTTCAATGTATGACTTGTTCAATCTTCTTCAAGCTTAAAACTTATTTACCCATAAAACCCTTAAATGATTCTCATTTATTACAGGGTTTAGTAGGAAACTAAGTCTTGCTTAATTTTGAAGAAATCAACCACTACGATACTTAATTAAAAAACAAGTTATTTGCTTCAACTTTAATTTTACTTCAATGGTACGAATCAGTCTCTTCTCCCAATAAGGCCCTTTTGAGATCTTTAATTTGTTTCAACACTCTCAATTAAATAGGAAATATAAAGCATTATTCTTTCGATTGCAGCATGAATAAAACTTGAAAGACTAGCAATATGCTCATGATTCATTTAGTTAAAAGCTCTATATTCAATATAAAATTTATCATTGACAAAAAAATTGACATATAAAATTTGTTAATTTTAATTTACAATAATACTTTTTAAGAGACAATGAAGCTGAAAAAAAGGAATGTTGTTGTTATGTACATGAGTTATTAAGTGTAAAATATAAGCTCAGGAATTTGTCCTTCATCAATAGATGTTCCGTTATTATCTCCAGCCTCAATATTAAATTCAAATTTAACTTTCCCATTTCCCGAATCACTATCTACCATTATCGTTTTCAAACCCTTAGTTCCATAATGCGAATGAGGACCCTAAAATAATAATAACAATATAATATTCAGAAAAATATTCACCGAAAAATAGAAAATATCAAACAATCATGTACAGACCTTAAATGTTGCGGATGCAGTGTAAATTGTATTAGGCAAAATTTCTGCTAACTCTTTAAACATTAAGCGATAAGTGTACTTTGAACCATCACAGCTAAAACTTGTTGCATTTGTAGCAATCACCTTCCCAGAAGCAGTGTGTATTAATTCGATTAATACTTCATAGATTGCTGGACCATGCATACTGCCATAAACTCCATATCCAATAAGAAATATGCGCCTATCAACACTGAATCTAAATAAATGAAAAATATAATTATATGAGATCTTGTAATTGTAGAACTAATAATATGTTATTTCGAAAGTCACCTTATACGATCGCTTGTTCCATTATATCCCCATCTACTCTTAGTATGTTGAAATCTGCAAACCGTTTGTTCTTTACCAGTCATACAACAACGAGGCATTGTTTGAAACTCTATCATTGGTTTCGGATTTAGTATGAAATACGAAAATAAAGAGAGAACCTACAAAATATTTTTTTTTAACAAACTGTTTTGCAATTACATAAGACGTATGCCAAAGTACAGTAAACTCTCGCTATATTGCTGTTTAAGTAAGTTTCCCTTCACATCAAGTTTCACACATGTTAGTGATGCTTGCTCTGCCATCATAGTGCATGAGGCAGCCCCAGAACCGACAATATAACGAGTTTACTATAGATAATTATAATACTAGCCTCTGAATTAGTCAAAAGTCCAGATTGTGCTGGACCAGCAGTAAATTCTTCTTTCGACATCAAAGGAAAACGGACCAACGAAAATGCACCTCCCAACACTCGACGTTGATTTTCGGGAGTAACTGGTAATTGATGCCTTGTACATTCTGCTTCAGACCATCTATTTGAAATGACAAATAAATATATACATACATACATACTTACTAAAGTACATAGTTATATGCATATTCATGTACCTGACAACTGCTTGAAATATTTTAGATTCTCTAACGCGTAAAGTATCTCTTTCCAAAACAATCTTTAATGTATCAATATCAATATCTGTAAATCCATCTGCGTTTAATGCCTCTGTAGTAAATCTATCTATGGTATCCAAACATACTGCAGCCAACTGAGGTTCATCAAAAAGACGAGCTTGTGTTAAAAGTAAGAAAGCATTATCACTGGTTAAATTATTCTTCAGATAATCCACACAATGCTTCTCTAACGCTGCTACTGCATATTTCTTAGCTGTATACAATGTTGTCATCACAGTTTCAGGATCTATCTGTATCTCATCTGTATATAAAAAAAGAAGTACTGCCAAAAAAGCAGCAGGCTCTACATCAGGTACTTCTATTTCTGAAGAAGCTGTTGCAAGTGTTCCATTAAACATTGCATCAAAAACAGCACTTCCAGAAGATAAGACTAGTTTATGAGCTGGTATACGTTGTTTTTGCGCTCCTCTTCCTACTATAAAGCTCACATCTGATAATATTTCATTATTGAAAAGAAAGACAATTCTTTCTCGCATTGTTGCCTTTGTACCTTGCCAATTATATGCTACAGTTGCTTGACTATTTGTTGATGCATTCTCCAAGGCAATACTATTTTGAGGTCTTCTTTCTAAATGCAATGCATTTGCGGCATTTGTTGGAGGTCTACTGAAACATTAATACAAATACATTTATTACAAAAGCAATGCTTGCAAATGCAGCAGAATTTTATGGAATTATACTTTACAAAATTAAAATTTGAAACATGCTAAGATACTTACTTATCCCCATTCGAGGAAGAAGATTCTCCACTTCTAGCTGTTGAAGAAGTTGGTTGATCTTCATCACAAACAAAATTAAGTGCACGTCTAGTACGTGAAAGAGTAACATTACCAATTGGTTGTGTACTACACACAGGTTCAGAATATGAATCTCCTGGCGCAGCAAGGTTCACGTTTTGCTGAGATTCATCATTATCCTCGTGACCTAAGCGTAAAGTATGTAGTCTCGATACAACATTTGGCACGTCATTCAAGGAAGATTCCGAGGACATTTTCGCACATGAAGTGTAATATTTTTCGATGTACTGCCCCGTTTCATTTAATTATTGCTTATCGTGTCGAGAAAAGCGGTGCGAACGATTTCATTAGCTCGCTCGTTTCGTTGCGATCATTTAATCTTTTGTGCGTACGAACAACAAGATTTGAACGTGATAATTAGAATAGATTCGAAAAAAATGCGAATGTCATTGCTTAGAGGTAACTTCTTCACCTGTTCATTAGCAGGTACCAGTAGCAGTAGCTATATGACATGTGCCTTCACAAATTGGCACTTGCTTGATTAGAATGTGCTTTGAAATAAATTGTGCTTACCACAAACTATACTATAACCAACTATAGCTGTTAAGAACATCTATTCACACGTATTCATCAGTTTATAGTTCATCCGCCATAGTCTACATGTATGCATGTGCAGTGTAACGTGAAATTCGAAAGTCTGTAGTATCGATAAGGAGTAGATAAAGAATAAATAATTTAGATAAATGAGAATACATATTTTTGATCTTATATATTTGCTCTTTAGCAATTGCAGGTCCATCTTATCAGGGAGACATTACATCAATCCAGACGAATCCTTTTACAATTATTTATTTACTTTAGAAAACATCTTTTTTTCAAACGCACATTCTATTTTACCTCGCACCCATGTAGGTAAAAATATGTATCATTTATGTAGGAATGTAACTGGTTTTATTCACCCTTGCGACAGTTTTTCTCTAGAATATTTATTAAAGTTATTATACACTTAAATACAGCAATAGGGATTTTAAAACTTGCATTAGAAAAGATAGGAAATTTGTAAATATTGTAATGTCTTGAAATATATTATCCGAAACCTTCCCTCATACTATTGTATAATCGTATAATTTATGTTCAAATATATTTTCTAATACTATCATTTTATTATATTTCTTACTTTCCCACTTTTCAATTGTGTAAAATTAATGTAAATACTTCGATTAATAATATACAGAAAAATTGACAACGCAGAAAGGTTTTTAGTTATAAAAGATTGTCATGAAAAGAAACTATTACATCCAATTCATTCAAACTTCCCGCTCGTTGATACAACCCATTTAAAGGGACAGCAAAACCTCGACATCAAAGGTGCCGCCGTGAGTGTCGCCTCTTATTATACATACCTCCTCTTTGCTTCTACCACAGCCGACTCTAGTACTAGCCATGCTGAACAACGTGGCAACACCGCTCACGTGACAATCGGGAGTCCTATTTTCAAAAACAGAGTCCCATGCTCGGAATTGTAATTAACGTCTCTTTTAATTAAACGCTGTAGTAATATACACTATTTTGTGTTAATTATGTATAAACAATACATAAACGTTGCAACTATGGCAAGTAGAAGTGATGTGATAGTATAAAATTGTTATAAATGTGATATATATTTTGTGTACTTTCGAAGTAGTTTGATGTTGTGAAGCATGATATTTAAAATATTTACAGTGGTTTCAAGAAAATTTAGGTATGAAGCAAAATGAAACCATCTTTGGATCAAATTGAAACATTTAAGAATTGATAAACGTGTATATAAGTTAATAAAAACCTTGAAACAAGCGAAATTATTGGAACGAAACCAAAGAGGTTATGTGAAATCCAGAGAGTAGTCGGGAGTCGGGAGTCTGACGACGTTGATTGGCTGAGAGTCTGGGAGTCCGGGAGGCAGATAGAGTAGGGTAGGTGTTGATATATTCAGACCGGACTCCCGCGGTGTTACCATCTTTACTTCAGCACGGCTAGTACTATAGAGTCGGCTGTGCTATGGCCACGCGCATGTTAAAGTTGGCACTCCTGCTAACTTTACCCACGCAATTTTGAAACTTTACATTAATTCTAATTCGCTTTACAATTCACCTCTGTTTGCTCGCCATACTTAATTCCAATTCGCTTTACAATTTACATCCGTTTCCCCGCCTTACTTTTACAATTATGTGAATGTGCGTGTGTATGGGTGCGTGTGTGTGCGTGTGTGTCCCCTTTTAGTCGCCTTTTACGACAGGCAGGGGATACCGTGGCCGTATTCTACTCCCCCCGAGCCACAGGGGGTATACCGCCCCTGATCTCACCTGGGGGTGTCTCGGACCCCTTAAATAAATTACACATTACATTACAAATTGGCTTTACTCGGGCAAAGCCCGAGATGGCGTTCAGTAAGGAGGGGTACCCCTCTATATTGCCCAACGAACATCGGCGGCTTTTTCAAATTCGTTCAACTCATACTTAGTCGCTTACATAGATCAAATAAAGAACCACACTTTTCCGCTCACATTTCTAACTATTTATAACTAAAGAGAAAAGAGAGGAAAAAAAGGCATTGTCTAGTCTTTTGCATCTGTAGTCACTGATTGAACAAGTTTGTTTCGTAAATTATCCACGTAAACAGGTCGCGCTACTTTACATTATTTCGATTGCCTGTGACAGATTTCTGGGAAATTTAAATTTTTATTCGTTAGTTGTAAATATTTTATTAATTTAACAGTAAAATAGTTCGGATACGGTAGCATTTATAATAATATTTAAATGCAGGAGCGGTATCTATAGGGTATCCCATGCAACTGGATCAAAACTAAGATATAGTTTTAAAATGGTAAAAGATAGAAAAAAATGTCATTAGGAAAAATTAAATGGCGTCGAAGGGAGCATCACGTGATGCATGTGTCGTAGTTTCATTTTTTTTAATGAAATTATATGTATACTTTGTTATATATCAATCGAAGCGTATTTTAATTCTCTATAAGAAAATAGTAAGGTACTTGCATCGAAAATTGCTTAGTTCAAAAGATATCTTAGGGAGAGACCGGGAGAGCCCGAAGATCTCTCTCCAAGATGACCCAATTTGAACTAATAAATTTTCGACACAAGTGCGTTAATGCTTGCTTATAGAGAATTAAAATACGTTTCGATTGATGTATTACACGGTACACAATTCCAAAGAAATTTTTTTTTAATAAAATTGTGATACTTCACCATTTGCTTTAAACTTATATACGCTACATAAATTTTACGTTGTGTAACTTAAATATTCAGATATAATAAATAATTATTTTCGTTTTGAGTTATAATAATTGATATATAACGAAATTTCTAGTAGCCATAGAAAGTGACGGGATTAAGTAATCAAGAGCTTTCTAAATTCTGATTTTCGATGCTCCGTTTCACCCTTAGCGCACCTTTTTTGGAAGTGTGGGAGTAGCGTCCTCTGAACGAGAGGCAATCTCAGATTTTCTCTCAGACCTGATCACCTTGCCCAAGGTCACGCAACCATTAGAAAGTACATAACTTATACCTGCCCTTCGGAATTTCCTGGGTTACTGACGCATCTGTTTACTATCAAAGGTTCAAAGGAAGTGAAAGTTACAAGCTTGCTGTTCCATAAAAAATTTCCCAATGATAGAATTCGTGGGTGCGTCTTTACACTAAATTGTGTAAAGAAAAGCCGGATGTATCAGCTAGAGAAAAGCAGGGTGCAAACGGGTATTAAATATACAAGAGTCGATTGAAGAATAATGCACATTTGCATATAAAACTAAAGTGTCATTTGGCATTATGTTAAAATATGAATCAATCCTTTTCAAGAGCATTATTTGAAGTGTAGGAGAAGGAATGTCCCACCACTCGTCTTATCTATCCGTGTTAGGCTCACCTTGGGCTCCCCTTAGTTTGAAGATATCCAAAGATCTATGGACTTCTTCCATTTTAGGTCCTTATTCCTCAAATTGTGGGAAACAAGGTGTAGAATAATCTATACACCTTATTTAAGGGGAAGAGGTATGGAGCAGGGGAATCCAGAAGCTCTCCTAGGATTCCTCTAAAATTCCCCTACTTAAACCTATCTTTCCATTTCTTCTTTTGGAGGACAAACCCTCCCAAATTTCGTCACAAGACGATAACACTTCAAAGACTCCAAATACTTAGTCGTTTTGCTCTTCAGTCTTAAATTCTCTTCTCTTATCTCCCGCAGCTGATAATATAGCCTTCTTTCCAAAGGTGTTTTCAGTTAGCTTATACTAAATTCCGCTCGATTGGTACGTAGAATTTGAAAACAATTAATTTTGTAATTTTTTCTTAAATCACTGGTCTGTACTGTATAATATACATATATGTAGATTGATACAAATGAAACATCTCTTTACTATTATAGAAAAAAATTACATTGAACTCATCTTTGCAATTTTAGAATTTATAAGCACAAATTCTCAATTCAAGAAATAACTTCATTTATTAACAAAATGAAGTATTTTAATGCTGAATACAATTACAGTGTACAAATTAAGATATTTAATTGCATAATCTTATATTTGTGAAAAGTAATTAGAAAATGTTTTAAATTTTTAATTACCCCGTGACAGTTGGAGATATAGGCTACATTACAGGTTTTTATAAATAGTGAAAGTGAATATTTTAATTACCAGCCGTTTTAGCATAGTGATACTTCCATTGGTCGATGTGCAATACGAATTTATATTTATTAATACGTTCTCATGGCTGAATATTTCATATGGATGTAAAGAAGAAAAGTTACTTTAACGAAAAGTTAAATAAATATTCTTCTTATGTGTTTTATTTTTATAATATGTCTACTTTGATAATAAGATCTTTTAAATTATATTTGTCGCGACTTTTACTCTAAATAACACTGTTATGCAACACCTTATAAAAATTCATCAAGAAGATAACTTCAGAAGTATACGAGATGGTTCATATTTGTTACTTATTATATCTAAATACTTAATAATTCAATAATTTAATTTACTAAGTAATTAAATCTTTTTCTATAAAATTTTAAAATCACTGACTTTTTAAATATTGAACCTTAACATCTTTCTATATAAAATAAAACACCGTATATATATTTTTTTTAATAAATTATATTTTCACACGTACATACTTCTAATAATAAGATAAAGGTATCGGAACCTATGTTAAGTAATGCTAGCTGTTGAAAGTAGAAAAGCGATAACTGATGTTGAATAATAAATAAAATACATACTTATGAATTTTTGCGAATATTAGAATCATATAATATTTAAGTATGAAACATATAATAATCGTGAAAGAGGTTTAATTTATTTATGAATCAACGTAAATCAAATTGAACGTAACTTGCAATCTTACCGCGATGGAACCTAAGCTTGAAACATAAACCATGGCAATAAATGTCACATATCATTTGAAAAAAAATAAATTAATAGAATGTAGTACCTGTTTCCGACAGCTGTAGAGTGGTCAGCAACGACTTCCGTTAATGCAACTTGTAAATTTCTATAGGTACCAGTGTTAGAAGGAGAATATTGATAAAAAGGTAAGGGAAAACGAAACAACATCTACATAAATTCAATACTTATCGCATTAATAGTCGTTTATTTCACTTGATAACAAGAAATCATCTATATATAGATAATACATTTACAATTTTACATTTTTCCTTATACCTAATAAAAATTATTAATAAAATTATATTTGAAAGCTTTACTAATTTTAAAAGTGTAATTAATATCTTATAAATCAAATTGATATTAATTAAAAGTTTATTTTCAATTAGAGATATTTATAGTTATTTTGAATCTATCGTTAAAAAAGAAAGAATTCCTCTCATTACTGTAATTGATTACCCAAGATTATTCATCCTAATTAGGTTCTTTCTCCGATCCTAATTCAATCAGGAATGCCATTATTATGAGTGGCCACGAACGGATAACCAGTGAAGGCTATACAGGGTGTTTTAGTGCCATGCGAATTTTAATCGTCTCCAATAATCTGATCAAAAAATAATCTGAACAAAATTTAAAATTAGTCATAAACTTTTTTGCTAATTAAATGAACACCGATGACATCACTGAAATTCTCATTTCCTGTTACCTCAACATTTTGATTACTCTTACAGTTAAAACGATCAGGATGTTCCTTATATCGTTTCTTATACTACGAATCCCAGTTTTTATTATCTCCAAGAATTTCATTACCAAATTTCCAAGTACATAATTCAAAGCTAAAGTAATTATTCCAGGATTTACCGTAGCACCTCGTTTGATTCAATAAAAAATGTAATAGTTGTAAAACTGAAGGTCAATACCATCTAAGGCAAACGAACGTTTAAATATGAAGAATGATTGTCGAAGATCACAATTTTAAAGTTCAATACTAATTAGTAAAATATTTCTGTGCCGATGGCAGCAGAAAATTACAACCTAATTGAAGTATGTAAACGTTGAATAGTTGCATAATTTTGGCTTAATCCTTTGACTATGATTAGCACCTAAAGGCGTTCAGGATTAACTGCTTACCAATGACGAACAGCGCCTAAAGACGTTTCGTATTATAGTAATTGCTCACTGGAGGTGAACATCGCTTATTATTTTCTATTGAATAAGCAAGGTTGCTTCGGAGTCAATGGGTTAAGTCACTGAAGACCATTTCTTACTTTGCGTTGATTGGCCTTGGATGCCACGGATTTTAACCCTTTCACAGACATTTGAAATTTACATAATAGCGCTTAAAAATCAAACAAACGATGGTCATAGCTGTCTTGCCCGCGAAAGGGTTAAATAGCAGTGGCTAAGTCAATCATAACTCAGACCTAACGTGTACAACGGTACTTTAATAGAAAATGGTTGAAAAATGTTATTAAACTTCTCGAGTAGCTTGTTATAAAAATTGAAAACCACTGTTTTCAGTATATAAACTATTTATAAAGATACCACTCTCTATATTTTTCAATAGTAAAATGTACCACATTTTTACGAAATATTTTGTCATATCTACTGTTCCTTATCATTGTAAGGAGCAAGTTCCTGTCAGCATTGAAAACATACGCGAAATCCTGCCACACAGCGCGACCAGTGTACAATATGTTAAGAGAAACCATTTACTTTAAGCTAAAGCAAAGATCGTTACGATGATTCCGCTTGTATTATATTATACTAATAGAAACGAGTGACAACTGCTTTTCAAGGCGTTCGAAATGATAGTTTCCAAACAGAATATAAGGTGTCAATTTCAGACATACTTGAAAGCATGGTACCTTTACTTTTGGAACTTTGCATTCATTCAAAATCATTTTAAAATATTGTCTTTCTTCTCCTTTGCTATTTAATATTGCATTCGATACAAAAAGGAATAGTGCATTTATTGTTATCGCATATATCGAAACAGTTGTTCTTTTTCAACTTTTCACCCTCTAAATCTGAACTTTCGCTACTAGTAAAACAAACATGTATTTAATATTCATGTCGAATATTGTATAATTGCAAGTTTTATTAAAATTGAAAGGAGAGAGGGAAGGTGTAGTTGATTAACATTATTTGATATAAGAATATTGACTTATAAGATAGTAAGTAAATAGGTATTGATTTATGAGGATGCGAATGTGTTGTATTTTATTCGAGAGAGTGATTTCGTGAAAAAACAACCGAGTAAATATTACCATAAACGCACAAAATATCATTAATACGTTCGCTATCAACACCCAACTGCCATTTCTTCTTTGATGAAATATAACTTCAGGCTATATGTATATCTTATTCGTCTGTTATATCGTTTTTTAGATTATATAAAATAAAAAATTACAATTTTCGTACAGGAAATATGAAATATTTTCATTCTTCACAAAAATGTATTAAGGTACTTGGGTGGAAAATTGATTAGTTTAAAAGAAATCTTAGGGAAAGACCTCGAAGCTTTCCCCTTCTCTCCCTGAGATATCTTTTTAACTAATCAATTTTCCTCCCAAGTACCTGAATACTTTTTTGTAGAGCATAAAAATATGCTTCGATTGATATGCACGGTGCATAATTCCATTAAAATTTATTCAAATGAAATTGCATAATTTATCATTTTTCTTTACCTTTCGTGTTATGGACTGGCTCTGCTTAGTTTTCGGACGATTTATACACAGTAGTGTTATGGAACACGTCGTATAGGACAATGAGTCAAAATCTGGAATTCTGAAATAATAATAGAGGAAACAATACATTAAAACAACAACCACTGGTATGCATCTAAAATTGGTAAGATTAAAATCATCCTGATCGATGGAGGTGACTCATGAATTTCGAAGTATAATAGTTGCATGGACCTGGATATAGCTAAAAAGTTTCAACACTTATTCACGAGAAACTTATAAAATTTTATGTAATAGAATTCCATTTCTTTTTATTAATTAAATGTAAACATCAGCATTCCTCATTTTGTCAAAAGAACATTATCATTCTGTTTTGACCAAAGGATCCAATTTTTCAACTTTATAAGAACTGAAATTCTTTAAATTTTACTGGCATAAATTATTTCGTTCTTTCTTTCTTACTTACATAAAAAATAATCGCATAATTCATGAAGAAATCGATTTATAAAAATAGACAAATATGTGGAAACTTTTTGTGACAAAATGATTTTTGCAAAAATTTGTGTGCAGTTAGATAACAAGGTACTGACGAAAAAAAGAGGAAAAATTTATGGTGATGATTTCATGAAAATTTGTAGAAAAGCTGGTTCAAAGATGCTGGATACAAGGTTGTTATTGTGATTGAGATGGTAGGGATATATCGAAGATCGGTGAATCGATATAAAAGAAGAGCGAATACTAAAGCAGTGCCAGTTTTAGTAACTTTCTTTTAGGTATCACGTGGAAAAGTAAATTTCATTTAGTGCCTCGTACTCTTCGCATGCGGATCTATAAACCATGTAAGTACAATTAATTATTACAATTCACACTTCAATCTGAAACTTCATCTTAATACTTTAATGAAAAATTTTACTTCTATAAAAAGACTATTTGAAGTATTCATAAAATGATATCTAACGATTTTCAAATTTTTCATTAATTAAGTATATGTATATTTTTATGTATTAACTTTGAATAACTTTGATTAACAAAAAAACAAAATCAAATCTATCATAACTTATTCCATTATATTTATCATCCATCATATTTAATTAATCTTAATTAAATTAATTTTAATTGGTTTAAAAAATGACTAAATCATTTTTTAATTAAATCCTAATTACAGTACTTTATATGCAAAACTATTTACAAATTAATTAATTACTTTATACAAATAAGTTAGTGAATACATTTGTACAAATTGGAAATACAGACTCGAATAAACATGAGTCACAGAAGGAATATTTAAAAACGAATACCTTGAAAAACGTGAAAAATTAAAAAACAATATTCCTGTATATATAATCGTTTTAAAAGAATAAGAAGCCTATTATATTTAATCGCGCAAAAGTTCTACAAGGATATACTATAGAATAAAGATAAAGAAAAATGTATTGAGAAAAAGGTATCAGGTGGACCAACAACTTTAGAGATCTTTAGAAAATCATTGAATAGAGAAAGCAAACTTTATATTTTTAAAAAATCGATCTATACATAATAGTAAAAAATCAATGAACAAATAAGAAACGGAAAGGGAGAAAGGAAGATAGAGAGGTAAAGTGAAACACAGTCGAGGTCGAGGAAAGAATGACGTGAGCTCCAAAATATCATTCTTGGAATGTAGGACATTAGAAAAGTAAAAATCAAGAATCTCTGTATGTGTGCATTCCTTTCTCTTTCGATCGAGACGATGTGGCCTGGATCAGCTATTTCCGGGTGATGGGTCTTCCTTTTTCCATATATTAAAATTAATGCTTTTCACCACTTTACTCAGATACACTCTACCTGAGATATGGCAGCTTCCATCCATTCCATACTTTCTTCAAACTTACTTTTGTAACTCTTGCATTATGTATTTATTCTCATTAATAAATTTAAATAAAAAATAATATCTATTTTGTTTTTATTTTAATTAAGTAAACATAGTAATGTTCATTTTCTTTTGTTTATTAAATTATAAATAATATTGTGGAATATACATATAAATGAAAAGATAACACATTGTAAAATGTGTTTCTAATACAACCACCTGAAGAAATCTATGCCCCCCATAGGGCGAGTCGCGTGCTCACCTATCATGGCTATACATACTTATACAGTTTCTTCTCTTTTATAGATATATATAGCACAGACAGAAAAAAAATGCTTTTTGGAGCATTAATAGTAGTTACTTCTATCTGGACAACGAATGGATATCCTTCCACACCTCCAACTGACATAGGTCTGTACCTATTCCCATTTCTAATCACTGAACTACAGACTGACATATCTATAATCTTTCTAAAACATCACACATTACTAACATTCACTATCTTCTGAATAGTACTTCAAGATTCTGCACAACAGGAAGTGATATTTCAAAGTCCCGAACAACAGAGGGCCATATTTCAAACTTCTGTACAGGAAGTCGAGCAAGAACCATTTAATGACGATTTCTTCGCTTACGATGATTCGAAATCAACGTCATTTTCGGGACAAGGGGCAGATTTCACCATTAGCTGCGTGGGGGTGAATAAAATTTGCGTCAATAAACATGATTGTATAGATGGTTACATTCATGTTGCTAACAATGTCGCTTATTCCCTATCTAACAAGGTAAAAATTGTTATTATTTCGTTGAAACAATATACAATTCGATAATACAAGTTTCGCCACATGAACATATTTATTTGAAACAGAAGGGGCAATGTAGAGTCCAAACGGAAGTTTGTTGTATAGTAGCAGAAGAATATCAGGGGTCAACTGTAAAGACTGTACCATTAGAACAAGAGTTAAGTAGCGGTACTAATATAGGAATCAAAGTCAGCCCTCCATTTGGACCGAGCCAGGAAGAAAGTGGTGGAATCTCAAGTTCGCAGTCGACTGAAGGAATTGCTATACAAAGTATTATTTACAACTATATAATTCAATCTTAAAATTAAGAGCTATAAGAAAAAGCAATATGAAATTTTTGACATTCTTCTTATTTGTAATGTTAATTATTGTACGGTGTATGAGTAATAAATCACAATTATATTATTTAAAAATAATTGGAATCTTTAGATGCGTTTGCAGTAGCAGTTCCCGTGCAAGTTGGTTGTGCGGCAGCTCTTCTTTGCGTTGAAGAGAAATTTTGCACCGCAGATGGTACAATTAGTCCGGAGCCTGTTACGTTGTCTGGTAGGCAACTGTTCAATCGTGTACCACTAAGCGTAAGTAAATGAAAAAATAGAAAAAAGAATTATTAAACAATTGTCCTTGCACTCTTTTATAGAGTTGTAAAAATCCAGAAAATGGAATAATCGGCAAGTGCTGCCGAGATCCAAACTACGTGGATCCTTGGCCCACCGGAAATCTACCTGCAAATTACTCCGGTGGCTTCGACGAGCAAGGATTTCCCACGTTTCTGAATATCGCTAAAGTGAAGGCAAATAAAACTCCTACGAAAACACCTACGAAGACACCTACGAAAGGAGAAACGAAATCTCCTCGTCCGCAGATTCCTGTGCCAGTCGAACAAAAACCAGAACCGGTACTGTTACCTGAAAATTCCGTAGTTTCTTCAGAAATTTTACTTCCACCAATTGAAAATGTTCCTGAAGATAAACACGATGAAAACAAGGTTAATTTGGGACAACCTCAACAAATATGCGGAGTTAGAAATCAGGTAACTTTTAATGATACAAAAGGTGTATAAAAAAATATCAAATAATGTATAAGTTATAAAAATAAAAAATGTTTTTAGGTACCGCAAAAATTGAAAGAATCGGAAACAGCTTTTGCCGAAATTCCATGGCAAGCGATGGTTTTACACGCTGAAGAAAGAAAGATTCTTTGTTCTGGTGCCTTAGTCAGCACACAGGATGTATTAACAGCTGCTAATTGTGTCGATAGGTAAATCAATTTTCATGTAATTTATATAGTAAGAAATGTAACGGATTAATTACCTTAATTAAGTGATAATAATTTTTACTTTTCATTAATTAGCTTGTTGCCAAATGATGTTTCCATAAAGTTAGGAGAATGGAAATTAGGGTATGAAGTAGAGCAGGAAGAACCACTTCCTTATAAAATTATGAATGTATCATACATAAATGTACATCCTGGGTACACAAGGGGTCTTGGAGAACATGATCTTGCAATTTTACATTTAGAGCAGCCTACAGCATTTGATTATCATATAAATCCTCTTTGTATACCAAACACAAAGCCTCCATTACAACAAAATAGACCTTGCATCAGCACTGGTTGGGGAAAATCCATCCTTCAAGGTAATTAAAAAATATCTGGTATATCAATTTTAATAAACGGGTAATGGATAGTTTTATAGAAATAAAAATAATTTATAATTCCATATCATTTTAATTTAGCTCATTATGCTGGAGCAATCATGCATGCAGTTAGTATGAACATACTTCCACAAGAATATTGCAAAGAACAAATAGCAAATAGTGACTTAAGAGTGAATACTGTAGATGGAAGTATTTGTACTACACCTAAGGAGCAGCAAAATAATGTTTGTGAAACAGATGTTGGAGGACCACTAGCATGTGAAAATGAGAATGGTCTTTATGAGTTAGCTGGAATTTATAGTCAAGATACAGGATGCCAAGCAACAAATCAAGTAAAATATTTCTTTATAACTTATTCAATATTTTACATTACTATGATATGTTATATTGAATTCATAAACTATAAAATACATTGTTAATATTTGTTAAAATAATTAATGTTTCAGGTTGCCATTTTTGCTCCATTAGATGACAAATGGATAAAAGAGACAATGTTTAAATCAATACCAAGTGAAACCATAACAATACAAAGAGAAACAAGCACGCAATATAAAGGTTTATTAATTTCAAATGACTATAGAGAAAGTACTTTATCTACAGATAATCAGTATCTACCTCCAAATTAAAAATCCATTAACCAGTATACTTGTATTATATATTGTATATTTTAATTGTTCATAAAATAGATATTTTTAAGGAGAACAATAAAAGAACTCACCCTTTTAATTATTGTTCAAGATATTACCAATAGAATATGTTATGTAATTATTGTTCAAAATGATAGTGTAATAAAATATTAACATATTGAGATGTTATATATGTATTAAAATTAAGTGTAGTGATACATATATGTATATTTGGGCTAAAGCTTATGTTTATCTCATATGAATATTATATAATGCTACAGTATATCAATTATTATATATTGTAAAACTTCTTTACATCTTCTTTATAAACGTTTATAAAGAATCAATAATTGATTGATATATTCAAAAATAGGGATTCCAACGCAAAAAATTCAATTAACAGTTTACAGTCCTACCAATATATAAAAAGTGATAAAGAAAGATGTCGCGTTTGACAATATTTGATTGTCTTTCCTTCAGAAGATTTTTAAAAATGTGTTATTTGCAAGGAAGTAGTAATTCTAATAAAATTTGTATTTGATCCTTCATCTAGTAAAGATAATATACACCAATAGCTTTGTATTTCCATTATATTATATTGAGTTTGTATTTTCAGTGGCGCCAATTTGGCGCAATTGTGTCCACTTTTGGTACTAAAATATTGAATCCTTTTCCTTGCTATCATCCGACACAACATCTATTCAAAAAGTTACGAGCATTTAATGACGAAAATCATGTACTTGTAGTATAAGACGTCGAACATTCGAAATAACTTTGTAGAAAATTAATTCTACTTTTTTCTATCGTACAGTCAAATAACGCAAATTTCCATTAAACATGGATAAAAGAAAAATGTCGTGAGTATTTTACCACCCTTGTTTGAACATTATAAATTTCTGAAATATTTCTCTCGTACAAAAATATATTGTTTCCTTTCATATCAATCAGTGTCAGCTATTGCATTTAACTTAACGCGTTTATTTTGAAAATTCAAAAATTATACATAATCATAAAATGTTAGGTTAAATCTCGCTGGTTTACTTATGTATCATTTCGTTATTGCTTCTTGATTAATTCTCGTCATAATGTATTATTTATTTTTGCAAAATATAAAGAATGATGAATTTATTTCATTATAACATTTTGTTTAAAAATTAACAAGCTTTTAATGCTAGGTTAGTTTGTTACCTTTTAAATGTCTTAACGCGAATTTGAAAATGACTGTCCTTGTCATTTTTTTTTTCTCTTATAAGTTATTCAGTACACATCGAATTAATTTTTTTTTAATTATTTACGAAGGTAATAAACGAATTATAGTAATCAGAAAAACAAGGTATGCAAATTTGTAGAATATAGATAATAATGAGTAAAAATTTTTATCTATAAATCAAATTTAAAATTAAAACAAAATAATTATCAGGTAATTTCTTATTAATTAAAGTAACTGATCTATTAACATCTTATTTGTTTCAGGACAGCAGGGGATTCCCTGTACCAAATATTAGAAATTCCAAAAACTGCCACTCCCGAGGAAATCAAAAAAACTTATAGAAAATTAGCATTAAAATATCATCCTGACAAAAATCCAAATAATCCAGAAGCAACAGAAAAGGTAAAATAAATGTAGAAGAATTAATAATTTCTTTACTTTTATAATAAAATGCATAAAATGTTTGAAAATATAGTATAATTTGTTTAGTTAACTATATCTTAAAGTTAATTAAATCTTTTATATTTATGTTTTAAAATTATGAGTACTGAAACATAATTTTTACTGTATGAAATTTATACTTTAAATGAATCATTTTTGAATATACAGTAGATTAGATAAGATTGAGATCAGATAATATGTAATACCTTTATATCATACAATTTACACAGAATTTCTTAGAATGTGTATTTTTTTATATATGTGTTATATTTTTACACACTGTAATTGATGATATAATCAAGCTGGTGTAATTTCATTGAAAAGTTATATTTTACTGATTTGAATAAATCTTATAAATCAGATATGTAAAACAAATTTTAATAAATGTCTATAATGTTTATTATTCATAATTAAAATCTGTAGCATAGTTTAAGTACAATCTATCATTATAATCTGTTTAAATTGTATTATGTTTCAGTTTAAAGAAATAAATAGAGCCCATTCTATATTAACAGATTTAAGTAAACGAAACATATATGATAACTATGGGTCCCTTGGATTGTACATTGCTGAACAATTCGGCGAAGACAATGTTAATGCATACTGTGTTAATTGCCGTTGGTTCAATGTAAGTGTTTATCTATTTCCTAATTTTTATTTTACTTTTCAAGTTAGAAATATTAAGTCTATTGATTTGTTATTTATAGGCACTCTTCTTCTTTTGTGCTTTGATAACTGCGTGTTATTGCTGTTGTTGTTGCTGCTGTTGCTGCAACTTCTGTTGTGGCAAGTGCAAGCCTACACCACCAGAAGATAGTGGAGCATACCATAATTTACAGGTAAAATTCCTATTTTCCTATCTTATTTCTTAAAATATATTAAGGTATAAACAATGATATACCTTGTTTAATAATACAATGTTACATACATTCTCTGTAAGTCTTTTCTAGTTGTTATACATGAATTATATTATGACACGTATGTGTGTTTTTCACGTAAGTGTAATTACTAACAAAAAAAAATAATATTTATCAGTTAGCGTTTAGTTCCAAAATAAAAGCCGTGACTCTTAATATTAATTTTCGATTACTGTCTCAATCATGAGATCCTTGCATAAAATATACTAGTTTAAAACGAATGGAAATCGTTCCATATATAATGATACTAATCGGCAATTACAAGCCTTGTATGGATACAAGAACTGTCACATAAATTGTTGCAAGATGTTTTCTTAGAAGAACCTTGGGAGATCTTAACTCCTAGTTGTAAGAATTAACAACATTAATTTTAACGTAATCACCTTCGAAAGGATTATCTATAATTATATTGAAACGAAATGTAAAACGTTTATTTATACTTAACTGTTCCTATAATTTGAGCTTATTAGTCATTCAAAAAACGCTCGTCGAAGTCGCGATTTTTCCTTGTGAGTACTTTAATAACGATATTAAATTCGTATCTACTTAGGTACCTTCTTTTGAATGAATGTTTTCATTCATAAAAGAATTACGCACTTGAAACTTTAGGTGCTTGTGTACAGACATGTTCACAAAGAAATAATTGTAGAAAATCAAGTATTGCTTTATTTTCTTTATGTAAGTACAGTGGCTTGTTATATTGCCAGTTTACCTCATCGTCGTTATTATACTATCATTTCTTATCAGCAGCAAAAAATTACCTTGGAGCAAGGGATCACGTCACGTGGGTAAATCTACTTGTATCAATGAGACAGCGTTCGGACCCATTTGGGTAGATCTATCCATACAGAAGAGGCAATGAAATTCAGAGAGGTTGTAAAATCGCTCAAGCGTGAAGAAAAAAGAAATCTTATTCTGGAAGGGGAGATAAGGACCCGCAACCTCAGGCCTGATTGTGTTAATTTACCACCTCCCTTCATCTTGGCCGAGTTGCATCTATTATCCTAGGCTCGTGTTAAATAACGTGTTGAATAAGAATTATGTTGCAACCGTGGCAATATAACGAAGTCTGCTGTACTTATACAAAAACTGTAGAACTTATAAGTCGTGCAGTTCACGATTCACTGGTCTAAATTTCAGGAGTGCTTTTACTTTTTAATCACTTTTATCGAAGGTGTTTTCACAGAAAAGAAATAACGTTTTTGTTTCTTAAGTTTATAAATCAACATACTTTTTCCATTGGAATTTATGAGTTTCTTAATCATTCACTTCATATTCATCATACGTAATCAATCTGTTATTTCTGGAACCTTTCTGAATTAGCCTAGCATGCACTTCTTACGTTTGCCTTCTTTTTTCTTTAAAATAAAATAGATTAGCGGTTTTGTTTACGTTGTTGTTGTATTATAGCGGGACCAGAATCCAGATGTCGATGTCGTGACGAATCAACCCAGAGCCCCGGCCAAGGTAAGTTTTTCTCATCGGTATCAGTGGTTCTTAATCCTCTAACAAAAGTATTATCAAATTTGGCAATTTGAAAACACGAACAATCATAGTTATCACAGATAATTTGAAATATTTCAAGGTACCAGAGAATTTCAAGATTTATCTCTTAAAAATTATTAAAATCTTGTTTCTTAAGTTTCATTTTTGATACAGTTACTTGTATTTTACCAGACTAGAATGTAATGTAATGTCTTCTACTTAAAATAACAAAATTGTAACATCAAATTTTGTAATGGATTTTCGTTTCTGATGATTCGTGTTAGATATCACGAAATCAGGAGGAACTGAGAACCATTGAAACAAATTCCTAATACATGTTTCGGCTTTCAATCATTCTCATACTAGCTTTCTGAACATCTTATTTTCTTTTTTTCATCGTGATTTTTACATTCTTTCTGGTTTTAATGCAACAATGTACTGAACGAGAACTGCAGGTTGGTATACGTAGGTTTGCTCGAAAGTAAGAACTCTCTGTTGTGAAAATCTATGAGCACTTTTTGAATAAAGTTGGTTTCAAAATATAGGAATTGATAGGTATAAACAAATCTTCGAAGATTAAGAATTTCAACATTCTTTTCCCTAATGCTTAATATATCTTTTTCTTAACTATGGCCAGTTGCAATTACTGTTCTACAGTTTGTTTATACTCTTCAGAAAGCAAACTCTGCTTATCAAACGTGATTAAATGAAAATTAGAAATGAACAAGTCTCTACCAGGCAAAAGATAAAGTAAATTTTATGCGTACACGTGTATATATAAAACATGCATATGCTTTGGAGAATCATTAATTGGAAGAGTCAATATTCATTGTCACCATTTTGTTCAACAGGAAGAAGAAAGTGATGAGGATGCGATCATAGCGCAACCACAGGGTGGTCCTCCAAATAATTCTAACAACCAGCAACCCATTTTCGCCATGCCACCGCCACCCACTACAGCTGATGAAAACACAAACTTAAACAGTGGTGCTGAAAGAGTTATTTACACGACTGGTATTTCGAGTACTTAAATATTTAATGCACCTTGTTTAATTAGAGCATATTTTTGTTACATCAACTTTAGCTTTGTTTGCCTATCTTTTCATCTTCTGTTTATTTAATTCCACGCTTCTAGTGAAGTGTATTATTGATATGTGCAACGTAAGCAACAGTTTGATTTCACAAAAAAGTACTTATATAATTTAACTGTCTCGTAGTTTGCACAAACCTGTCTACTGTTGCAACCTTTTTAATTATCAATTCAAATTCACATTTTTGACAATTTTATATCAGCATTTGAAACGGTACGTTTCTACCTAACTAGCTTGAAAATGAATGAATAAATTAAAAATGAGGAAAAATGTATTTAAGCTGAAACAGTTTATTTAACTGCAATTTTAAATATAGCTACTTTAGCGTTTAGTACAGCTTCGTTAACAAAGCTTCAAAGCTTTACACAGCTTTATAAATTATTACCACTATACCAGTAAAATTCACGGTTTCAAGTTAATATAATTTTTTAAGTGATACGTTTTTGTATCACAACTTGAAGACTTAGAAGTAAATCAGCCATATATTCTAATAGATATTAATTTCTTATTGACTACGAACATGTTACAAATTTTGTACATAAAGAGAATTATATATACAAAGTAACTTTGTTTTCATATTGGATTTTTCTATTCTACTGGATAGAATGATTGTAAATGAACTTCAAGTTACTGTCGTAGACGTATTTAATTCTTTGTAGGTCTCGAAATTTATTTAAAAACAAATATTGAAACTTGTCTTATTTTGTAAATAATTTGGAGTAGGTATTCCTTTATCGTAGTTTTCGATGTGTACTAGAAAACTGCATAAGGAATTAAGTTAAATATGTTGTTTTTGAATTTTTGGAAACCGAATCTTATTTTTAATGCTTTTTATAATATAATAAATGTCATGCCGATAATATTTGTTTTCTATTTATAATATTCTCTGATACCAGGTTAGTGTAATTACATTCGAAAGTAGTATTTAATGTAATAATTTTAAGTACTCTCAAAATTAATGCAATAAGATTAGCAGTTTCCTCTTTAAAGTCATGAGTATTTAGTGCTATCTTGTTATGAGCATTTTCTTTTGACCTGCACCATAACTCAAAGTTGCAAGGAGTTTGTTCAGGTGAGTTGAGAAGCCATTGTAAAGATTCATCTTTTTCCAATCAATGAAGATTACAAGGCAAGTACAAATGAAATATAAATACAACACATAGCATGATAGTTATAATACTTTTGTAATTGTTGTTTTTTCTAGAATTACATTGTTATTTCTATGAAAAAAAATGGTATATCACATATATGTATAACTTATTTGTTTCTTGTTAAATGTAGCGGCATCCACAAACCCCTTCGCTGCAGTAAATGTTGGAACGACCGATACGAGTACAACAAAATGGTAGTCGCCGAAAGATAGAGACATTATGGGGGTATGAGCGTTAGAAAATTCGTTCTATAATTTTTCAGGGGGTAGAATTTATGTACCTGTACGAATGATGTACCAAGCAAAGATAAAATGTTGAAAATAGTTCCAATCATTGAAGTTAAAAATAATCAACATAAATTATGAAATTAAAAAAAAATTCTGGGATATTTAAGAGTTTTTTTTATTAAGAATCTTTAGAGTTTAAAATATGAAATGAGTGTTCGTACGTAAATACACCCCCTTCTGCGAATAGTCGTAACAGAAAAGTGACAAAGATGGACCTTGGCATATAATATTTCATTCACAGATTTTCTAACATTGTCAATGGTAAAAACAATATAATGATAAACATTTTGTTAATGCATGAAACACGTAAACAAAATATACGTACGCGAGTATAAATATCAATGGCTTAAGATGAATAGAAAACATTGTTAAAATTCCTGTTAATTAATCATACCGTTATGTGTTTATCATTAGTCTTGTTTAATATGATAATTAATATAGCGATCGTTCAAATGAAATAAAATAAAAATTATTCATTTGTACAGTTATAAATGTATCCAACTGCTACTTGTTCCAATAGATTTATTTTAAATAATAATTTTGCCATATAAAAGATAGTTATGTACATATAAGGAGTCAATTCGTTTGAATGCGGCACTTCCAGTGTTTATTAGGATGATGTAAAATTAATGCACAGTATTAATATTCGTTTCGATTGTTTATTTTCGCCGAGAATATTTTAAATTTATGATAAAGTAAATTCTAAGAGAAAAGATTTATTATATTGTTAAGTAAATGTTATGGGAAATGATAGAGGGAGAAAGACTTTTCTTTGAAATATTGTTTTATACAACAACTAATTTATAAAAAATTGTAAATTGGAAAATGAATTATGCTTTTAATTACTAAAGTTAATATTTGTAGTACATGTACTGAATATGCTAAACTTTACAATCCTTCAATTTTTTACTACTTTGTTGTAAATTAAGTATTCGATACAGCAAATGAGTCAAGAAGCTTGTTTCAGCTTTCATGAAACTAATTCCTATTCATATTCAATATGTATATCCTTATAAGTTACTTGAGAAATGTAACATAGAAAATCGTATGTGGTCTATAATTTTTAATGTAAGAATGATATTAATAGACATTATTGTATTCCAGGGAAACTGAAAAACTATTTTTTATTGTAATATAAGTAATTGTAAAACAAATAATACAGATTGTATTAATTTTACAACATCCTAATATTAATTAATAAGTCGTTACACAGACATATGCCGTGAACTATTTCATTTATAATTAAAATTAAACAAGTAAATACTTACGTTACTCTAACAATCCAAGGCTCGTACTATATTTGTAAATATCTATGCAATGTATTATGAAGTAGACAATTATTGAACTGGTGTCATGCAAATATTATGTATGTGTAGTATAATACATTATACATATATAATACGATTGTACGTATGCACATACATATGAGTATGTATACAGAGTGGGCCATTTAAATAAGAGTTTCAGGCAACTCCAAGCTATGAATGCACTATACACATTTACTTAACAATTTTCTTGTGTCAATAATGGTAATAGCCATTACTGAATTATACTAAAAGAATTTTGCATTCTGTGCATAAATATATGCATGCATGCATACACTCATACATGTAATTTGTTGTTGAAAAATCTGTAGAATACATTTTACGCGAATGTAATCTGTTATAAACCTATATATATATATATATTTATATTTATATACACTTATATACATTTAATCATGGTTTGAACAATCTGTTAAAAGATAGAAGGAGAATTAGATCCGTATGGATCATGACAGTTTCAATTAAATATCTAGCAATTAAATAAAAAATGAAATGGTCTACACAAAATTTGAGTACTGAAAGCCACTGTTCCTTTGTGCTATTTCATTACCTTCTCTCTTTGATTTCGAAATAAAATAAATTCAAAGTGTGAAAAATTGTGTAACTTATTATAAGCATATTATATAAAAAAAATAAATATCTAATTCCATCTACAAAGCAATTATTATATCTACTACATTGTATTACGTCCTTATCTATTTCAAGTTAGGATTAGTAAATTATTAAAATAAATGTTTGACAAACTTGTATTTTAAAAAGAGCGCCATAAATTATTTTTAAAATTCGATCCTAGCTCCATCTATATAAAAAGGGCTAAAATTACTCAACAACTTACTGACTGAGTTTCCAGAACAGTGGAATACTAGCGCATCTAGCGGAAACTACTTGCCAACTAGTTTCCACCGTTCTCTGATAGATGCGCTAGTATTCCTCTGTTTCGGAAGCCCGGTTGGTAAGTTGTTGAGTAGTTTCAGCCCATTTTATATAGATGAAGCTAGAATCGAATTATAAAAATAATTGATGGCGCTCTTTTTAAAATACAAGTTTGTCAAACATTTATTTTAATAATTTTCCAGTCTTAAGCTGGTTTTGACTAATTTCTAAAAAATATAATCAAAGGGAGTCATAATATTTTCTTTTCAATTATGAGTGCGAGGTGTGGTGGAAGGGAAACTAGTAAAACATAGATCTAACCTAACCTTCTTGTATCTGTTGTTGCGAACCTCGCCACAGCCGACTCTAGTACTAGCCATGCTGAACAACGTGGCAACACCGCTCACGTGACAATCGGGAGTCCTATTTTCAAAAACAGAGTCCTGTGCTCGGAATTGTAATTAACGTCTTTTTTAATTAAAAGCTGTAGTAATATACACTATTTGGTGTTAATTATGTATAAACAATATATAAACGTTGCAACTATGGCAAATAGAAGTGATGTGGTAGTATAAAATTGTTATAAATGTGATATATATTTTGTGTACTCTCAAAGTAGTTTGGTGTTGTGAAGCATGATATTTGAAATATTTACAGTGGTTTCAAGAAAATTTAGGTATGAAGCAAAATAAAACCATCTTTGGGTCAAATTGAAACATTTAAGAATTGATGAACGTGTATATAAGTTAATAAAAACCTTGAAACAAGCGAAATTATTGGAACGAAACCAAAGAGGTTATGTGAAGTCCAGAGAGTAGTCGGGAGTCTGACGACGTTGATTGGCTGAGAGTCCGGGAGTCCGGGAGGCAGATAGAGTAGGCTAGGTGTTGATATATTCAGACCAGACTCCCGCGGTGTTGCCATTTTTACTTCAGCACGGCTAGTACTAGAGTCGGCTGTGACCTCGCCTGTATGTATGTGTGCAATATCGTGTGAATTTAGCTGCAAGCTTGTAATCGCAAGCGTTGAATGAAATGTAATATGGCGACGATGCCATGAGAGCAGCCCTATATGTATGTTGCCTGTACTACATTACCGTGGCGACGTAATGACCAAGAAATCGTAGGTGGCGATACTGTCTAATTGGTCGCAGTGATGATAGATCCGTAGGTCGAGTCGAAGTGAATTAGTAAGCGTAATACGTAATATCTGCTGTGGAAAACGTTCCATCATCCAAATTAAGTTTGGTATGTATATCCGTATATAAGTGTAAATCTTTATACAGATCGAAGCAACCAAATGAATCACTCAATAAAATTAAATTAACATTAGATAATGCAATCAAAAATGCTAATGGAGTGTATTTGATTGTTTTGAACAGCAACGTTTGATTGCATCATATATTTTATCACTGGACGTATTTGTCAGCAATTGTTGACATTTATACAATGTACCCTGAGTTGCATTGAACTTGTCGCAGTGAAGTTGGCTACAAATTCACTAACACATTCACGCTGCGTCGGTGAGACGATGGGCGAAATCGACTCACCGACTCGGTGTGAATGTGTTAGTGAATTTGTAGCCAACTTCACTGCGACAAGTTCAATGCAACTCATTGTCAGAGTACAACATGCAAGGAAGCAGTTACTGCATATACTAATAATTACAGTGTCAAACAAAAATTCGGTAACGAACTGTCATGTATTCATTCAAATATAGGATTTTTTAATTTTATAAAAAAATTAGAGAATCTATTTGTACAGCATTGCCACAAATTAGATGTCGTAGAGCATTGAATCAAACATATTGATATTTCCTTGCAAAGACCATAAACTGGATATAATTTCATATATTGTTTATTATTTTTTGGAAATTAGATGATAATACAAAAAATAATCAACACGTGAAAAAAATATCAAAATATTGTAAAACTTAAACATATAAATAAAGATATAATTTATAAAAAACATTGTGGTGTATTTTCTTTGTATTATGTACATATGAAACCACCTATATAACCATAGTATGTTATCTAAATACCTTTTATTGAAAACGAAAAAATTAGTATTTAAACTGCGATAAACGATAAGAGCGTTGATTAGAAAAAAAGAGACTAGATAAAAGAAAAAAAGCGCCGCTTCAATTGACGTTCTTATATTTTATCGCAGCTCCAACATAAACATGTCCCAACCTATCTGATTGAAGAGCTGTCTACAACTTTTTCGTCACTAATTTGCCAGGTGGAAGTTCAAGTCGAATAGGCCTGCATAAGAGTATGACTGCAGCATGTCTGCATTATGTTATATAAATGCTCATAAATTAGGAGCCAAAATTCAAAGGAATAAACAAACAATAGATAAGACATTGTAAAACTTTCAACACGGGTGATCGTGCTGGGAGAGAGTTGGAAATCCGGAGAAATAAGACTGTCACACTTGAAATTTCTAAGAAACTAATTTATTACGGGCCGTATCTAATTCGTTACTCTTAACGAAAATCATGTTGGTTCTTGAGACTGTCGAAGTCTCTTCGACATCCTGTTTATTTACAAAGGGTCGTAAATTCTCTTAAGGGTTGCCTTGGCTCGTTAGCGCGAGACCTCTTTATCTTCCGTTTTCTCTGGATCCCACGCTTTCTCTTAGCACGTGTGCACAGAATCGTTCTCGAGTCTTGGCAGAGTATCACCATCTTCCACTCGCCTAAGGGTGGACCGAAGCCAGGGAGAGGGACCGCCTCCGGACAGAGATGGGCTCCTCCACCATTGGACCAGGGATGATCCTGAGGGAGGATTCAGGATCCAGTGAAGAGGGGATGGCAGTCAACATCGATCGAAGATTTTCACCGCCAAACTCGGAACGATTCAAAGCTTCAACTCGTCTTGATATAATTTCTGGAAAGGAAAATAAAGTTATACCAAAATCATTTTCTTAAACGCAAAGTGTTTTTTTTATTAAAACCCGCGCCGCGAGCAGAGTGCTTCAGCGCTCCACGGGCACCTTACTCACATCCCCAAAATCCCTAGATAATTAAATCCACACGCAACACCACAGGTGGCAACACTGTAGTTGCTGTAGTCAATGACGAGTTATTCGCAATCATTTGCAATCTAAAGTTCGTTCATGAAATCGTGTGGAATTGCATCGTGACGGTTGTCACGAAACTAAGGAAATTTAATACTCTCGGGTATTTGAACTGAGATTGAAATATTTGGGATTTTATATATTGTTCGGAAGACAAAGGTAAACGTTTACCTACTGCGATTTACAAATTTCCTATAATGCAGTAATTTATTAATAATTGTTAATTAGCACAACTTCATTGATTAACCTATGTCTGTTATTACAATTTTTATTATTGTTATGCATTATTGTTATGACAACATAAATACCTACAATAGTATAATTGAAAATGAGAATTTATCATTTCATTTATCGATCGGGACCAACAAATTTTACCATTTTATAACATTAAATCATAGTATATCCTAATAACGCATCAACTATTTCGTTCTTTAAGTATTAACATTTAATTGGTATAAGCTATCATTGATATCTTATTTTATAATTATAAAATAAATCGAAATTGTTCAAACTTCATTCAGTGACTACGGATCTGTAGTCACTGCCTCATTATCTCAACATTAAAATATATATAGAAGTACGCTCACGTTTTTTTCTTAAATCGATAAAAGTGCGTAGAAAGAAAAATGCGATAAATCAATACATAGATACATACCACGTATGTATTATTCACAATGGTATTTTTCACCATGGAAATATTCATATCATTTCGATAAAGGAAATAATATGACGAAATACTGATGATGTAATATAATAAACACGTGTAGTGTTAATATCAATGCAGAAATAATTTTGGCTATATAAATATATAGTACTAATATATATCTTTTTGTGTTTTGAGCAGTATTATTTTTCAAACTAATATTTAAATAAATAAATTTATAATGAATCCCTTTTAACGATAATACAGTAAAATTTAAAAAATTAAATATTTAAATATTAATTTTATATGAAACATTATAAAACATCTGTATATAGTTTATATATTTTATTAATGTATAAAAGTATAAAAGTAATTACATATCCGCGCATGTGCGCATAATAAAGTTATATAAATTCATTAATTAAATTTCTTTATCTATTTGAATGTGATATGTGTAGGTGAACAATGGATCAGTACCCGCATGCTGAACCACTAGAGATCCCAGAAGAGGCTCTTAAACTAACATTAGAGAATGAAGAACCAGCAGGATTAGGACAAAGCATATATAAAACAATGCAAAGATCACCATTTCTTATAGCTGGTACATGTTTAATAGATCTATTAGATCTAAGAATTATTCTTTTAACAGTAAAAAGTATTTATAAATGAAACTGTTAATTTTGCAAATGTATTATCCCATATTGATTTTTCTACTTTTGTTATTGAAGTAAGAAAAATTGCATGATATGTAATAGATATTAATAATCAGTATGTTTTTTTATAGGTATACTAGGTTTTGGTGCAGTATGTGGCATAGGTGCCTACAAGTGGAAGACTAGAACTATTAAACCTTCCTTGTTCTTCATACAATTAAGAGTTGCAGCTCAATCTACTGCATTAGGATTTATAACTCTAGGAATGGTGTATCAGATGTATAAAGATTATGCTAGTAAACAGAAACCTACCTGATGATATTTGTCATTACTTATTAGTGAACAAAAGTAAGATATTATAATATTGAAAATGAACAAATTATGATTAATTTAGATTTTTACAGTAGAAACTATAAGCATTGTACAGGAATATAAAATCTGTAATTTTTGTGATCTATGTCAAGTAACTCTATAAGAAAAACACCATCAATAGTATTTGATTTTATGCAATAATATTTTAATATTCTCTCAAATGTATATATTATTAAGAGTTTGAAATTCTTTATTTATATAACTTATTACCTTTCAAGATATTATATTTCTAAGAATGCTTTTAAAATAAACACTGTAACAATCAATAAAATTTAAAGTAAAGTTATTATCCCTATTTAGAAATATTGGAGAAAACTGAAATGGTTTCAACAAACTTCTGAAAGAATATGTTGTAGAATTTTAATTAAACTCCAAAATCATGATTTCTGTTAAACATTATTTGTGAACATATTACATCAATTTGTAAATAATAAAGCTTATGTAAAATAACTAATTTTACCTAAAATTTTTTTATTTACTAAAACCTGGAAGTGTTCTTTAAAATGTTTAAAATACATGTATGTGTTTATCCATAATTTAATTTATATTGACATACATGTATTTCTGGACAGTAAATATGTAGTATTAGATCCATAAGAGCTTACTTCAAGTTGTTAAAATACGCAAAGATGGCTGAAGAAAGTGACAGGAGTCAATTGCCACCCGGCTGGGAATGCCGATATGATATACGAAGTGGTCGTCCGTATGTAAATTCAGATAAAAATTCATTATATTTGATCAATAAATATTATAATAAAAAAATATTAACAATTAGAATACCTTTCTTTTCTTATAAATGGCTTGCGTTACGCAATGTCTATTTCATCGAATTTTATTCCGTCGTTTGATTTTCTGATACATAAAAATTTAATAAAAAACATTGACAAATAGAATTATTAATCATCTTTCCTTGTACACTTTAAAACATATGATATGTTAATCGTTTTAAAGATGTACAATTAACAATTGTAATGTATTAATTTTATAAATCAATTAAAACAAAACAATACTTTTCAGATATTTTATAAATCATTTTAATCGTACAACAACATGGGAAGATCCGAGAGTAAGATATTGGCAGTATTCTCAGTATATACAGTCACAAAATTCAATGGCACTGAGTTCTGCTACAACTATAACTTCCCAAGATATACCCATGCAGGTCTGTAGATAATTCCTGCTTTACATTAAATTTGTCACATTACTAAACATCCATTTACATACATATATATTAACATTTGGATGTTTTTAACATTGCACTTATGCATGTATCAAAATGTACTAATTGCACTTTCGATATATATATATATATATATATTTTTGTCATATGCACATGCTGCATTTGGATAAAATATGTAATGTACTACAAAATAATAGACTGGTGGAAATGGAAGTGGTGGACATTTAGGTTATACAGGAGCTCACAGAGCTCCACAAATCTATCCAACACCGTCTCCCTATCATAATCCGCAACTTGCATTTTTACCTCCTAGTTTACAGGTAGGTAATTTACATTTGCAAATGTGTTACTTATCAATTGATATGTCAATATAATAGTTTATAATACAATGAGATCTCAGTTAGTCAATTTTTTATTAATTTTCTTTACATAAAAAGTATCCTATACAATTGGCACAAACAGAATCCTTAAAGTAGTTAGAGATGAAATGGTAATATAAAACAAAATGTGCTTTGTATTAATTTTATATAGAAATCTTAAATTTATTTCATGTGATTAATCTTAGATCTCATTATGTATATTCTATAAATATAATTGTTTAATGTTTAACATTTAATGAATAATAGCCACAATAGTTTAATCCAAATAATTTATATAGGAACTGAAAACTCCATTATCTTTGAAATCAGTTAGTGTCATGACAAATAGATTTGGGGACATGACAATTGGATCACCTACTCCAATAAGGAATATGGAAACAAGTTTAACTCAGAACTCTGATACTGAACTACAAGTTGCTAAAATCAATGCTATGTTTCCAACTGTTTCTGACACTCATATTCGACTTCTTTTAAAAAAGTAAGTTTCAAAATTTAATATATTTAATATTATATTCATGCCATTAAAAAAGATTCTAATTAACTCTTTTCATTATTCAAAATGTAATTTTTATTATTTTTAAGGCCAAACTATATTAATGCACAAAGTTGTATTTTTTTTTTTATGTATTTGGTTACATTTATGCTGGTGGTTTTATTTATGCCAATTAAAAATTGGCTTCTTTTCAATGAGTTTTGCTAGCACTGTTTCAAATATAGGGCTAAGGTGGTAGCTGATATCTTTCAGATACCATAACAGAGCAGCTTTGGTTGTCAGCGCTCTCCAAGTGGAAAAGAATCCCCTTTGTGCTCCAGGACCATGCACACCTGTGGGAGTTCATTCAAACTACACTATACCAAGATGGCGATTACCACCGCATGCTATACATGCAGCTCTAACATTGAGTCCGCCTCGTGGGGTTCGGCCAACCCCACACTCCCCAAAAATGAAACTTAGGTTCTTTCGATATTTACAATTTCAGTTTCATCTATTATGGATGCTAGATGTTGATATTGTATATTACAATAATTTCAAAGAAATGTATCAGATAAAAAGTAGAGTACTATGTTTATCTGTTCACTTTATGTATCTGGTATATTTCGTCGGTATGATTATTCAGTACTATGTAGTAATTAGCATGTACTGTTACATGTTGCAGATAATAAGTTTTTTATTTCCTATGGAAATAAATCATTGTATCTGCAGTGTGTTAATCTTCTAAGTAAAGTTTAATGAATCATGATATTTAAAGTATTAGTGTAATATGAGAATGCAAAATGTCTTAATCCCATTTGCAATAAAATTTTGTAGATGTTTTATGTCATACATAGTAGATAAAGTTGTGTCAAGTAGTTATCAAAGAATGAAATTAGAAAGGCCAAACAAATTTTCTTTATTTTCTTTATTTAACTCTTATTTATCTTTTCTCCTTTTTTTTAAATTTAATATTTATCATTTGGAATCAATTTTTTCTTTCAGTTTCTTCCTGGTTTACAGTACACCTCATATTGGATAGTGTAAAATTACCCAGAGCCTAGGTTTGTTTAAGTTTTACGTTACTAATATGTTTTGTTTAATTTTTAGTAACAAAAACTGAGTTTGTTTTGTTATTACATTGTATGCTGTGATAAGGAACTGTTTGTTAAAGGTTTATATTTAAGTGTAAATTTACAAAACATTATACACTATTATATAATTTAATAAACATGTCTGCTTACGTACATATACACACATACAATATTTTAAAGATCTACCACGCATGCAGCAGAATACCGGTTTATTCAAAAGAAATGTGATTTGAGCATGGTAGTATATGCATGTGTATTATGTCATACATTTAAAGTATATTATTATCTTGATATTTTAAATTGTTAATCTATGGATTACACATGCAAATAATGTATAATATTGGTAATATTTTGCATATAGTTTATTAATTTATTTTAATACCTGATTATTTTTATTATTATTTCTGCTATATTTAGTTTGATTTATGGGTCAATTATTTGTTGCACAATGTTGAATCTTGTACTGTAGATTATGTCTGTACTTGTTATGAGATGAAGTATTTATATAAATATTATATATATGAATAACGGTATGTGTACAGGTACCTGAAGAATGTATTTCCGAAAGTGGAAGAAACTATGTTGCTTGATATTTTGGAGCAAAGTGATAACAATGTTCAAAAAGCTTCTGAAAAACTGATTGATCTGGGCTATGAAAAACGAAATCCTACAGCTCCTAGATCACAAGCAAAAAGAAAAGAGGAAGAACAAGTAACGTATTAAATTTCCTTTTACTATTATTTCATTCCTTTGATTAATTCTATTTGATGTGATTACAGATGAGAAATGTACAACATGCCCCTACTCCTCCGCCGCGAATGAAAAGTTTAGAAGACAAAAATAAAAGTAAGTATGTTTATTAATGCTTTCTAAATGCCGGCGTTTTAATTGTTATATTGCAATTTATTAGTAAAAACACGTTTAATGGAGAAGTATAAATCAGTGCCGGAAAGAGTTATAATGCTTGCTATGGATAGTGTTGATTACGATGAGGAAAAAGCAATACACATACTAGACATTATGGTTATGGAAGAAGCAACAAGACCTGTATGTACAAGTAGTCAAAGGTAATTAAAAGTCAAACGGACTATAGGCCTAAATAGATAGTTCATTATATTTTGACATTCTTGACATCATTGTAATATAACAATGGAATAAACCTTCTAATTGTGTATATATGTATATATCTAACAAATTTGTAGCAGTAGAAGCGACGAAAGGAAAGATAGTCCACCGGTAATCGAAGCTGTAAAGTTAACTGCATCGCCAATTAAAAAAATAGTTAAGGATGCAGACTCTGAAAAATCTAAGCGATCTAAAAATAAAATAGAAATTCCAAAGTAAGGCACGGTATTACATTGTATTCAAAGTTTCCTAATAATGGAGTCAAGTTTTTGAAGAACATAAAAATGGCGTTTTCAGAGTTTCCCGAGGAACAAGTACTACAGAAGATAATGAATATAAATCTCCATACTTGACAAAACCTATAGGACCAAACCCTGATTTACCAAAAGGAGCCGATAATGATTTACTTCTGTAGGTTTAAAGTTCACTTTCTATGCGTGGGTTTTAATAACATTATCACTGTATTTATTTTTATACTAAATGTTTAGACCTGATTATGCACCATGGTCAGGACCAGATCCAAATCTATTGACGAACGAGATATTCAGTAAAACACTAGCAAACGGGCACGATGCAAGTTTAGTTTCTGGGAGTCGTTGCATTGCTAAAGGCCCTAATTCAGAATTAAGGAAAGGTTCACTGAGGGGATTAACTCAAGGTTCTATCTATTCTCAACGAAACGTATCTAACACTGAGAGTCGTGGTAAATGAAATATATTTAATTGTTTCTTTGTTAATTTTTATTTTTGTTAAGTAGAAAAATAAATTTTGTTTCGTGCAAAGCACGTCTTTGTATTCTATTTTTTGTTTTTTGTTTTTCACTGAATATTAATCGATCGAAATATTCAGATTTTTATATATACGGTATAAACTTTAAAAATATCAATTTTAATTCTATGTTTTATTATATATTTATACTGCAACTATATTGATAAATATTTGTTATGTTTATCTTTTACTTGTTGACAAGTTTTGTTATTCTTTTATGTTTATTAGTTTGATATATTGGACATAGAAGCTAAATTTGATAAAGTAATATGTACAAGGTAGTAGTAGGTAGACTATAATTGTGAAAGAATGAGCAAAGAAGAGTTCAGGTTTACTTACACACGAATACTTTAAATCATTTTAAAAGTATATCATATTCAACTATGCATTATCAATTTGGAAATATTACCATGCTTCCACCTATGACATATCTTGTCATTTTTAAGCTGTACATAAATGTGACCAAGTTTTTAATTAGTCGCAAAATAGTTTTAAAAATCTTTGATATTTATTCAATTATCGTAATGTTGTATTTTAAACAAAAAGACTTAGTAATGAACTTCTTTGCAAATGTGGATACAATTTCTAATTATTTATCTTTGAATGCAACATATTCGTAGTAGCAATAATAACTAATTCTATGATAAAATATTTTGCAGTAATAATGTTAATTTTCGTATTTATTTAATTAAATGTTAGACCTAAACAAATGTCTCATTGTAACGAAACAAAGTGTTGAAATATGCTACATTTCATTATGAAATTAAAACACATATTTTATTTCAATTAAAGGGTTCAAAGTTTTTCAATTTTTTAATGTTTTGTCAACAGTATTATTATGTGTTTTTATTAAAATTATTATGTTATGTATATTTATAATGTAAGATATAAAAAGTTATTAATATTTCAACACTTAAAATTTTAACTATTATAATTGTATTTTCGTTGTTTACAAGATTTATAACCATAATCATGGATTTACAGCCAACTTATTCAGTATTATAAAACATTTGGAATAAATATAAGAGTAAGACAAAATTCATTAATTATGCGACGAATATTTCAAAAGCTATTAGTTTTATAAACTATATACATTTTGAACCATATTAAATAAAACTATTACTGAGACACAAATTTCCAGGCAATTATCAGATACAATATAGGCCATAACAAAAATAGGGTTTCTGATGACAAGCTGAACCAAAAAAAGGAAAAAGAAATAATGTTTATATGCGTTATAGTTAAAATGAATGTACAGAAGTATTTTCATAGCTTAATCAAGAATATTCCTGCCTTTGAAAAAAAAAAATCTATTATATAAATAAAAGTTAGTAACAGATGGGCTGTGGCAGATTAGTTGAGAGCTATTTTTATAGCTTTTTGACTCTTGAAGAAACTAGAAGGAATAAAATAATCTATTTTGACTATATTTTGAGTATTGCCACGTATGCGTAAGAGTACATTAACGGGGGATAAATATTTCAATTAGATAACTACTGCAATTTGATATTCCAACGTGAAACACTTTCTCGTATACAAATGTTTATATGTGGTATTCTGCGAACATGGTACACTAATGATTTGGTGTTTGTGTATTGGAATGTGTTGCTACAGAGCAATTACTTATCAATATATTAAATGCCAAATTTTTTTCTATTAAAATTCTTCCATCCAAAAAAAAAAATGCTTTTCTCTGGAACACTATTTTATGAGATATAATAAGCAAACAACAATTTTCTCATTATTCCTCTTAAGTCGCATTAAACATACATAAATTAGATATAGAAGATTGTGTGCAATAGGTGTTAGTGACATTGTGCTAAGCTTAAAGTAATGAATGTATTTTATCGTATGTAATTTGTTGATCTATGATGGTTTTGTTATGTTAATGGTGTAAGATCAGTGTATACTCAAACAATAATGTTAAATGTTAATGGTGTTAACATGCTCTGTAATTAAGATTTCAAGTTCCAAGCAATTTATCGTGTACACATTACTTTATTTACAGAAACGAAACTATTTTTAACAAATTTTACGCGGTACGAGTACACGAAAGAAAATCTCTATATTTAGATATTTTCAGAATTATTTCTCATTTAATATAGTCGCTGTAATAATGCCAGAAATCATATTTGCCCTGATAGAGCAAGTCCTTAGGTAAATAAAAATTTCGTCCTAGAAATTAATAATTAATGAAAACAGTCCAGTAATTAGCAATATAAACATACTGTAAATCCAAATGGTGTATACTGAATATTAAGGTAATGCAAAAATTGTATTTCACTGTATTTACACATATCTGTACAATAAAGACATCTATAATCATTTGTCTTACACTTTAATTTATTGATAGAACTCTTAAATGTGATATGCAATTCTTTATATATGCAATGCTAAGTTCCATTTTATTTTGTTAAATATATTGTGTTTAATTGTTAAATAGCTTGAAATATTAAAAACAATCCAATGAGTTTAAGACATTTATTTATTTATTTTATTTTAGTTAATACAGTATTTTGTACTAATTACACTAATAAAAGTATAAAATAAAACTTATACACATTGTAATAAGAAAAGAATTGTATATACAACATATGAACATTTACTCATTGAAATAAATGTATGTAAAATGTAATTTTGTTTTTCTTATTATTGTAATGTCAATAATTAAACTTCATCCTCATTTAAGAGCATATTTGGTATACCATCATTAATGGGAAATTTTCTACCAGATTCTGGACATAGTAAGTCTCCATTAATAACTTCTACTTCCAATAATACATGGTGAACTTTTTTCAAGAACTCCTCGTTTGTTTCAAAGTCTTGAATTAAAGTTTGTGGTAACTCTCCAACATGACCTATCTGTTTTTATAATTGTATGGGTTATTATTAATACATAATCATATGTATTAATACTAATGTTTTGGAATTTTAAATTAAAATTTTTATTTACTAAAGTTAGTAAACTCATTTGAAATGTTAGCTACTGACTATAAATAACTTACACTTTCTGCAGCTTTCCAAAGTGTAGCCCAATCAAGTTTTGGAATAATCCTTGCAATAAATTCTGAATTAAAATCTACTTCTGATACTTTAATATCTTTAGCCTATAAGTTTATATAGACACCTTATTATTAATATAAAGTCAATCGAATTCATGTACATACAGTAATCTAATATTTCACAGAATATTTAACTGAATGTTTACTAAAATTAACCTCAAATTATAAAAACGTTTGAAACTTACAACAATCCCTAAAGGATAACCAACAGTTACGCCTTTCAAGCACTTTGAAGTCAACATATTATGTGTTAGAAGCTTCATTTTTCTTAGTTTGAAATATTCTGTTAATTAGAATGATTTAAATAAAAATTGCAATTATCTGCCTGCCAAGATCTTACGCTACACGTTCATCGCACGCCACTTTTGATCTTGATGCCGGCTTTTACCGATTTATGCGCACTCGCGTTCTAACACGTTCTAAGTTCTAACTTCAGGACAATACATACAACTATACAACTATATTTTATCATAAAAAACCCTGAATAATAAATTTCTTTTACTTTATTAATGTTTTAATTGTAATACGTAAAATTAGCGAAGTTAATAAAGCAAACATATGTAATGTAATGAAACCTTAATCTGATAAAAATTCGTATGACAGTAGATTTACGGGTATAAATTTTAGTAAATTGCCTAACAGTCACGTGATTTTTTTCAATCAATTGTAGTTTCTTTAGGAGGTTAGTTGTTTGGGGAAAAAGGATCATTTCGTTAGTTGTAAATAGTCCATTGCCTTTTGTTAAGTTTCCTTATAATACAGTTTCAAAACTAACTGTATAGAATTGGTCTTCGAAAAATTTTGTTTAATATAAAAATCCTATAAGTAGTGCGAAACATATGGTGTGTAACCTGTACGTATATATCGTGGTTTGAAGTGGAAATTCGTATGAATAACAGCAAACTGACAGCAGCCACATCATCTGGCCTTGATACAAATACGCAATCAGCTGTTATTATTGCCCATTTATCTCTTTTATGTTTAAGTATACATATTTCTGCTACTATCTGCCAGTAATATTTTGACACATCACCAAGTTGTTCAAAAAACAATCAAGAATTTTTATAACCTCTATTGGGCCAGTTATTAGTACAATTATTTTAATTGTTCAATTTTTTTATTCTTCCACATGCATTTACAATCACTTTTAATAAGTAGAAGTGTAAATTACATGTTTGTTCACAATTAGTACCATACATTTTGTTACAATAAGTTTATGGTACCTGTGTTTTAATTATCATTGAAAAAGATGCCACAGAAAACAAAAAGATAAAGAGGAAAAACGATTTTAGACTGGTGTATTTATATTTTGTATCATAGTATATTATTTCTTTTGTAATGTAATAATTGTTGCCTGATAATATCAATTGCAACAGTTTATAAAAGACAATGTATAATATTACAAGTGTGAGATCTTGACATCAAAACTATTATATTCTTTAATATAAAGAAAAATGGCTTGCGATTCACTGATTTGGGGATTACTTATATTTGGATGCAGTATACAAGCATTATTAGCTGCATCTGAAGATAACCCATTAGAATATATGAGCAAGGAAGAACGAGAAGCATTAAAGTTTGTATTACTATTATGTAATTGTATATTGTATCAACAATATGATTTTCATATGTTTGATACATGTATTATTTTAATTATAGGGAAGAAGCCAGGGATATGTTTTATCATGCTTATAATGCTTATATGGTAAAGTGTTTATTTCTTAATTTATTTAATGAGAGAAAATTGATTCTAATGTTAAATTAATGACGATTAAAGAATTAATGTTAAAAAAAATTTATGTTTAAGGATAATGCATATCCTGCTGATGAATTAATGCCGCTAAGTTGCAAAGGGAGGTACAGAGGATCAGAACCGAATAGAGGTGATATAGATTCCACACTGGGAAAGTAAGGACAAGTTTATATTAATTAAATTATCATTGATAACAAATAGAATGTATTAGGAAATAAGTACATATTCTTTTTTACATCTTTCAGCTTTTCGCTTACACTGGTTGATACTTTAGACACTCTGGTGGTAAGTGAATAAAAAATTTATTTATTTTATATATGAAAATTCTGTATAATATTTCTTTAACATGTATTAGGTACTGGGAGATCTAGAGGAATTTGAAAATGCGGTTAAACTTGTTGCCAGAGATGTCAGCTTTGATACAGATGTTATTGTTTCTTTATTCGAAACTAATATTAGAATGCTTGGGTAAGATATTAATACATATCGCTACTTTTTGTAACATAACATAGTATGTAAATATTTTATAATTTCCACAAAACAATTTAGGGGTCTTTTAAGTGGTCATATATTAGCAGAATATTTACAACAAAGAGCTGATATAATGCCATGGTACAGAGGTGAACTTCTAAATTTAGCTAAAGATTTAGGGTACAGATTTTTACCAGCATTTAATACAACTACAGGAATACCATATGGCAGAGTAAGTAAATTTTGTTAGAATATATTAAGGATACTCTTTGAAAGTTATTAATGTAACTTTTTTTTAGATAAACTTGAAATATGGTATGAAAGGTGTACCTTTGGAAATATCAAGGGAAACATGTACTGCCTGTGCAGGTAGCATGATTTTAGAAATGGCGGCATTATCAAGGTTAACGGGAGAATCAGTCTTCGAGGTATAATTTTATATAATATTTAACAAAAAATAAGTATTTTGATTTAATGTAATCTTATATGTGATAGGAAAAAGCACAAAAGGCAATGGATGTTTTATGGAGAATGCGTCATCGTGGTACAGATTTAATGGGCTCTGTGTTAAATGTACATTCTGGTGACTGGGTAAGAAGAGATTCTGGAGTTGGAGCTGGTATAGATTCTTACTATGAATATTGTCTTAAAGCATATATTTTGCTAGGTAATTATTGTTAGAGGATTTATATTTTTTCAATTTTGTTTAATGAAATTTACCCTATAATTTATTTTAATTTCAGGCGATGAAAAATATCTTGGACGATTTAATAAACACTATCAAGCCGTAATGAAGTATGTTAGCCAAGGACCGATGTTATTAGATGTTCATATGCATCGACCAAACACAAATTCAAAAAATTTCATGGATGCTTTATTAGCATTTTGGCCTGGTCTACAGGTTAATATCAATTAATATTTTGATATTTATAGACCCTGAAGTAAATACCATCGCATCTGTTTAATTGTATGTTTCAGGTGCTGAAAGGTGATATTAAACCTGCTGTTGAAACACATGAGATGTTGTACCAAGTTATGCAGAGACACAATTTTATACCAGAAGCATTTACTACCGATTTTCAGGTTTATATTTTTGATTACTTCAGAGAATTATATCAAAATAATTTTGTACCGATCGTTAAATTATTTCTCACTTAATCAGGTGCATTGGGGACATCATCCATTGAGGCCAGAATTTTTAGAATCGACATATTTTCTCTATCGTGCAACTGGTGATCATTATTATTTAGGAGTTGGGCGTAAGGTACTCAAGAGTCTACAAACTTATGCTAGGGTACCATGCGGTTATGCAGCTGTATCAGATGTTAGAACTAATAAGCATGATGACACAATGGATAGTTTTGTATTATCGGAAACTTTCAAATACTTATTTCTGTTATTCACCGAGCCAGGCGAACTAGTTTTAGATTTGGATGAATTTATTTTCACAACCGAGGGACATTTATTGCCATTAACACTTGCTTCTATAAGAACCAACGTTTCTTCGGTAAGTATAATAAATGTTTAAATTTTTAATCAATGAAATACATAATTTTATATAAATCATTATGTCTTATGAAATAAAGCAAGACTATGAGCGAGATATTGTACACGTGGATGAAATGGATCGTACTTGCCCTAACAGTCTACATTTATTTCCTGCATCGGTACGACAGCCTCTAAGAAATATGGTTGAAGATATATGTCCAAGACGTGCGATAAAAAGGAGATTAAGCGCCTCACAGTTTCAGGTAGAAAGATATTTCAATATATTTCAATTAATTGTAAATATCATTGATTAAACTTTTTTTTTTATACTGTAGGCAAATAATTTGGAACATTTAAAGTTGTTAAGTGATATGGGAATAACAACATTAACTTTGGCTGATGGACGTGTTCAACTCTTATATACCTTTTCAAATGTAAAAGGAAATTTCTTAACGTATAATATGTATATGCGAACAAACTATTTACGAACGATGCTAAAGTGTTTTGTGTTTGAAACTCCTTTTACAGGCAAAAACACCGCAAGATTCGGAAGAAGGTCTACTGTTCATGCAAGAGATGGTTGAAATAAGTAAAATGCAATCCCAACAAACTGAAACTAAACCGCAAGCTGTTACATTCATTAAACCAGGGACGTATCCCCGTCAAAAAGTTACATTATTAGCTGGTCCAGCACATTTTGGATTGGAATTACAAGGATCGAATAAAATAACTGAAAAAGTTGCTTTTACATATCCATCATTTGCATGTAGTGATCTTCACGATACGGCTACTATTGCAGGCAAAATTGCAATAATGTATCGTGGTAACTGTATGTTTATAGAAAAGGTATATATATCCTATTCGTAAAATCAACATCTTTCAGAATGTTTTTTTATTTCATTGTAATTATAGGCAAGACGAATTCAAAAAGCTGGTGCTATTGCTGGAATAGTATTAGATAATGTTGATGGTTCTAGTGCAGCAACTTCACCTATGTTTGCAATGTCAGGAGATGGAAAAGAAGTGGACGATGTAACTATTCCGGTTGTATTTTTATTTAGTACCGAAGCTTCTGAGTTATTAAAAGCACTTGCTGCTACAGGTGGTGATCTTACAGTTACAATTGGTAATAATTACTAAACTTTTGATAGCGGATATTAAATAATTCGTTTTACATAGTATGAAGAATTACTGAAAGATATTTATGCTCTAGTCATATTATACTTTCTTTCTATAGGAAATTTCTTTGCTAAAGATGATGTACAGCTGAAAGCACCTACTGATTTATCAATGTTTGAACGATGGAAGGGATCGCTAAAATCTTTTCTTACACGACAAATGGGTACACCACAGGTTTGTATTTCTTTTGTATATAACACTAAATAATTACGCATTAATAATAATAATTAATAGATAGATATTTTTAACATTTAGCATTATGTAGTGTCAGTTGTTGTGTAAGTTAATTAAATTGTTGACAGACATTTCCCAGCAGCGGGACAAATTTGGACATGGTTCCTGAAACTAAGCAAGAAGATGCAAAGGACGTGGTCGTTTATCACGAGCTACGTGCAGAAATAATTGAAGATGTACTTGGTGGGGAAGTAAGAATTGTATCTCCCTACTTGTCTGTACATCGGATAAAATCAGAGGGTAATACGATGATAGAAAAACAGTGGCACCAGTTGAAAACAGTCTTTGTTAATCAGATGTATTTTATTGGAAAACAAAAACCAGGCTTAGATATGAGAAGCTTTATATTAGAAAGTTATTATAATTGGATAGTAAAGTCACGGGATGAAAATATCGATGTATTAAAGGTACCTCTACGAGAGAAAGTTCTATGGTTCTTAAAAGAATTGGCTGAAATTCTGCCAGATCCGTCCATTATGATAATGGACCAATTAATGGAGTTTAATAAACGAAAATTGTTAAAACAATACTTATTAACAAAGATAGATCTTATGGTTTTAAATATGAGAGCGGTCAACACAATGCTAAAGACAATGAGGTTCGAGAGTCTAACTACTGAACAGTTGTTTGAAATGTTTAAACTTCATATCGCGCAAGCTGAAAATTATACATTTTTGAAACAATTGTTACTAGGTATTTTTGATGTAGAAGATGAAAGTATTACTAACCATCTTATCTTATTAGATCGTGTTAATAAAGATGTGCATAACGAATATTTTGAAATAATAGCTGGAGCCCAAGAAACTATACAGAAAACCATAGCTGAGAAAAATGCTTATTACGAAGTACTGATTAAAAATTGGGAAAAAGATTTCAGTAACTACGAAAGATTTAATAAATTCAAGAAACCCAAAGATTATGACTCTACTACAATTGAAGAGTTTATGACGGATAGTAGTGAAAGTAGCAAAACAGATATTAAATTGAGAGATTCATCTAAGATGCCTAAAAAGGATGATGATATAAAAATTGGAAAATTCGAAGACTTTGAATACTTTAAGTTAGCGGATATAGAAAAGGCTGTAAAAAATTTGGAACAAAATACCATACGAAAATACCAAGAACAAATTGATACTTCAAGAGATACTGCAGATAATATCAGTAAAGAGGCTATTGATTCGAATAAAGTAATTTTAAATGTTTCTCTTCAGAATCAAAGTAAAACTGACAAATTAAAAAATAAAATAAAATATCAAATCGAATTTATTAAAAACAAAATTGAAGATTTTACTAAAGATATAGATTCTTTAACAGATTTTACCAAAATTGCCAATTCTTTAGAGAATGTGCAATTAAATAATATAGAATTTCAAGAAGTTATTAGTAATAACAATAATGTTGAGAAACAGGTCAATGAACCTTCGTTAAATGAGGAAAAGGAAGTATTATTAGAACAAATTAAAAAAGAATCAACTGAGGAATGTAGCAACAAAAATAATCCAAATCTTAAGCACTCCGTTCATCTCAATGTAAATACTAATAAAATTGCATCTTTTAATTTGTTCGAAGACTTTAAAAAGAAAACGTGGTCGACAGGGAAAGAGGAAAACAAGAATTCTATTGATATTCAACAGGAAAGAGACATTTCTAATATAGATTTGAATTCTGTAAAAGAGAACAAACTACAAGGTAGTCAGAAATATGCAATTGAAATTGAAAGTAAAAAAAGTGATGTACAGGAACACGAGAGCAAACATATCGATGATGAATTATAATAAAAGCTTTTGAGTTTTAATTTAAATAAATTGAATAGATTGTCAAATTCAATAAGCCTGGTAATCCTATTTACACTGCATTTGATATTTTTGCACTCGAAGCGAATGTATATGCAGTGAGCTTTAATGTTTTTATATAAATAAAATATATTAAGGAAAAAATTGTTTAATAAGAAGGAAAGATTACGAACGACCAGACTGTATCAGAATAAAACTCTACGTCTGTTTAACTGGTGCTTATGAGAAAATTTCATGAATTAATAAAAAAGAAAGCTGTAAAGCACATGTAAACAACCTATGCAAGACATTTATCCTAACGAGGTTGTGAATGAATATCCTGTTAAGGCTCTAATGGATGTAAATTTTATATATACACTACTTAAACATAGTATATTTCTTGTGCACACTATAGTACAATGTTAGCATATTATTTTTTCCTCAGGTAAAGGGTTACAATTTTATTTTTCTTCATTTTGTATTTCACTTATATGCTGTGAGTAATAATGCAAATGAAAATCATAATAATCAATATTACACTGAGTTTGTGCAGTGAAATTTTAATTTGTATCTTAGGCAAAGATATAAGCGATATCTATTATAAAAAGTTTGCAATTACAATTGGTTATCATTATTTCTTTAATTTTGTAAAAGTATATATCACTGTTAATAGAGAAAAAAAAATATTCAAAGGTATTCTTTTATAGAAACTTCCATTATTCTGTTTTGACTTGTACTTGCCAATTTCAAAGAAACACCAATGTAATATGCTTTTAATTGCATATTGCTATAACAGTCATATACTACATATAAATCTTTTTTTCTACTAAATTTATTAATAAAATAAATGTACATAAATCTGTACAAACAACATTGTATATACGTATTATACAAAGTATAACAAAGTTAATAAAAATGAATATTGTAATAGAGTAAGTGATCTTCAGTAATTTGAAACAGTTTGGTTTTTTTTATATCTGTTTATGATATGTAATTAGTTCTAAAGTATTTGCAGATTATGTTACAAAATTTAGTTGTAACATGTGCCATACACAATGCACAAGAAATACATATGTTTTAAATCAAATGAAAATATATGTATATGTAATTGTAGATTCAGATTGGAAATGTAAATATTTTATAAATAAGTGTACAATAAATTTATGTTCTATGATTATTATGTAAAAGTTTGTATACTGAATGCCAAAATAGATATTATAAAGTTTATTGTACATTAAAGTAGTTACTATTTTACATAGCTGTGTGAATATATATACCATGTATACGTATATGTATACACACAAACGCGCGTCGCGTGTGTGTATGTATAGACATATGATTTGTTTGTTGTTTATCATATGAAGATGAAAAATGAAAAAACATGATACTATATAGTGATATGTTACAAATTTTGGTACAGAAATAGAACACGATAAGAAATATGAATAAAATCATTGTTGCAAAAGAGAACAACACTTTTTTTTTTTAAGTCCTAAGTGCATATTTCTTATAATAAATATTTGTTATATGTTCCTGTAAACCAACTTTGAGCTAGTGATATAATGGGAGAATTTTACTATTAATTTATTTTAATTTTTGTTGAACAAAAATTACCTTTATGTATATGTATAAATAAAGACGAATAAAAATGTTGTTTTCAAAAATATTTATATTGTGTATTGTATTGGAAATAGGTTGAAAACTGTTGATTCATGTTATTAAAGAAATTATTTTATTATTTCATAAATAAATAACAATAAAAAGTTTTCCATTATATAAGGATATTTTTATTTTTTACTATGATGATTTTAAAAAATAAGAAGAATTAATTATTCAATATACTAATAAATAAATGTTTAATGTTAATATCCAGATCAGGGATTCATAATTATTATCAGTAGAGATGTACAATGTTCTGATTGCATCATGAAAAAAAATTAAAAACGGGAGTAAGGAAACAATTTTGAATGAAAAACTATCTTTCGGTAGTTTTACTTTAAGCCGCTTTACATTGGAGTTTGCGCCTTAGAACTAACGTAAGACAACCTGTCGTCAGATGTTGGCTTTGCGTCAATGGTAAAGCTATTTTAATTTCGAATTTCGGACGACCCTGATGTACCCTATTAAGTATACAATAGGGTACACGTTGATACTTCGTTTCAACAACTGAAAAATAATATAACAATTCTTTAGAAAAATTAAAAGTAATTACGAAGGTAAGAGATCTGACTGAATTCTCACAGACAAAACAAGTGATGTGTACGATTACCATGTGTTACTAATCGCATATCATTTATTTTCTGTTAAATTTTTAATTTTGTATAATTACGCATTACTTGAAATGAATATATTATACAAATGTTAGTATGTTTGTTTCTATGCAGTAATTCTATTTTGTTAAGCTCTAAAAACACTTTGACATTTCTTTTAGATGAGTGCAGGCCCAAAATATTATGGAAAAAGAAGGAGCATTGTTCGTAGAATTGGTTCAATGTTGCCATTGAAACCACCACCAAAAGTATACGTTAGTGTTACACCTTTACATTCAATGACAAGTTCTATGATCAATGAAGAAACTAGTGGTGACTATGTAGATACAAACGGATTTGGACCTGCAAGGTTGCTATGTATATGAATTCTATATATAAATTGTTTTGTAACTTTCACAGTTTATTAACGTGGCAAATTTTAATAGCAGACTTTCTAATATTAGACCAGATCTATTGGAACCAATTAGTTTTGGATCTGAAATTAGATTACTTGCTTTAGAGCAAGAACTTCAAGACCTTAGGGAACAAGTATCAGCAATAGTCAAAAGTAATAAAGAATCTAGATGTATGTATAATGTTTACTTATTAGATATTTAAAAATACTTTGACTTGAAAAATTAAAACTAGGAGTCTTTTTAGATACATCTACAGCTTCTTTAGCAAATGGGACTGATGATATACCAGAGTTACAACAACCACTCCCAGAACTCCCAGAACCACCACCACCACCACCACTACCACCACCAACTCCACATATTGCAAGAAGAGCAAGTTTGCAAGATCATAAAACTGATGACCGCAAAAAGGTTTCATTTATATCTCAAGCATCTATGACTGATGTGTTAAAAGATATTGATAATCTCAAATTAAGGCCAGTTGCTAGGTAATAGCAATTTCTATAATTGCTATTTTTACTGTATTTTGTTCCAGTTTATTTGATACTATGTGAAAATGTTTTAGATCACCTGGAGGACGGCCTCTTCGTATAAAACGTGACAACAGTCCATGTAACGATTTACAAGAAATACTCAGAAGACGTTATGTCGCAATGAATTCAGCTGATAGTAGAAATTCGTCAGCCAATTTGACGCTGGATGATTCTTTTACAAGTGACACGTGAACATATTTTGAACATTTCTCAATGTGTGATGTGCAAAACAAAGGTGCCATATAATATTTTGGATGTCACTAATCCGACGATAATGTATCTAATTGATAAATTTAATTCTGACATCAAAATCGTGTGGCATACAAGATGTGATAACAGATTATGTAAACTGTAGAACGAATGTGGCAAATATCTTTAAAATCGTAATTACTGATCGTGATTTTATATTGCAAATTAATTTTCAATAAATAATAATCACTTTTTTCAAAGAATACTGCTATTAAACTATAGAAATAATATATTGTATATTTGCACAGATAAAAATATTGGGCTGTAAATTGATGATATGCTGGATTGATTTTGTCTCATTTTTATAAAACAAAATATTAATAACTTCTTTTTAACAAACGATGTTTGATATTTTATTGAAATCATAAAGAAAATTGTTGAAATGTATGTACATTATAGTACATTCGTAAGTTGCATATATTTTAATGATTTAAACAATTATATACATACAGAAATTAAAAAGACAAATATTTGGATTTGAATTTTGAATCAGATCCACAATTCGTTGTACTTTTATTTTTAAGATGTTGTATTCGACTACTTTATAATACTGTTTTAATAAGTTTTGTTATGTTATCAAGTGCATAATACAAATGGATATTATATTTTTAAACTTTGTACATTTTTTAAATGAAAGCAGCATAAGTTTAATAATCAAAATTATTACAATTATTATTATGTACTTAAATTTTATAAAAAGATAATCAGAACTACGTAATGTTCATTGCACAAATACCAATATTTTTTAATTGCTCGCGAAACATAATTTTTATACCGATCAACGAACAATTATAAATTAATTTCTGACTACATTGCCTAAGTACATATGTATATAGTAAATGCAATTTACAACTCAATATTATGAATATTTATTTTGTAAGTGAGATACATATTTGAGCTCGAATTTAGCAGGGAAAAGTAGGTTTTCATTTCAACCTTAATTTATAAAATAAAACTACACTTAAGCAGCGTGAGATAGAGAGCTACGTTATTTGATATTTTTATTTCAAATTATTTATCTATATAGTTTTCTAGCGAGGCTGTTGTGATATTAAAGTAGGTTGATGACTTTTGTACTTTAGGTCCTGCCATAGAGAACAGTACACATATTCTTAATTGACAAAGAAATTAGCACGAGCTTTTAACATAAAGAACAGACAGTTAATGGTATTATTTGTTCAGTAAAATTGTTTTTACAAGCATATTTCTGTAGAATCAATGATATCATTGATAATGGTTTATCAAATGTATTTCCAAAATTGTGAATGATTAAATAAATATCTAATAGTATGTGCACTGTAGAAGAAAAAAATCTACGCGATCTATGTCTTTTGATATCAGGCTCTTAAAATATCACTGTGTGATAAATTTATTTAACTTATGGTTGTTCTTATAAGGATCTGAGAATAACCATTGTACAAGATTATGGTAATACAAAATCAAATTGAAAACTTAAATATGTTTTTTTAAGTTCCTCGTATTCTTTATAAAAGTGACTTATAAAATTAATTAATTTCGACTACATTCTGACACAAATGTAAGAAATATAATTCTCAGTTTAATGGGATGATATTGTGGAAAATTTGTGGAGACTGAATGTACTCTTTAACAACATTACAAATGTACAGATCTGTTTTATACACGAAGCTTTTATCGATAATTAAAAAATAAATGTTATTGTTAAACAACAAACAATCTATTTATTCCTACCCGAAATATATCATATATCATAAAACATGTTAAGGAAATTTGAATTTTACTTTTCATATTGTACTGATCATGTTGTTTTCATATTCTTTTGTTAAAATTAAGAATTGCATATAAATTCAAATTAAATATTAATTAAATTCAAAAGTAGTGTATATATTCTAAATTATTAGCAAAGTTAATAATAATTCAAAAAGTATAAAACAAACGTATCAGTGAATAAATTAATTTTACATAGAAAAGTCAACATGATGGTATTGTACTAATTTATTAAATTAATAAAAGAGGAAGTTTTTGAATGATAAATTGACTAATAGTCTTCCTATCTCGTGGAACGTAATAGCTCGTTATCATCTTGAATATTTAACAACCCTATAGAAACTTCTAACGCTTCAATTAAAGTTCGTTATATAATTTCTTATAGTTGGCCAGCTTCAGTACAATATTACTTGATAATAATTAGTGCTTTTGCTGGTTTCATTATTACTAGGTACAGTAAAGGTACTGTAAACTTTGACAATATATCGTACAAATGTATTCTGGACCGAGAGAAGGAGAGAGAGAGATAAAGAGAAGGGGTCTTTTAATGAGTTTTATGAACAGAGTGAGAAAATTTTCCTATATAAGGCACCTTGAAGGGTCACAGCCAACAGTATCACGAATTTGTAACATCGTACTCTTCACGGTACTTCCGGTTTTCGTAATAACGTAAGATACCCATAAGGTAAGAAAACTTCTTTCAATTTACTCATGTAATTATTTTATTTTAAATATTTAATATATGTGCCATTAAAATTTAAATATTAAATATTTGTTTCGTCATATTTTTTCGTATACAGTTTTGTTTTTGAGAAAACTGAATTTGAAAATGTTTAAAAATATTTGTTCACGAAGATGACAATTTCAATAATTATTTCGACGATTCGTGAACATTATCAATTAACAGATGTAATTATTAATATCGTTAAAATGCATTATTAATCAATGTCTTATCATACTTCCAACTAAAGCCATCGTGCTGTACATTAGTGCATGTATTAATGTCATGAAAAATAGAAACTGATAATACGGTTTAACGGAATTAGTAATTACATTGATACTATTCATTAATAATTAAATTAACAATAAAGTTGTTATCGTTAGTTCTGAACTGCCCGAAAATTGATAAATATTCTACTTACATTCGTTGAAACACGGACATGTCCTTATACGTCTTACCGGCACGACGATCAAGGAAACACTGTCCTGTGAAACGTCTGTTTACAAGGACTCGCGAATTCGTGGACCTATATGTAGAACCGGTAGTCAGTAGATGCGAAAGAAGGAAGCTGAACGGTGTACACAAATATGTATCGGTTCTATTTACATTTTCGTTTTGAGCAGATTAGTTGATGTTAATGAACTTTTAAACAAGTTCAAGGATCTTTCAGTCCCCTATTTAAAATCCTAAATATTTAACCGCTAAGCATTGGTCCAATAATATTTCTTTTCGTTGTTCGTACATTATTCAATGTATGAACTAAATGATATATTGTAATTAATAATTATGTGTGTAATGATTGTTTTAACCTGAGATTAGTAAGTGGGGTCTATCAATCCCCAGTAGTTCTTATTTTTTTTTCAAGTTATAACTTAATTAGTTTTTTGCTAAAATAAATGGACAAATCTTTCTGTAATCAAATTACTATTAATCTTGTATGAAATCGTTGATACGCGTTTTATTCGTAGCACAAAGTTCGTTGGCGCAACGTGTTTAAAGTTTATTTATATCATGTAGCAGACGAAACAACGTGACATTTAATAAACTTTTTCGCCTGTGACTCTATCTAAATGTAAGATTCAGTTCGTTTCAGTCACTATTTTTACATTGATACGCACAATGTTCTGTTTTATTGGCATAGTTCAGTTTATGTTGATAAGACAGGGTTTTACATGAATCAACCTTTGACTTCTTTAGAGCTAGTCAATCTTTTGTTATTAATAAACTATTATTAAACGACAATTAACCCCTATAATCTTGAGACATTTTATTATATAATGAAGTAAAAAAAACTTACCGCAGTCGATATCACCACCTGTCGAGTAGTTTCAAGCATCTTTCATTAGATAGCGCCACTACATCATTAATGCGCCTAATTTAAAAAATAAATAAAAACATAAGTTTGAGAAATGTTTAATATAATAATATAAATTGAAAGTAAAACGTTTTAACTTTGATAATATTATTGATTTTAAGGTATTCTTTGATATTTATTATTTTTACAAAAACATTAAATAACATAGTTCCTTATATTTACTAATGATTATTTATCTATTAATTTTGATTCTGTATGAAATTTATAATCGCGCTCATATGTACGAATTCCGTTTTAGGAATTGTAATAGGAAGTATAATTAAAGTCACTGCATAATATACGTATAATTGGAAAAGGAAATTGCGCGGAATTTTTTACTCGTAAAGAAACTAATCTGCGTGCGGATAATGGAGACATCAATGCCTAAAATACTATCCAGCACATGTACGTTTATTGATGTAAACCGAGCGGGGCGAATAAAATTGAGAAACTAATGATTGTTGAAATTAACCAAATCAATTTTCTAAGTGCCTTAAAGTATCTATTAGTGTATAGGTAAATTACAATGAAATATAACGGCGGTTGTGATAAAAAATATCGAATTCATCGAGTAAAATTATTTCGAAATTATTTATTCTAATAGTATTTTCCAACGAAAATAGCCGTAGCGAAAGGGTTAATTAAGAAGCGTTACTCCTGTCAGAGTGATACAGTAAATTAAAAAATCATCGTGTTCCAGTGTATCCAACAGAAACGGGAAACAAATTTATTGTCGAGGAACAATGTGACGGTGGAATAGTATAAAATCACAGTTTATCGAGGGCGAGATTATTTTTGCCTCCCTTACTCGGATTGCAGTACGGATGATTGATTTCCCTGATTGCACAGCGAGTTATTCGCGCTACGTTCAATCAGTCCCATCGAAGGATTCAATTCGATCTCGAATGAAATTTATTTCCAAAACGGTCGCTGCTACAAGCATAAACATTTACACGAATGCATCTCTGTTTTTAATTTTGATTAGAATCAAGCACCTATCTGATTATAATTTTAACATTTTAGAAATGAAAATTATAAAAGTTTCGCTTTTGAAAGATGAAAACTACAGATTCTCGCATGATTTCCCATTATATTGGTCAAGATGGAACAATGCGAAAGGTACGTTTGCGCATTTTTTTGAGGACATTCCAAAAAATGTCTGTCGTCTCTATGCGACAGAGATGCTGGTCGCTCCTCTTATCCGCAGGACACTTAGTAGCACTTACTCTTATCTTAATGACCGAAGACGCGCGTAGCGTTAATGGTTCCTTTAAAATTAGCACGTGGAAACGTTACGAGAGTACTCTAAAATTTTTCGAAAAAAACCCCCTCACGCTATGGTGTTTGTACGTAACGTGTCCCTGTCAGGACGTCCCGATAAATGACCGGTTCTCTGGACTCGCGATTCTGGAGCAGCAGTAAACGAACCATTAACCGTAAACTGATGGTCAGTTTTGGCTCCGAAAGCGTGAATCTTAAGTAAATGCAACGACTTAACGAGAAATTGTGGCCTTCCCTTACCTCTGATTCTACTGTTAGGATTAATTCACATTTGCGTTAACGAAAGAAAATCATAAAAATAGATAATTATCTTGTTCAAGATGCTTAATTATCCTCCATTAAGAAAAAGAAGGGATTTCATAATTTTGATAAATTTTACGAGAAAAAAAAGATTACTTTCTATTTTGCAACAATGTAATAAACGTTGCGCCCTGTTTATTCAAACGAGTTACGTAAAAATTAAAACAGGTGATCAAGGTAGCGAACAGGCAGGCTACTTTGGCTGTATGAAATTGTAAGACTTGAAATGGATCATTGATCCAACAATCCAGCCGTGACACTCGAACAGTCCATTGTTTTACGTTCACACCCGATGCGGAGCTCGAGTTAAACCGATTCTTTCTCGTAATGGCTCGACCGCAAGAAAAAGGCACAAATTCAGATCAGTTGCGAAGAAATATGCATGATCGGAATCCACAATTACGCTTTTCCATCGATTTATGGCATAACGGTACTCGAAATCCACGATCCTATGACGCGAATCAACTGCACAATAGGCGGTAACAGTTGCTGCATAACTCAGCAACAGTATCTTTATTATTTGTTTAAAATGATATTACAGAGTTTCTACTTGTAGCTGAGGTTTTTATTCGAACCTCTGTGATTTCTTATACCGTCAGTTTTATAATGCCATATTGCGACGTTTGGAAAATTCAACACTTCTGCTATTGCGCTACTCGATGGGCTCAGTCAGTAGTAGTTCGATCACGCGATATCGCGTGCTTGCTCGTCAGTATTAATGAGAAAAATATAATTTAGCGCAATGGTACCCGTAATAACGAATGTGACATTTTTCAGTTTTAATATGATCGTAATGAATTTTTACAGATGGTGGCCAGTCGAATCCCCGTATTCTTCATTTTATCATTAACGATGACGACAGTCATTTGTCAGACGTTTCAATACAGTCACGGTTGGACAAATGGGAAAAGATCGGCGTCTTCGGTGTTGGAGGAACTGGTAAATTCCTCTGGCAAGAATGCGGTTCAATTAGACAATGTCCTTGTTAATTGTGAGCTACAGAAGTTGAGATTATTGCTTCAAGGAAATATCGACAGCCAAGTGAGTAATCGGTATACACTTGTACACATAATTGCTTCAATCCGTGTTAATAACATTATTCGATTTTTACAGTTTCTACAAGTTCCTTGCGAGTTCTACGATACCGCAAAGAGAAACTACCCCGAAATTATGGCCAACGAGCATTTTCGACGACAATCATCTACCTCTAGCAACAATTATTAAACGCGTTAACTTCATTCGACTTTGCACCACAGCAGCATTAATTAATCGCCAATTGTAATCAAGTAATAAAAAGCTACGAACTTATATTTGGAACTTTCTACCCTCAAAAATTATAAATATTCTAACTAGTATTAATAAATAAAGAAAGGGTTTATGTTTCTTCTTAAAATCTGATTCATAATTTAAACTAAGCAGGGTGCAATGATACAACCCTCTCTTCAGAAAACAAAATGAATCAGTGTCGGTGAACTATCGCGCTTGCATTTATCAGTTGTTTTCGTACAACCTGTTTCCATCGATGCTATTTTCGCGATTCGATTACAATCATTCTATCGTCGATAAATGAATTATTCAGAGGTTTTATAGTCCACCTCTTGGTATACGTTCGATTGAAAGATTAATCGTTGATCGATCACGGTTACCGGGGTAATTGTTTTTATCGAGGGCTTGCATATCTGAATTTGTATTAATTATCGAGTTTTCCTCGCGGATATACACGGGTCCGTTCAGTTTTCATCGGGTCCATCGCAACGCTTAATTAAGTTTTCGCTGTCCTAATTGGACAGACGGTCAATAGGATAGATCGCAGCGGCCTGTGCTGTTCGCCGTAGGGGATTTTGTCTGTCAACGGAAGATGGAGTGAAACCCTGGCGAATAGAGACACCTGCTGAGTCCACGGATTATCCCTACGGACAACTTATCTCCTACTGCAATTCGGCACTTGAATTTCCAGACTTTATATTTCACTTATCGTTGCTTCAGAACATGAATATCATTCGAAATCAATATAATAATTTCAAACAATTTTTCGAGATTACTTAAAGTCTATTGTTTATTGTCTGATCCTAATTAGATAATTAATCGAAAATATTAAATGTAGGTGTAGTGAAATTTGTAGGGAAGATTCACTTCGAATCAGTGAATGAACAAAAATGAAGCATCGATATTTTCCTATCGTTCATCGACCAAGCATAGATGTAATTAATAAAATTTTCAGCTAATTATAAGTAAGAAGAGTAACTGGAGGCTGACGCGCGAGCGTTTACATTACGGACAAGAGCACTCACGGTTATTAGTTGATAGCGTCAGGACACGTATATAACTATCATGCACGGGCAATGCACTTAAAACTTGGCTGTTAATCAGAAACCAATTACGGGAGGCGGGTCGAAATGAGTTTAATCGCATTAAATATTAAACCGTCGTCACCGTACCATGGGACTGGGTGTACCAACCAGCCATAGGTGACCCTCTTCTAGCAGCGCCAGTCATGGAGTAACCACACACTGCCACGTGCCCATGCGATACTCTTAATACCCACGGGAATAACCGAACAACCCTACGCCAATGTCCTTTATGGGGTGGTGCTTGCCATACCCGCAGCAATACGCATGCACGAATACTACGTTTACCGATAATCTTTCCCATATGCCTCTATACCAATTCTACCTATCTATGTATGCGAATTTTCCTCGCTGATTGAAATACCTTTTTGATTTCGTGCATCCCAATCAAAAGTGGATGTTATTGAAATCAGTTCATTTTTATTTTATTTTCTATTTTTTTAACTACCTCTTTTTCTTTTGAAATGACTGTCTTTTTTGTTTTTTGAAAAAAAATAATTTTGTATCTCATGAAATCCTTTTGAAAAAATTAATGATTAATAAAATTTCAAACATTCCATTGAAGATTCATTGTTCGCTAATGAAGGGGTTGATTCGATCAATTCGAACGTAAACCGATAACGCGTGCTTTCAAGATCAAAAACAGCGTTCAGGAAAAGTAATAAAGGTAAGAACAAACGAATGTGACATTGCCGCGGAGGAAAATTGTCCTCGTCAAGCAACGTTCCCGTCGCGTCGCGTCGCGCTTTTTCGTTCTCATCGTGAAGCCTCTTTGGTCGCGCGACAAACGACAGCCGACAGACGACAGCTGGAAAAAGGCGACGCTCCTCGTTCTACAGCGAAGCGCCATTTAGGATGATTGCCTGATTTTATGTATTTATACGAAACGCGTTGGTAAAGCTCGCGAACCGTTCTTGTAACTGGTCGTATCATTCTTCTATCGTTGATTCTCGCAGCCCGAAGAAACAAAAGCCCGTTAAAGTTCGTAACGCGAGGCAACATCCGGATGAAATATCATCCCGGATTTTCGGGACGCCATCCGCGGAATAAGCGGGACTGAAATATGCACGTTCCAGAGGACGAAATCTGAACGCAACTGGTATCGGAAGACTCTTTTCTGTTGTTTCGTTACAACCGGGTGATTTTAATGAACGGTGACTTGCAATTACGAGAATTCATTGCAAATTGCAATATTCGGATATTTGAAATAATATAATATTTAGGCATTGGCGAACCTTAGAATTTTAGAATATTAAAATTTAGAAATTTAGAAATCAGAAAATTCGGAAATTTGAAAAATTGCGAATTTTAGAATGTTAAAACCTTAGAACCGAACTTTCCTACATCATCTGTTCCCATTACAAAAATGATTAACAAGGTGGTAGATCAACAGGAATATCAATTTCTATGGTCATTAAGGTACGTTTCCTAAAACAATATATCCAAACACTACTCGTTTCCTACCCATAAAATAGACCTGTTCGTAACTGTATCTCCGGCTGTTTCTTTATTTCCAATCGTTTGCGGTCGCCATGGATGGAGGGATGGAGGGGTGGTGTTACAAAACGAAAACTGGGTTCGTAGACAATTTTTATTCTTTTCTCGTTCGTCTACATACTTCCATAGATTTCATTCTACGAATCGAGAGAAAATCTTCGACGAAGCTGACGAAACAACAATTCATGTAAGATGACGATAATTGAAGTCGTAAAAAGTAAAACGCGAGACCTACCGAGAGTGTTGAACAATACTGAAATTAAACGACAAAATAAAATAATTTTTAACAAAAAATACAACCGACTTCGAAATGCACTAAAAAGTATGAAATAATTTCTACTTCATTTATACAAATACCCAACAGCTATTACTAAAACCTATTTACTCGTTAAATCGTATACTAAATACATTTCAACCTTTTCGGAGGCGGCGCAAAATTAAAAACTTTCTTCTACTAGGAAGATCCTAGTTCAGGCGTCAGCAACCTATCAAATCGTTATTGGCATCATCGTATATTCGGGTATTATTAATTTTGCGCCGCCTCCGAAAAGGTTGAAATGTATTTAGTATACGATTTAACGAGTAAATAGGTTTTAGTAATAGCTGTTGGGTATTTGTATAAATGAAGTAGAAATTATTTCATACTTTTTAGTGCATTTCGAAGTCGGTTGTATTTTTTGTTAAAAATTATTTTATTTCACACTTTTTAGTGGAACGAGCAGTATTTGTAGGATGCCGTAAGGTGGTTTACCGTTCTTATTGGTTAATTATAACGATAGTTTTCAACGATAGTTTTCAACGCTAACAAGTTCCATACATTTTTGCAAGTGGGATCATCGCGGAAATATCTCTTATTAAATGCGAAAGGTTTCATCGCGATCGGTACATGCCTTGCAGAGTATACATATGTATATAGAAACAGTAGAGAATCGGCGACTGCATGCTGACTCATACACCGGTAGAGACACGTAGGCATACGTAGAATTCAATGTAGTAGTAACAATAGTTTTTCACGAATATCTCGGAAACTAAAGCTTCCCGTTAATTAAGCATCAGGAAAAAGTTGTTCAGAATCATGCCCCCGACAACATATTAAAAGATCATTGAAATCGTCCAATCTTGAGATTAAAAACTTCATGTATTTTGCAATAACAATGAAAAAATGAAAAATTTTTTTCTAATGGGACCAATCGGAAGACATACCCTACAAGATGCAAAAGGTTTCGTTTCAATTGGTTCATCTATCTCGGAGTAATCGGTGAACACACACAAAAAAAAAAAAAAAAAAAAAAAAAAATACATACTGATCGAATTGAGTAACCTCCTCCTTTTCGAAGTCGGTTAATAAAACTAAGATCCATGGATTTTGTAGTTAAATCTTTTTTCTAAATAGAACTTATGATAAATAAAAAATGAGTTAAACGAAATACACATTTTTTTTTAATCGTATTATTGCACTTGTGTCAGCCGTAAAATACTTTGTATCAGCTTTTCTGACAAACATTCGACCTATTGCGAATTCATCCGACCAATTCGGATTTATTTTTCATCGAATGCTATCAATTTCCATGAGCATGGCTCGTAGTTTTTATTTCAGATCAAATGTCTCTCTCCCTCTGAACGAACGAAAAAAAGTGGCGAACGACTCGGTTTCCGCTAAAGCGCAATCACAATAAATTTGCACAGCTTGCGTAAATATCCGGAGCAGCGCGTACCTCATGATTTTATAAACGTGTATCGCGTCGGTCCCGGCTATGTGCGTGTACCTTGTATGCTTGTTATGATCTACGCACGATGTCTACCGAAAAAAAACCGAGCTTCCATCATGTGTTATAAAAATTTCATATTTCGCGAGTGAATATCGAAGCGTTCAAATTTGGCGCGCGTTAATCTCGAGAGATTAATGTTTATTGGAATTGTGTACCGTGTTATACATCAATCGAAGCGTATTTTTATCCTCTACAAGAAAGTATTACGGTACTTGGGTCGAAAATTGATTAGTTCAAAAGATATCTTAGAGAGTCTCGACGTCTCTCCCTGTCTCTCCCTGAGATATCTTTTCAAATAATCAATTTTCGACCCAAGTACCTTAATAATTTTTTGTAGAGAATAACAAGAAGTACAAAAAGAAAGTACAACATTCCCAAAAAAATGTTACAACTATAATTAAACCCCAGTTGCATAAGACACCCTGTATATGTAGATCAACGCGTTGAAGGTTCTTTTTATATCAGAATATGGAAATCTTCGTTAATTGTTTTGTCCATATTTCTCCTTACTAATTTATTCCACATATTTCTTATTAACACATTGATTGTCACGGTAATTACTGATAAGCGATGCGACATGCGATCGTCAATGTTAATTACATTTTCTATTCTCATTAATACGTGAATTGTTCTTATAAATATATTTTAAAAATGAATATTTAATTTGTACGATTTTTCCTTTCTACAGAGTAAATGTGTATAAGCGGGGTTTGAGGGTGATTTTTGAGCGTAGATGGAACACAGTGAGGGAAATTATTGTTGAGCATCGTATCGTTCCACCAGACTGAAGCTAATATTGGATTACTTTTTAATTTGGTCCACCCCACCAATTTTCTCTGAAAAATACACCCCTGCGCGTTTGTGCGTTCCTCCTTGCATGATCTCTAAGATAAAATTAAATTCCGTATGCCTTTTATATTCTGCATAGAAGTTATCACGATTCAAAGAAAGGCTAAATTCTTGAAAAATGTATTTTTTCAGGGGTGAAATCTTAAATTAACAATATTGCAATGAAAAAGGATTCTCACTCATAAAATGAAAAATGTTGGCATAAAGAATTCTATGTTTGTTCACGCTCTGCAATATCGCGTAAGTATACTAGATATCTTTACGAGAATGAGAAAGGGCAGTTCGCGTGCCAGGTGCGCGTGATCGTACATTAATTCGAAGGGTGTGTACGTGGATCAAGGAAGGGGAACAATGAGCAGTAAACGACGATAATAATTTGCATAATTCCATGGCTGTGAAGAATAATTTTCTCGCGACACGATCTATTAAATTATGCTGCGATTCGATGGTAAAATACTATTTGTACTTATCATTGAACACAACGACTGATCGCCTATTTTGAGTTGATAAGGAAATGATAATTAACTGTTTAATTCAAGTGTTTTTGGTCTATGAATGTGTTTTATATGCGGCATTGATGGTTCAATCTTGGGTCATTGGATCTAATAATAAGACGCGTTAGAAATTCAGTAGTACAAGTCAACGAACGGTGAGTCGAATGTTTTACGGTTCTTCTAGTTTAGAACTGTAATTATTTTAAGAAAGAAATAGTTCTCTTACTATCAAATAACAAAATTGTATATAAGATACAAAAATGTTAGGTTAAAGGCAAGCTTAAAAATCAACGATTTTCTATTATATTGTCCTTAACAACGTCTCTGAAAAGGGACTTTGTGGAACCGCGTAATTGGACAGCGGCGATTACGTTGAAAACTAGAAAAACCACAGAAATATCTTTGCGGGCATGATTACAGGGCGCTTGAAATACAATCATCAGAGTTTTGGACGACAGAGTGAACGCCGACCGGAAACGATTCACTTTCGATTTCCTACGTCGAAAGTTAACAGGAACCTAGAATCTATCCTAACTTTTGCCAAATCTCTAATCATTTTTTTAACCCTCTATCTAGAATTTGAAAATTATTATCACAAAGTTTGTCAAACGGTCGCGAGCTTAATTGTCACCGTAATAATTATATTAATATTTTCTAAGTTAGAATCTTTAGAATCACCGATTCTAAGAAAAAGAAAAATATAAAATAAATTTTCCAATCTATCAAAGTTTAATAAATAATTTCCTGATAATACATCGGGAAGATTGTTTAACTTGTCGAAGAACTTACGGTCTTTCTTTTGACGGGTGTTTGTCCTCGCATAATTGGGCGGAACGGAGCGGCGCGCCGCGTCTTCTCTGCAATTATAGGCTGTAAAGGTGGCCACATCCGGCACAAGGAGCTTCTAGGTGAAGCGGGATAATTCGCTGCGAAAAGACAACTATTAGGACAGGATCCAGAGAAAGGGAGACAGGTAACTACGTGTGTCTTTGCCGGACGTAGTTAAGGGAGAGCGATATAAAAGTGAAGTAGAAGAATAAAAATGAAAAGATTGCCCTTTAAGGACATGTCTATATGCTGGCATCTTATAGGCGCCACACAGTGAGCTAAAATTTCTAAGAAACAAAGTCAGGGAAACAAAGTCAAAATTTAATTTTTTCTATTGCTTACTTGAAATTGAAATATTTGAGGCGTTAAATTGTAGGAAAATTTTAGGAAAATGTTATCGTTTGAGAAAAATATTTGCAAAACTGCTAATATGGTTTTAAGGGCTACAAAAATATTAGAAACGAAAAATAAAAAATTTCCATAAAGTGTTCCTTCGTACGTGGTCATATAAATTTATTCTGTGCGATACAATTGGAAAAATATATACAGTGTACCTTACAAAATCCGTCACAGGAAGAATGAAATTATCAGCGGAAGCAGTAGCTCCAAAATTCCAATGGTTCAGCAGGGTAATCTGCGAAAGCAGCCTATTTATTTCGACAATCTTGACGATTCTTACTTTACATCGACGTTAGGATGGTGCCTAAACAATGAAATGAAAATTTTAACAAAAATCTCTCTTACTATATGTTAAATCAATTAACAAATAAATAGTATCTAACGTGACAAGCGTTAGTTTTGTAAATGCCTGTGAATTCGTAAGGTTCTTACGATCAATGTACAATGGTTGGACAAAATAATAAAAACATTTATTATGAATTAATATGATATTTGTCAGAAAAATACATTTTTTCTCGGATGAATGTTCAAAATGAATCTTTGGAAATTTTCATTATGATTATACTGTTACCAAATAAGTAGAATTTTAATAGCAAACTTGATAAAGAATGTTTCTAATTACTTCGTCCACTCTCTGTACATTCACACTCGTGCCAATTAAATCACTTTTTTTTTCTTAATATGCACCTCCACTTCTTCATATATACAACGTTACACGTACTTACATAACATCACATCGTTTGCTAATAATTAACAACTACTGCTGTCTCTTATCTTAATACTTGTCTAATTAAGCGATTTAACACTTTGACTGTTAACATTAAAATCCCGTTGGATAATAATTTTACCTTCGATGAACCTGATTCATAATCTTTTATAATATTTAGTCCTTTTTATTGAAATCAATGAAAATGATAGTAAAAGTGTTAAGACGCTCTAACGACGACGAATCTTAAATGATAGCGGTACACTTATTTATGTATATTCATCGCGATAATATACCCTTAATTATGCTTGAAGATTCTTAAGAAATTAATATGTACAGAGTATAGAAACGTATGCGTGTGTCCGTGTGTATATGTTTTCATATAGCGTGCGCTTAATACTTCAAATAAAACGCTGATATCGTACACTATATCTTAATATGTATATCTTTAATTACACCTATCGCGCTACTATTTATACACAGATATGTTGTATCTCTGGATTAAACTGTAACAGCTGCTGGAGATTCTTTAACCTTCGAACTTAGGGATGCTGGATCAACTTTGATCCAAATCCAAAGACATCCAAATTTTGTAACAAAAGATTTTCATATTTTGAAAAAATAATAAATTAGAAATTTGTTGAATGAAAACTCATAACTTGTAAAATCATAACTTAAAATCACAACTTGTTTCTGGTTCGAATGAAGAATTTCAAAAGATTTAAATCTGTCTGAATTTCATTTTGTCCGTCCACACCTTTCCTCCAGCCCTTTAACTTCGATTCGTTGTCCCTCCGCCTATCGTGTCTATTTGACGAGGGTAAATTCTTCGAGCGAGTGACCTTACGGGGATCGGTCAAAGAGCTCTCAGGAATAATTTAACTTTCTTTTTAACTCTCTATCAGTCCTCTCGGTTCGTTAATTAAGTACGTCGATAAAATTGGCCCGTCTTGACATGATACGTTGATATTTAGCCTGGAAATAGCGCAATTAAGACGACCTCTTGATCCTCCTTCGAGATCCTTTCGCACTGTCAATAATGTCGTATTATGGGTAATAATTAGCTCTCGTGAAAAATTCTTCGAACACACCTTGATTACGCTAATAACTTCCTATTAAGAATATATTGTCGTTGAAATTGCGATGATAATCAGAATTGTCGTTTACGCTTTTAATTAATCTTGACGGAGATAAGTGAAACGGAGCGTTAAAATTCCTGATCTGAATTTCAGTCGAAAGAATCTTTAAAATTACGAAATTTAATATCGCGATACCTTAAATATAATTCCACCTTAGAATCATCGAAGTTTCTCCTCGGAGGATCACTGACGTACAGAAAGGAGCAACCTCAATTTGCTCGATAAAAGTCTTTCAATTAGAGTGGAAGGTATCAAGGTTCAGCAAATTGGTTCGGTCAAAGGTTGAGGCGGACCGTAAGGCGACGTCCATTGACCTACGGGATGCGTGAGAGCTGTAGGTGGTTGTTGTCTATCCAAACTGGCCACTGTGCTTCCTGGTGGATGGTTAGCTACCGTTGCTGGATGATAAGCTACTTTTCCAAGGGCTTCGGCTTGCAGGGACAGCATCAACCGATTCGCTGCTTGTCTTTCAGCCTCCCTTTCTTCGGCGGTTTGTCTCCTGAAACAAACAGGAGACTGAAAATGATAGAATGTTTATTTTTTTCCTTTAGCAAAGTTAACATTCTACTAGGAAAGTTAATTAATCACCGCCTCTGATATTAATTCTATCAGTGTACAATTGAAATGAGGGTAAATGTCTACAATTAGGGCCCCAACGAGAAATCAATTGAAAAGAGGTAACTTCTATGTAGTTTTGCCCCTCGGATCCAAAACTGTTGGGGTAAAATTTGGGGGTCGCTTGTATTTTTTAAGATCCATAGGTTAGGTTAGGTTATCAGAAAAAATATAACTTACCTTACTGCAAAAACTCGATCAATCAACAATAGTCTCCTTGAAAAGAATAACTTCAAAGTGTGAATTTAAATGAAGTGTTAAAAGTGGTACGAGGCTAGTCAATTTTAATCTTGATATCACAACGATTGCCCGTTTTATTGAATATTTTCTCATGATGCGTTCTCCACGCTCTGCATTCTATGAACAGGAATTAAAACTGAGCAAGGAGACTATTGTTGACTGGTCAAGTTTTTGCTGCGAGGTAAGTTATATTTTTTCTGATAACCTGACCTAACCTATGTAGGTTAGTGACGCGCTTTAAAAGTATTATCTACCCTACAAAGTCATTAACTTTTGAAAATAATGATTTTTTGTCAATATTTACCACAATATCTTAGTAAATACAAGCGATCCCCAAATTTCAACAGTTTTGGATCCGAGGGGCAAAACTACATAGAAGTTACCTCTTTTCAATTGATTTCTCGTTGGAGCCCTAATTGTAGACATTTACCGAAATGAGAGATTTTGATCAAAGTATAAAGTGTTGTAAACAATTTCTAGCCAGTCATGATTTTATATTTTTAATAAAATCCGTGAAATGTTAGATAGAATATCTCATCTAAGAAAAGCTATCGACGTTACCAACGAGTCAGCCATTTTGTGGTTCCCTAATAGACTTTGTGCTAGAAAACAGACACCCTCGAGCTACCCCTTAGCGCTCTGCCACCGACGAATCGAATTAACTTTATTACGTTTCTCTTCTGTTTTCCGCCCCAACAACCGCCACTCCCCCCTCCCCTCGCTCGATTTCCTTCATCCTCTCGGCTTTTTGCTATTTGATCAAACTGATATCTCATAGATAGAATATACACTCGAATATAACTTAAATTCCTTAACTTTACATTAGCTTTGCATAATTAGAATTTTCGAGTATTTTATATTGGGAGGTAGGGGTGAACCGTACAATAAATAATATTTTGTAATTATAAATTGAACGAACGAAAATTCCTTCGCCAAGTGGACGAAACCGAAAAGTTCTTCGGTCAGAAAGGCGCCAGGTTGGATAACAGGGCCAATCAGCGAGTCGCTTTCTATACGAGCCACGAAACACCGTCGTTCCATTAGAGTTAATCTCCAGTGGTCGGTAATTAAACGGTTTCGTTGTACCTTTGTTTATCTCCGCGAGAAGCTGTTCCCATCCTCTCCTTCTATCTTCGAGGGATTTCTTAAGAAGAAGGCACGTTGCCCCCTCGGTAGCCCGTGTATCATGGAAACGAGTCGGTTCAATCGGGACACAACTCGATCGGTTGTTGCACGATTAACGACTAGAACAGCCGCCGATGTCGAGCAAAGATTTCAGATAAACCCGACTGCAATCAACCACTCGTTTATTTGTCCCTTCGTTATACCGCTCCTTGGGTAATTGTAAGAAACTCGCGGACACTTATCTGCTTGCTGGATTTTGCGGCCGATTTATGGATTTCAATGAAAATACAAATATTTTAACCATTTTTACCATAAAAATCTCTTTCAGACATACATTGAATTAATCCTTGAACAGCGGAGCCTGGGTCTATCGTGACCCAAACTAAAATTAAGTTAAAATTGGAACTCTCTCCATGGTCCGTCGTTCGAAAATTAAACTCTGTTTTGTTAAATATTTCCTATTAAAATTTTAATATAATGTAAAGTAATGGTAATGAATGAATAATAAAAAAAAAATAATAAATTGCTCTGTTTGTAATTATTATAATGACAATTTTTTCTGATTGATCGATCAATCAATTGCCAATACATTTCAAAGTAACTTGAATCGAATTGCTTTTGCAAATTGACATTTCCATAGGAATAATATAAACCGAGTGTAATTTGAACGAGAGATCTGTAATTTAGAATCTGTAAAAGTTAATTACATGGATCGTTATAATTTCTGGAAACTGGTTCCTTTACGCAACGCGTGTGGAGTTGTAAAGACCGGTGGCACTCAGCCAGCGTGTCTCCTCACGAATTACACCGAGGATCAGAAAGTACCTCGTTAATCGGATTTTTTTCCTTTCGTTCTCGGACTCGGGCCAGCCTACCTGGACTTCCTGTAATTTTCTCGGCCCGATATCAGTTTCACGTTTCACCGATACCTTTGTCTCGTCAAAATCTCGACACGAAACCGCAAGAGAAAAGAAAGAAGAAATTCAAGAGAAATTTTCTTTTCTTTAAAGATCATTACAGCACGATATTTTATAAATTCACCGGGTGTATACATCCGGATCTTCAAAGAATCTATTTATCTAATTTTGGAAGACCTGCACTTTGGAAAGTTAAGGTGGTTACGCCATTGTATCAGTGACAGCCGTGCCTACACCGGTGCGAGTAATTAACGCGGTTACCAATTAATAATTGAGGCCGCCGTGCCGATTACATTTTGCACAGCCACCCCCGTAGCTGTGGCCGGCATAACAGTATTCCCTGGCAACCTGGGACGCATTACTCTTATCGTTATGACCTTATCGTTAACTATAACTTTTCCCTAACACTTCGCCAACCTGTGCACTATAAATTTGACTTTGTCCAAACAACCAAGCAGCGATCTAATCGATTCTTTCTACGATTTGCATTGCAAAAAATCAAGACAAGAGGCCAGTTAGATTGGCTCGTGTTTGACCGGTTAGCAGGGTGATACAACATCGGGAAGGATGAATGTTTAACGAGGCGAATCGGTGGGGTCGAAACGATCCGAATCGCGGATTCGAGGGTTTGACACTTTAAAAGCGGTGGCAAGAAGCTCGAGGAGCAGAGCGGATTCGGCTGATAGTCGGGAGGAGGGACAGGAGGAGGTGAAGTGTTCGCAGTCAAAGCAGGGGTGGATGAGGGAGCACGAACGGGGAGGATAGGGCTGCATTATGTACGGGACAGGGCTAAGCTGTTAGGTATCTGAATTATTTAGGCCAAGTTATCTCATCTCTGCCTACAGTCATCTCGTTACTTTAAACGCAGCTGCTCGCTGGACCGCACCGCTGCGGATGCGTCGATCCTTCGGACGCGATTCACTTTTTTTTTTTTTTCTATCGTGTTTATTGATTTAAAGTTGGGAAAAGATTTTAAGATGTAGGGAGATTAAAAATTAATTTGGGAAAACGTTTTCGAATTAGCCCAAATATGATGGCCTATTAGATTATGGTCTGCTACAATAAATGAAAGAATATTGATGAAGCGTTTATATAGACATTTTAATTACAACCTTAAGCTATTTTTTAATACTTTTTTGTCATCAAATTCTGTCAGACTTGATATGTTTTATTATCATTCATCATTTGCTATAAGTAACTGTCAGCCATTTTCTGTTTAGAATATTAACGAATGATTTACATAATTATCTTCAGGAAATTTCAAGCTTTAAACTCAGGTACCATAAGTGTTATTTTATTATACTTTTAAGTCATGAAATTATGTCAGACTGATGTGTTACGAAGGTCTCTTTCAATTCCAACAGCAAGTTATTTACATTTTTCCCGAGAACAACAATTCGTTCAGTGTTTTATGAATAATAGTCGAATAGTTTTCTGGAAACGCAGTTCCGTTATATCTCGCATTGTTCCAAGAGGCGCGGCAATAAACAGGCAAATAGGTAAAAACGAGGAATGTAAAACGCTTCTAACAATAAGAACGAGAACGGAAGAGAATGCCTTTAGAAGGTTCGTAAACGATCTAATAAGAGATCGATAACAGGACTCGGAGCAAAAATCGTTCGATGCCGTTGTATCGGAATCTCTTATTTCTTATATTCTACTGAAACCTTATATTTGTTTGTAGAATGTTAAATTTTTTTTGAAAAAAAGAAAGAAGAGACGTTAATTAAAAAGCAGATATAATTTGTATCTTAAACTATAGTTACTCTTTGTTAAAACCGTGACGGTTACAATTATTGCAGTTCTTCGACAAGTATCTAAGAAGATGATAAAGGAAGTTGAAATTTTACAAGTCTTTTTATTACGTAGTCGCTGTCGTCGGTTGAGAAGCGAGCGTGAAATTCGATTTAGCCGCCGACGACATGCGTTATCTGTCTCAATGCGTTGAGAAATGGTAACGGTGTGACAGTTACATTAGTCTCGGTGTTCCATCGAATTAAATTTACATTGAAACGACAAACGGATCATAATTAATCTCTACATATGGAACCGTATGTAAAACGAGCATCCAATGAACGAAGGAACCTAAGCTAAAGGTAGGAGACCGCGTTTCAGAAACTCATCTTATTCTGTTGAATAAGATATCATTACCTTCTCGTTGATAACGTTAATTGAATTTATCGATTGATAATGAACTATCTGGGATATTTGGAAAATTTTTAGATGATACAAATTGAGAAATTTTTCTAAAATACTGGGCCATTTCTAAAATAATGAAAAATAAATAAAAATTCAGTGACTCGTGTAATACGAAATTATTCTTTGGGTCTGCTGTTCCTAGCCGATGTGGCACTTACTGCAATAATAGGGCCACTTTTACGACTTGCTACTCAAATCGAGACGTATCTACTGAAAATCGGGAAATTTGCAAACGTCATATTTTGAAAACCAATTAAAATTGAGTGTGTATATTCAAGCTTAATAAACTTGTCTTGAAAAGCACTATCACATGATCTGGAAAAAAAATATATAGTTCCACTTAAAAAACAAAACTTGACCATTATATCTCTTAAATTAATAATGCAAAAAATTTTTCACTTCTGCCAAAACATGGTTCCCATTTTACCGTACAATTTCTATATCAACAATTTTTTGTATCATTACTAGTTACGGAATAACAGCTTTGTCACACTTGGGCTGGGACACCCTGTATATCAGAAGCAGAAGAACCCTCCTAATCACTAAAACTTAGCCACACCACCTTAAAAAATACCAGCAATTGATAAGGTTATTAGTTTCACTGAAAATAGCTTTGAAAAGTAAAGGGTTTAAACAGTTTCTTTGGTTTAAACTATTCCCCACTTGGAAAGTAGTCATCCTTCCTATCCTGATACTTCCCGGAACGGTCTACGGACGCTTTTAGAAACTCTCCTAAAGGAAGGAACTATTAGACGAGTTGCACCCCAAAGCGAATGCCTGTGGGCTCGTCTCGCCGCGTAGACGCCCCTGGTATCAGGTACCCGCGCCAGGAACGGGCCCGGTTTTATCTAAATGACGTGTTTTCGTCCTCCCTTATCTTGAAGAGACTCCAATACAGTCGACTTTCAATGCGTCCACAGATACAGGACCCGCTGCTGACCTGCTATTAACATTCCTGGACGCGGTTTCCATCTCGCGTTTTCCTTCGACAATCCAGTCGAACGCTGTGTGCCGCGTCACGTTCGAGTGTTGACCACTGAGCACGCGATACAGCGTGAACGACAGTAATTCCTTCTTTCGCGTTAATTAAAATTGTCTTCTCTATTGAAAGTCGTACGGTAGTAATACATTTGTCAGGGACTCACCTCCATTTCGTTCGTCTGTTCTGAAACCAGGTTTTCACTTGGGCATCCGTCATCTTCAACGACTTCGCCAAGGCTGCTCTTTCAGCCGACGCTAAGTATTTCTGTTTGTGAAAACGTTTCTCCAGCTCAGCGATCTGCAGCCTCGTGAAGCTGGTCCTCGGTTTCTTTCTCTTCGGTGGTGTCCTGTTTTGGTAAGGATGACCGATCCTCCTTGGGAATGCTCCAGCTACTGTAAAAAGAAAAAGAAAAGAATATTAACACTAGAACTACTAAAGGGGTCAAAATGACTGCTTTCCAGTTTCTTATTTTAAATTATAAATTTTATCGAGGTATTTTTGCTGGAATGTATGTTGGCCATTGTCGAGATAAATAATGGATATATATATTAAATTATTTTCAACTTAGAAATTAGTGTGCATCAAACGTCGGTAGTTCTAGTGTTAATAACGTTAAGACAATTCATCAAACTCCTTGTTAATTTTTCATTCTACTGTAATTGTTGCATCTATCGTTCACCCTCGGACGGCGGACCATGGAGAGAGTCGCAATTTTAATTTAATTTTGTATCTCAATTTTGCTCAGCATCTGTATGCAAGTATTCTACCGTGTGAGGTCGAGTTAGGTAGGGAACACCATGGTAAGGGAATATGGTTTACGATAACGTGCAATGGTGGCAGCGACGAAAGCCAACGCTTTGGGAAAACTATTATAAAATCGTAAAAGCGAGGCTTACGAGTTACACGGAACGATTTGCCGTCCGGTGCAAATTGTAACGCGGTCTTTGTAGTCGCCAGAGCAGGTGCATTGCGATTTCAGTGGAAGAGTATTAATAAAATTACCGTTAGCCCGATAACACCGCACCACTTCCATTACCGGACACGCCGCGCAGCTCGGGCGAAATCAAAATGAAGCTTTATCATCCACTTACGCGAAACTAGCCACGTAAATCGCGGCTAAAACTCTCGCTCGAGATTCTGTTATCGAGGCGGACGTTCATCCAGGTTAATTATCATTACCCTGATGATCAGGGTAAATAGTTTTCAATCTCAAATGGTAAATCTTATTTTCGTCGGTTAATTAATTTAAATCCTTCACCTTCCGATCGAGATACTTTTAAATTAGCAAGAAAATATAAGAATCATTCCATACATCGTTTCGTGCAATTTCATATTACACGTATGGAAATTTAGTACAGTGGTATACGTCTGCTTTGGGATACGTCCAATTCGGAATGCGTCCTGTGTGGACGAGACAAATTTTGCTCGGTATACGACTTCTATTCGGTATACGACATCAATTTTTGGTGTGAATTTTGCGTTATTTTTAAATAATTATCTCGAAGGAAAAATTAAATTAATAATCATATACGGAATTGATGTATTATTGATTGATCATACAAGTAAGGATATCATATAACAAACTATAACCGCAAAACAGGAGGCAATAAAATTTATTCCATTTGGTTTGTTAATTTAGAATCTATCATTAGGTTACATTTATATTTTACAAATTAATTATGTTAAATAAACTAGTGAATATTTTTTATAAACTTCTAGGAAATCGTTTAAATTTTGTTCATGACATAAACAGTGTTTAAATTATTTTACAACCCCATTAATGTAGGTATAATATCAATAGGAGTTGTTTTTTTTACATGAGAACGGATTAATCATTTTTACATTACTTCTTATGGGAAAGGTTGGTTTGGTATACGTCCTGTTTGGTATAAGTCCAAACATCAGGAACGGATTAAGGTTGTATACCGAGGTACCACTGTATCTACCAATTTATCGCTACTTCTAATAATAATAATCAGCCATGCACGATATTTCGTGTTTTACACCTTTCACGATGTACGCAGCCGCACAGATAAAATCACGTTTAAAAAACGCCGGTGAGATTTCGTTGAGATACAGCAACTTGTCTGTTAAAATGTTTAGATGCACGCGATTCTTTCGTTAATAGGTGTTGGATGTTAATTAGATTTCGTCAGGTAATTAAAAATGGAAATTAAATGAACCAGAGGTGTTAATTGTGTGTTGAAATTCATCATAATTCCAACTTATAAAACATTTAGTTAAAAATAAATATCATTTAGAAAAATTGGAAATTAAATATTTTCCAGATAAAATTGGACATTCAATTTGTAACAACAACTTCATAGAATTCGAGGTTTACATTGTTTCATTCAAGTTTATAGATTACAATCGAAACAGAAGAAAAATCATTGGTACTTTAAAGAAAGGTATCTCTATCAGAATTGAGAAAAATGGCGAGCAACATTACCATTTCCAATCTCGTGTAACCGTGTTTATCACATTCTTCATTCTCATTACCGCATAGCCGCGTATCATGTATCGTGGCATTAAATCTACGGCTATGCATATCGCGTTAAATGTACTTTCTGTTATTCATGCGCTATTACTACGACGGGTAAATGCTTAATGATGCCGATAGTCACGCTTCACAGGGGATAAAATACGGGAAACGATAAAACGTTTCACCGCGTGCATCGAAGTTTAGTTAATGAGAACAAATTACCTTAAAAAAGTGAACCGAGTGGTGTATTATAATTCAACGATTGAACACGCTTTCAATTCGTTGACGAATGTAATAAAAGGAATTTTTTTTTATCATCTTCGAATGATTCAGTTATTCATTGAACCGGCTTTAATGTTCGTTAATTATAAATTATCATTAAATCAAAGTCGTGATGATAATTTGATTAATTTTACGAGACGTATACGGCGTTAAATAAATTTATTAGCAGGATTATTTCATTCACAATTTCTGCACGGTGGATGATATTTATAGAGAAAAGGGCGGAGTATCGGTAAAGGACAGGGTTGTGAATGGGGGAAAGAGGGATGGATAATGGAATAATATCCAGCCGATGGCCGTTTCACCCTTTAACGATGATTCCTCGGTTTCGAGGAAACTGCGAGAGAGCCCAGTTACGTGTCAAATTTAATTTCACGGGAAATTTTCCGCGTCCCGCCATTTTCCACCACCACCACCATGAGATCATTATCGTACTCATCATTAATTTCGATGCGAAGCTTCCGGCACTGATGTTCATGGCGTATTACCGTAAAATTTAAACGCATACTAAAGGATCATGAAAATTGTTGATTTTCAAAATATAATGTTGCAAAGAAAAGTCATTAGTTAGTTCAATGTTTTGAGAGTGGTTGCATCCCCCATAATCAGAAAAGGTTAATTGCAAGAAATTACCTAAGCTCTGTTATCATACGAAAGAGAATCACATCGTAAGAGATCGAAGGAGGGAATAAAAGCGAGGTAAATTTCCGCTAATCGAGGCGGGTGGAGAACGTAATAGACGAAGGATAATAAGCAACTTCTCAAGTTCATTTCACGAAACCTAATTCCAAGCATCTATGGGAAAGCAAAGAGAACGATTCTCGTGGAAGGACGAACAGCCCTCGTTCCTTTTTAGACTTTTGCTCAACCATGTAACTGCTCATTGGCCTCTCACATTCTAATTCAGCGACAGACACGGGCTTCCTTGCGTCATCACGCTTATTAGGACGAGTCATTAGACTCCGTTACGTTATCATGCTGTACTGGCACCGTTTGCCGTCTCTCTTGTAATTCATTCGTAATTACTTTCGCAGAACAGCCGGACGCACGCACGCCACCCAACGATCCTGGCTGTCCCTGATACGTGATTTCGAATTTACGAATGATCGGAAAGTTAGATCACCTAATCGCCTCGTTATGATAACTGCTATCTGCTGCTCTAACGAAACGCTGCAAATTATCGGGGCCGATGATGGAAACTACTGCTTCTTTTCACTTTTAATCAGCCCGGTATACCGTAGTATTACTGGCACGAGGTTGTTGCATATTATATTATAAGTAGTAGAGGTGTGCGAGTACTCGATTTATTCGAGTACTCGAATTTCGAGTCAAATAATTCGGTCGGTCGAGCCGAGCCGAGCGCTAGAATTTGCCGAATTACTCGAAATCGACGTGAAACAAAAGCGAGCTACTCGAATATTCGAACTGAAAATTCATCTTCAAGTAAATCGAAGTTTTACGACGGCTCGAATATTTTAGTTCGACTTTTTCGAGTAGTTCGAGTTTTGTTTCAAACAGTTCGTCGATTTAGAGTAATTCGGCAAATTCAAGCGCTCGACTCGGCTCGAATAATCGAAGCGGGTTCAGCTCGGCTTGTAAATTACGAGTACTCGCACATTCTAATAAGTAAGCTCAAACATAAATTGCGTTTTCACTGTACATGTCTAAATAATAATTAAAAAAAAAAAAAAATGGCCAAAATGGTAAATGCCCCTTTCTTAAAAAAAAAGAAATTCTCCAAATTTGATTCCTAACTTGTTACTGTATTAAAAAAAGAAAGAAAAATGATGAACTGTTCGTGCCCGGCGACGATATCCGGCGAGTTCTGTTCTTTTTCATGGCGGTCAGAATATCACGTCTCGGTGTCGTTAGCGTGTCTAACAACAGTCTGTCCGTTAAAAGTTATCCGATAGCGAGTTCGCCTTGGGAAGGTTGTTACCGCACAATTTTGGTTAAAATACCACGGCGACGAGTGTTTGCGGTCGAAGTATTTACCCTGACGACGTAACCTTACGACAGCGGCGCGCCGTAACCTGGTAACGTTTCAAAGCCTCTAAAAAGGCAACGGTGATCTTAAGCGACGACTAGAGGCCATTACGGGGAACGATGAAAAAATATGTATACATATATGTATATATCCGCGGGTACGGGTGGAATAAAAATATGAGAAGACACGCGAGAAGGGGTGGTCAGGAGGGGTGAACGTAACTTTAATCGTAAACTCGACGGTTTATGGAGGAGCGTAAAACGTCCGTAAAAGTCGGCTTCGAAGTGCAGGCAAATTAGAACTAATTGTCGGCTGAATTTCTTACACCTTGCTGTAATGGGTCGCGCGTTTTCCATTTTCTTTTCTTAAGACTGTTGAATCTGCCTAAAATCAAACCCCTTGGGGGACAAATTTTTATTTTCATTATAGTAGACCACTTATTCTAAAAAATTCTAATATGCGCAAAACCATCAAACTGTTAAAATGATTGAGAAAATGTACCATTATATTATAAATGTCTACCTCTGTTTCACAATGTTCCTCGTTTGAACCTTCTATTTCCAACAGTAAGTATATCCTTAAAAGGTACATTTACAAAAGTGTTGGAAGCGTGAGGAGGCGTAGTCAGAGAAGGGTCCAAG